CCTTATCCTGAAATAATATCTTCTGATTATTTCATTGTGGTATCCAAGACAGTCATTTATGTCCCTGCAATCTTCAATGTTTCGTTGTTTTTGTGGTTGTATCTATTGTATCGACTTACAGGAGTAGCAACAACTCCTGTAAGTTAATATTACCTATGTATATCACTATACTTCTTATGAGTTCTTGTTTTTATGAGTGTGAATTACATTTTCATAAATATATTGAGAGGCAGCTGTCATTATTTTAAATTCCTTAAATAATTCTCTGAGCAAAGACAGTTCAAACACTTGTATTTTCTTTATTTGTCTAAGTAAAAATGTGTTACTTCAATTTTGTATTTTAAGCAAACTTCAACGTTCGGGCACCTATTGTATACTATTATATACCAAAATTTAGGTATGTCGGTAAAAAGCATTTTTTTTATTAATTCTTACATACTGTCCTTCTTCTTACTCATATTATAGACGTGAAGCTTTGTGAGAATGTACCTATGGATGTATGTTTGTTATTATTTCATGCGAAACAGTTGGACCGATTTGGTTGAAATTTTGCAGGGGGGCGTGAAGTTGGCAGTTGTCAACAGAAGTGACAAGTGGTCATCTCACCATCCCCAACTGGGGGCGTAAGGGTGGTCGCACGATCCAGGCCGATGCCTGTCTCGGCGGTTGCGCTCGCTGCCTGCAGCTGCAGGCGAGGTCAATGGAGTAGTCGGGCCTCTTGCGGGGCCCGATGTGGTCGTCACCGGTGGTTGGCGCCGCCATGAGCCGCGCTCGAGCCTGAGCAGGCCCGGCGATCAGCAAGCTGTTGGCGTCGCATGGTCGTGTCCAATAAGTGGCGCCGCTAGGGGCCGCGCTCGAGCCGGGACGAGCCCGGCGAGCAGCAAACTGTTAGCGGCGCGTAGTCGTCTCCGGCAGGGGCGTGCGTTTCTTGAAGGCAGAAATGCACTGCTTTACGTGCCATTCACAGCTATTTTATAAACGTTAATAAGTTTTAGATGAATTAAATTAATATTAAATTAATAAATAAATTATACAAAGTCAAAAACGCCTGATATTTTATAAATAGCACGTAGTTAACTTTATTTGCCGGGCATTTCAAAACAGGAAAGTATATAATAATAATTTGGCTCCGGCCCGTGTATAAGGTTTCTTAAACTCTTGTATGAGAAGAAAACTTTAATGTATTTAAAATAATAATATAATAGTAATAGTAATACATATTCGCGACTACTCGCAAGGCATGCTGTGCCGTGGTGAGCCGCAGGATTTTTGTTCCCGCGTGTATCGTCGTTTTGGTGGCCGCTCATTCAAAGTTCTCATGCATGCATGACACATCAACAGGCCCGTCTCTCCTGCGGTATGCTCACAGAGTACCTTGTATTATATAGGGGTATGCTACAGACCGAACGCGACGCGACGTTCGGCAGTTGTTGCGAGCATTCGCTGTAACGAATAAGTATATCCTTGAATCCATTCTTTCCCATCTTATGGTTTCGCCTGGGGCACTGGAGTGGTTTTCATCTTATCTTCGGGGGCGCTGGCAGGCGGTTCGCGTTGACGAGACTGTGTCAGATTGGCGCGAGCTTAAAGCTGGTGTTCCACAAGGCGGTATTCTTTCTCCACTGTTATTTTCTCTTTTTATTAATTTTATCACATCTAATCTTCAGTGTTCGTATCATCTGTATGCCGATGATCTGCAGATTTACACTCAGGCTCGGCCGGAAGATCTGCATGAAGCCATCGATAAGCTGAATAATGATCTCACAACCATCAGTTGTTGGTCTAGTCAATTTGGCATATCAGTAAATTCTGGCAAATGTCAGGCCATAGTTATCGGCAGTCTTCGAATGATTAGCAGAGTGAAGATCGAAAGTGTTCCTTCAGTGACATTGGATGGAAGTGTCATCCCCTTTAGTTCTTCAGTTAAGGACCTGGGTTTGCATCTAGATGCCACGCTGAGCTGGCAGGTTCAGGTCTCAAGTGTTAGTCAGAGGGTGATGGGGACGTTGCGCTGTCTAAATAGACTTAGGAATTTTCTACCACCTAGGACGAAGGCAATGCTTGTGCAGTCTTTAATCTTTCCTATAATCGACTATGCTGACGTGTGTTACTATGATCTCGGTTCGGATTTGCTCAATAAACTTGATCGTCTCATCAATAACTGCATAAGGTTCGTATTTAACCTGAGGAAGTACGATCATGTTTCTGAGTACAGGTCCGAGTTGAAATGGATGCCAATTCGCCAAAGAAGAGCATTTCGCGCTTTGACAACTCTTTTTTCACTTCTCAACTGTCCAACTACGCCTTCTTATTTAACCTCCTACTTTTGTTACCGCTACACTGGTCATTCTAAAAATCTTCGCTCTTCTCATAATCTTCTTCTTCATTGTCCCTCTCATAGCTCTGATACTATCCATTCATCCTTTTACATTCAATCCATTCTCCTGTGGAATGGGTTGCCCTTGGAAATCAGGAAGGCTACCAGTAAGCAATTGTTTAAGGCTGAATTGCGTAAGCACATTTTGAATGGACTGTTATTGGAACCATCATCATAAAACCCTTATGTTTATGTATTGACTGTGTATAATATTATTCATATATATTTATAAATAAATGTATATTTATACTACTATTTATGTAAGAAAATAGATTATGTATTGGGTATTTATTTTATAAACCATACCACCATATACCAGTATAATTATATTATTCTGTATATATATAAATATTTATTTATTTTAGTGTTTTTGTTGTATTTTAAATCTTAATTTATCTTCCCAAAGTTCTCTTCTTGTTGCACCTACCATACTTTCTCTGCATCACCCTAAGGTTGACTGGTGAGAATGCCTACGGCATTAAGTCCGCCTATGTAATGTTTTGTTGCATAAAGTTTAAATAAATAAATAAATAAATATTTCGTTATATAACAAAATCCAACTAAATGTGATACATCGTGTATGAACACTTTACTTATACATTTTTGTTTTGAAGGGTTTTATTTGTCTTTATAGTAGAAAAATGTTTTTTCTTTAGCGGGTTTTTGGTTTGGTTTTTTCTTTGATCATTGTTTACAATTTTTTGCGTTGGTAAATTTATAGTTTTCTTATACGATTTTTGATTTTAGCGTTTGAAAGTGCAACTTACAATTCATTGTTGAGTTAGAGCATTTTTTGAGTTTTAAAATGTACAAAAAATAAAATGTTCGAAATGTACTTGCTGTGAGTTATAACAATTCAACAAGCAAAAAGGGAATGTTCTTTTAAAGTTCTAAAACGTATTCGTGGTTTCTTCGTAATAATAACAAATAATGCAGTGCCATCTACCTGAAAAATGCCGAACTACCACAGACCACAAGCTTTTACTTTCTTTGTTCGATATCGTTATTTGCAAAAGTTTTTTTTATGTATGTGATAGGTCGGCTAACGAGCAAACGGATTACCTGATGGTAAGCAATCAGCGTCGCCCATGGACACCCACAACGACGGAGGAGTTAGATACGAGTGCGTTATCGACCTTTTTGGGGATTAGGGTTTTGGAGATTTTGGGAAAGGGAACGGTTTGGGGTAGGGGAAGGATTGGGCCTCCGGTATTATTATTCGTATTTTACATGAAATAATAAGGATGCTATAACTACATAGTCAAATCCTTACGTAAATATTATGTAGGTAGGTACTTTCACTCATAAATCTGTAAGTACGAAGGTTCACAGACATCATACGGGTAATCATAATTTTAATTAATAATTTGAAAAAATTGCCATCGAACGAAAAATTTACCATTTATTCTTCCTTGTCGGATTAATAGGTATACATATACTTATCCTATTATTTAACCGCCGATAGCGCCACTACTCGTTTAGTTTTGGAACCGGGCGCCGCGGGAGTCATCCGCTCGCCTGCGTCAGGCCGGCTGGTCGAGACTCCGCCCACACCGGACTCGACCACGCGCCACCCACAGCTTGCTGTTTGCCGGACTCGCCCAGGCCCGAGCGCGGCTCATCTGCTCGACCTCGCCTGCTGTTGCAGGCAGCGAGAGATACCGCGGAACCAGGCATCGGCCTGGATCGCGTGACCTCACGCCCCCAGCCGGGGACGGTCAGACGACCACGACGACACTCATTCATTGCTAGATTGTTATAGGAACGGGTACTCTTTAGTTAAGTTTCTCACAGCTTGTTTGAAAAATAGTTTATCGTGTTTCGCTCGTTTACCTACACGGGATTTTTTTTTTTGTTAGTCGGCCGAAATCTTTTTCTTGTATTACAATTTGTTTAGTTTGTTTTTACAAGTGAATTAACTATAATCTAGGAAATAAAAATGAATTGTTTATTTACCTACCATGAATTATGGAAAACTGCAGCCTCGCCGCTGGAGATATGTTTGTAAATAAATCCCGCGTTATCGTTTGAAGAAAGTGGGTTAGGCAAAACTCAAAAAGGTAATTTTATTTGTTCTCTTATTGCAGGGGTGGCCAACTTGATTAGACCGAAGATCTACTGTTAACTAATGAAAGCCTGTGCGATCTACCAAGTACATATTTCTTGAAATCTTAAATGAAACAGTTTAGTATACAATCATGTATTTTTTATTGAGCAGTCTTAAGAGTCTCTTTTCATATCACATGTGACATTGTTTACTTAAATTTACTCAAGGTTATATGGGTCCTATATATTAGTGTGAGCATTGCACCTGAGCTATTTATTATGTTTTCGGCTTACTCACGTAATAATTTGACGAGATACTCGACTAGTTTCAAGCCATGCTAGAGGCCCATATTCATGAGCAGCATTCCGCGACACGCGACTCGGCGACTGTCGCGCTGCTAACCAGTGTGTTCAAAAAATATAAAAAGTGGCTCTTTGAAAATATTTTTTCAACACACTGGTTGAATAAATACCCGTATTTGTTGAATAAAATAATCAACTGCCGTTTTGACGTCTGACGCTACTTATGTAACGTCAGTGTGTACCTATAATATTTTCAATTACAGTATATTTTAAAATGTATTGTAAAAGGAAGAAGATAGAACAACATGATTTGGTTTACGATAACAAATCGAGGGACGCTATACCCCAAAGGGGGTATTACTCTGAACTCGTATCAGATTTGACTAAAGATGACCCTTCTAAGGACATTTGTGCAAAAAAACGAATGAAACTAATTCTGCAGGTACTTATCTTACTAACTCCTAGTAATGTTGTAACTGAAAGTTTGTGAGAATGTTTACAATATGTCATTCTTTCATGAAAATCGGATGGAGCGATTTGTTTGAACTTTGTTCGTTATAAGTACTTTGACGATGCCCGGGATTAACACAGGCGGTATTTTTATTTACAAAGCGGGCGAAGTCGCGGGTGGAAGCTACTGCTACCATATACCTATTGAAACAGAACTGTGATCAAATAATTTTACAATAATTGTGTGGAAGACATCGCTTCCTCACACTTCTTTCGAGGGGGGAGAAAGCATTCAATTACTTCTACCGCCGTGATGGAGGAGGAGGAGTCACAGACTCCTAGTCGCTGTATCCATACTGACTAGAAAGAGTGCCACTCCGTGCCTTCTCCTGCTTTGAGCCGGGCCGCGGCACAATATTCCTCTAGCACGTCTGTGGTACTCCGATGACTCTTTCAATTGGGTGGGGATAGTATGGCTAAAATTATTGCGTGATCTCTGACACCCACTGCGTCTCCTGCAGAGGAGGATTTTCCCTCACACGTTCAGCCTCCTCCTTAGCTACTATGATTACTTTGCAGAAAGCTCAGATGGCTCCCCAGTTCCTACTGCTTTTTGTAATGTTAATTTTAGCTATCTACGGACTCTTGGTCCGTGACTTTGTCATACGATTTAGATATGAATATTCTAGTTAATGTTTATGAGGTACCTCACAGAAAACCGGCGTGAAACAATTACAGCGTTGTGTTTCGCCGTTTGAGTGAGGTTACCGAAGGCCCAATCCCTCCAATCCCCATCCCTTCCCAATCCTTAAATATCTGACACCTAAAAGGCCGGCAACGCACTCGTAACTCCTTTGGTAATGCGGGTGTCCTTGCGCGGCGCTAATTGCTTACCATAAGGTAATCCATCTGCCGATCTATACCCCAAAAAAATCTACTATTTACAAAAAATCACGTACAAAATCTCCTTTGAAAAAACAAGATCTCTAGATCATTTTAGAAGTTAATAGAAATAGGTACCTACGTAACAATCCATCTCACTCTAAAGATTTCAGACTGAAAATGGTTTTTAATTTGGACCGTAATTAAGATTTCCTGTGGTAATATGTACCTACATTACATTTACGTTTACATCTGCGAATAATTTCATTTCTTAATTTACAGGCTAAAACTGAGAGGTTAGCACCTATGTTGGTTTCTTTGCCGACACCCCAAAAAGCAAAACTTCTTCTACCGCCTGGTCGCTGGACGACTTACAGAGAAGATGAGAGTATTGTTAGTATAACAACACTAGAATATTGGTCGGTTTATCTAGATGTAGTAAAAATGTGACACAAAATCTATCTATCTATCTATATCTCTAATCTAAGCCAAAATTGAAACAGTGTCCTGGTTCTTAAAATAGTTGATATATACTACTCTGTCAAGAAAGTACCGGGAAAAAGTCAATAATACACAAAATGTTTGTTATTCATCTAAATTTATTTTATCACCTTCAAAGTATGCTCCTTCAGAAACGATACACTTACGCCAACGAATAATCCAATCATCGAAACTTTTTTTAAACGCTGTTTCCGGAATTGAGTTCAGTGCTCGCCGCGAATTCTCCTTTATGTCTTCTAACGATTGAAAACGGGTGCCACGAAGGGGTAATTTGAGTGTGGGAAAAAGAAAGAAGTCGGCTGGAGCCATATCTGGTGAATATGGTGGCTGCTCGATGGTGTTTGTTGAGTGTTTGGACAAAAAATCGTTTACAATGATGGCCTTGTGCGAAGGCGCATTATCGTGATGGAAAATTCAAAAATTTTCTTTCCACATTTCTGGCCTTTTTCGTCGAATTTGTTCTCTTAAACGCCGCATAACGCTCAAAAAATATTCTTTATTTACCGTTTGACCTTCGGGCAAGAATTCTGAGTACACAACACCGCGATAGTCAAAGAAAACAGTCAACATGACTTTGACTTTTGATCGACTTTGACGTGGTTTTTTCGGTTTTGGTTCAGTTGGAAGGCGCCATTCCGAAGCTTGTTGACTAGTTTGCATGTCAAACTCGTAAACCTACGTCTCGTCACCAGTAACAATGCGTTTCATGAATGTTGGGTCGGTATTGACTCGTTCTAGCATGTCCTCAGCGACTTACATGCGAATTAGTTTTTTAAGAAAATTCAGGTCTTTTGGGACTAGCCGAGCGGCAACACGTTTCATACCCAAATTATTTGTTAAAATGGTACGGATCGACTCGTGAGATACAGAAAGTTCGGCGGCCATCTCTCTCAAACTTGAATGAGGATTTTCAGTCACTATTTCCTTCATTTTTGCGATGTTAACTACAGTTGCAGACGTTGATGGCCTACCAGAACGAGGCAAATCTTCCATCACATCTCGACCGCTTTTGAACGCTTTGTACCACTCATAAGCACGTGTTTTTGATAAAGTCGATTTACCGTAAGCCTGTTCGGACTTCTGTAACATTTTGAGTGCCTCCGAACACAAAATTTCATTGGCGATGCAAAATTTAAGATCTTTGTTCGATGTTTTTGTCCATTATGAAATCCGCAATACACACTAGATATTATAAAACTAAAAACAGCACTGTTTTTAATATAAATACCAGATGCAACTCAAATTCCGCGCCAAAATGGAAAACAGTTATGCCAATCTAACAACAACAAAAAAAATTAAAATTCGAATTTGTATTTGAATAAAAAAAACATTCATTCCCGATACTTTGTTGACTGAATGTAAAATAAAATTAAAATATATCTAGTTTTTGAGTGTGGGAGAGCTAAGCTTCGGCACGAATGGGTCGGCTGAACCAGAGTTATACCACGGCCTCACAAAAAACGGGCGTGAAACAACCACAGCGTTGTGTTTCGCCGTGTGAGTGAGGTTACCGGAGGCCTAATGCTTCCCCTCCCCAATCCCTTCTCATTGCTTACCATCAGATAATCCGTCTGCTCGTTTGCCGACCTATTACATTAAAAAATTAAAAAAGTTAAACATACGACAATGTATTTTAGACTAGGTACTGATTGTTTTCCAGCAATTTCCGTTTGAGACCTTTGTACCTAAACTGCAGTTTCTCAGTATTGTTCTGCCAAAAGAACTTCCACGATTGGTCAAGATTGAGAGATTGAGAAGAAAATTTCTAGCAGCAAACGTGAAGGTATGTGGTATTCTTGTTTAACGTCATAGTTTATTGATTTTGAAACAATCAATACATCAAAATGTGCCCTTGGCAATACAATGTAATGGATACGCGACGTACCTATCTATTCCATTAAAATATGTAGGCACCACATAAAGGCACACATAAATTTACTCGCTTGGTTGGTCGAGAACTCAACCAATCAGATGGATTCAATTTTTTTTTTATTTTATGATTATAAATAGTCTACAAATATTAACAATTATAAGAATAATTTGTAGAACATATATTAGCGGTAATGACAAGACATACTTACGTGTTAATAAGTATTTAAAATTATACTTGTTAATACATATAATCAACATAACTCTGTAACTTAAGAAGGCAACATCACGATTTTGCTAAAATGCTACAGTTATCATCTCTGAATTGTAACAACGTCAGAATAAATTAATTTTCGTGGGTTTCGGGTCTTGCATTTAATTATAATTTTTTTATGTAACTTCTTTATAATATGTATTAATTTAAGTGCTGTTTACAGTAGTAATTGGAATGCAGATTTAAAAATGGTATCATATCAAATAATCCTCCTAACTATAACTAGTCTGTATTCTGTAGCCTGTAACCTTTTTATAAATAAATCCCCTTAAATCTATCGAGGATTCGATTTCCGCAAGGAATATTATTTGTGTAATTAATGAATGTGTTCGTATTTGTAAATCCATTCACGACACAAACGCGTTTGAAGGAATGAAATCAGTAAAAAACCTTTTCGTTTACAGAAAATGCTTCGTGAGTTAGGCATACAACCTTATTGGTTGTTACCCATTGAAGAGTTCAAGATAAATGATATGCAACACTATGGCCTATATAGTCCTTTCCCTAAGTTAGATTTGGAAATATTTGACAACACCGATTTTGATTGCCGGTAAGCTACTGATAGCCATTTAAATGGCTTTAGACTAAAGGCTATAAATTTTATTTCAATGGCTTTAGCCATCCGGATAGGTAATGATATCGTTTACAATGCTGCCAATAGAAATTCAAAATATGTATGTTTGTAAAAAATTAAACCTCGTCAGTTAGGCACTGACACGGTTTCAAGCGATCCAGCAAAAATGATGTTGTTAATTTACTAGTATGCTTATTAACCCGGAAGGGAAATAATTTGTTTAATTAATGATACAGCTTTTCGGAGAATATTTCGATGATTGGCAATCGGCGCTGCTCGAAGACAGCTGCGAGATACAAATAAATACTAAACGCTGCTTGCGTATTGGAGAGGAAATACAAAGTGGTATCATTTAGGTCAAGCCGGTCCATTTGTACTGAAATGTTCCCTTACGCGGCTGCTAGCTCTTGCTCCATTGCTTTCATGGCTTTACCTCCATAGTCAGCTAAAGCCACTCTGTCAACTATTCTCCCCCGCCCCCAAAAGACTAATAGCTCACTTGTGAACCGACAATATTATAATATACATTGTTTTCCAGCATTCCTGACGAATGGATGACCTTGGGTAATATTGACGGGGAACACTATCCGTGTCCAGGTTTAGCGTTTATTCCCAAAGCTGATTCAAAATCAAGCAAGAATTATAGTGATTTGATACAGACGCTAAACAGTTTGTATGAGGTTAATATCTGTAATGTTATTGAGTAACATGTTATTGAGTCATGAGTGCACTGCCCTTTTTACATAATTCAAAACATTAGAGCCATATTTTTTTTCTTTTACTACGGAATCAAATACTTATTTGCGACGTTCATTAGATTTTTTTGATTTTTGACGATTTGTCGAGTGCCGTCACAATTAAGTACATACATATATAACTCAAACTAAGCGTCGATGCAATTATCTCCTCTCACTCCTAAACTTTTTATATAAGTATTATTATTTTGCTACACGATCAACTAAAACAAAAGTGTCTAATTTTTTTTTCATTTACCTACTCACAGACGGAGAAAAGGTTTTTTTAAATGCTTTCGTCATCACTATCACTTACCTACTATTTGTGAAATAAAGGTACTGTGCTAGGTAAAGTAGTAGTAGTAGTAAAATATTAGATCATTTGCTCCTGGAAAAAAAGACTTGCTATGATGCGCTGAATAAAATGATCGCATCACACGTTAAATTTTGTCGCAGTAGGCAACACTCCAGGCGTCGGGGATCGAGAGATGATCACCGTAAGGTTTGCAGACGGCGAGTAAGGAGAGTTCGGCTAGCTCCGCCTGGGGCAGGAGAAGGGACGGGGGGGTTTTAGTCAGTAAGAGACTGACACTTCCTCTCGCCTCACGATGGGCAGAAGAAGTTATTCGATGATTTTCTCCTCACAAAAATCCCATTTTGTGCCGACAAGTAATGTGGTACGAAGTATCACAGAAGTGGTTTTAGTACATTCAATAATATAATCCTGTATTGATCGTGCCGCAGCGATACAGGCGCTTGTCGTATATTGTTCAAAAAAGGTATCCGCTGCCGCTGCTATAAAGTACGACAAACGCAACTTCTACTGTCTACCGGCGGGAGTGTCAGACACTTACTGACTAAAAAGCCGTCCCGTTCCTTCTACTGCTCCAGAACAGGCCCGCAGTTACATTATTGGCCTTGAACCCGCAAACTCGGCTGAATTGAGTTTTCTGGCTGAAACTACAAATAATAAATGTTTTTACTGTAAATTTTGTAGTGGACAAATGTGGCTGCTATAAAATACGTTGAAAACTCGGATAAATGGGAAGTAATGGCACTAGATGGCACTAAGAGGCACTACGTGTGAGTCGCATTTTTTCTATTTGTGTACACTGAAATACTTAGTTATAATGTAACCGAGCACGTGGTCCACAGATAGATAAACTTGAGATCTAAATGCTAGAAATAAAAATATGTATATAGGCAGAAAATGAAATTTAATAAAAAAAATAACAAATTTTTTTCTGAATGTGTGATATCTTTAAGCGTATGCCAGCAGCTTCGCCTGCTTCATCTTGATAACTAGTAGCCTGTGCATTATTTCAGATTATAATGTAGCATCCCTGCTCAGAATGGTCGAATGTAGAATTTTGAACGAAATCGATTACCTATGTTTTCTTTTACAAAAGTAACAAACGACAATCCATCCTTTTATATATACTCAAAGACTTTCGCGTTTATAACATAAGTAGAAATATATTGAAAAACACTTGATACTTCCGTGTGTAATTTGTGTGTGGTTGAATTTATTTATTAGGATTCCTCGCGTACGCCTGATGTTCAAAGCGGACGATCCAGAGACGTTTGCGCAACGCGTCAAATTCGCCGTTGATCTAAGAAAAGAGGTTGAGAATAATCTCAGGTAACATCATTTCAATACTAAAAAGTTTGATTTTGATCCGAAAACGACGAAATTCACTGTGAATTGGAGTCACTACCAACACGCCGTTTTAAAGTCTTCCGGAGAGATAGAAATGACTGACGCCGTGGGCACATTTACGTAGTACGCGCAGCCCCTTAGCAACCATTTGTATGGAGATGGTACAAAGAGCTGGTCTATGTGACTATCCCAACCGGTTACCAAGACACTGCGCTATGCGTTGTTGCCAATATTTTATCTTTCCGTAGATTCTACCTGTACCTTGATTGCTTATTACTCGAAGGACTGCCTGACTTGCCGCGGCAATACATGCCGAAAATTATAAAAATGGTCCTTATTCATCGGCAAGCGAAGGAAGTGGACGAGGAACATATGAATTATCTTAAACACGAGGTAAGATCAATTAGTGACGCTACATTTAGTTGTTGATAATTCAGTCAACCAATCAGATGACTTGACAAGATATTAAATTGATTTTAACATTGATCGGCCTTTCGGAAACCGGGTGTAAGTCCACCCTTGTATGTAGTGTCACCAAAAGTTAAAAATAAAAATCGCACTTTCACACGATGTAAATACATGGCCTTTTAGAAAGCAGACGTTACTACATTTTCGTTGTGTACCTACGCCGTGTGCTTGAGGTTACCGGGAGCCAAATCCACTCCAATCTATACTCGGAATTTTAATTCCATTCCAGATTTGACAATTTCAGTGTTCAACGTTATGACACGTAATAAATAGTGACGTTGTGAAATTATTTGATGTGGAAATCGAATATTTCTGAATCGATTCCTCTCGTTTATAAATTTAATCTCGTAAACTAAGTTTATCAGGAAATAAAATATTTCTGAACCGGCAATTTAGTTTGGACAATTAATTAAAGATCTAAGACTTTAATTAATTTAAAATAAAAAAATAAATTTAATTAATAAAAATTGTGATCACGATGAAACATGACAAATAAAACAGAAATTTTATAAATTGTCGCCGTCATCGCTATCGCTATCGCTGTTACTTTCTGTAACATTTATTATGAATTGTGTCTGGGATTTTTATTGTCAATTAACATATCTAGCTTACTCATTTTTTCCTCTTTTTTGACAACATGGGATACGCATTTAGACCATTCAGTAGTCGTAATTTTTTGAATGCCTTCCTGAAACTGATTCACTGATTGTTTATCGATTTTTGTGTTCATCACTACACTGTTATATGGTATCATTATTTCACAAAATGACAATAGGTCATGTCAAATCAGGAATCTAATTAAAATTCTGACTATAGAATTTTTTGCTTGTTCTTCTCATTCGAATCTAGCTAGACTTGACTTGACTTAACTGGCGAACATACTGGCGGACTATTATTCTACTTTGAAATTTAAAAAGTACCAGTACTTATATAATGTATTTTTTTTTTTTGGAATAAAGTTTTATTTTTTACTTTTGATTTTAACGCCATCTATACCCAATGCAACGCATTTTTAACTTCTTTCGTGATGCGGATGTCCGTGGTCTACGCTGATTGCTTACCATCAGCTAATCAATCAGTCTAAAGCACAATAATTTACCTTTTTCTAATCAGTAAAACAATATTTTAGGTGGAACTTCTTTACACGAAGATGGAAGGGAAAATGAAGATAATCGATACTATATTGAAATATAAGGATTTGTACAACTTCATAGATGTACCAACGCCAGACTACGTGCCACCAGTACCATTATTTGGTAAACATTTTTATACTTTTGTAAGGTAATACCTTAGCTTTAGCACGGTATTGCTATAGAGATAGTATTACCGTGGTATTAGGCTCGTCATTTGAAGTATTTATGAAATGTTGCTGTAGCTGGGGGGGACTCACCCGCCACGCTTTGGTACGAATGGGCTGGCTCAACCGGAGTGATACCACGACCTCACAGAATGATATATGACCACATAGCTACTTACTCATTTATAATTGATTAAAAGCTATTGAGACTTTACTATGCTAGTAATACACAAATATTCGACGTATTGTGACGCGTTAAGACATATAATGCTATACTCAAAAACTGTCCTGTGTTCTCTAACCGAATTCCCAAAAAGATGTCCAGCCCATTTACAAATTCACTATACCAAAAAAACCTTTTAGACAAAATACAATTTTACATAAACCTATTAACCTGTGGATCAAACAAACGCCGTTTCCGTGCGGGAATCAGCTACCAGCTGTCAGCTAATGCGCCAACAATACAGCTGCACTGCATTTCTTTTAATCGAACAATCACGACATGACGATTTTAGTCATTTTCACGATATTTTGTTTGGACATCAATAGCCAAAATGTTTCTGATCCGATGTGCGTGATTCTGTTTTGACCAAGACCGTTGATACCAAGTCAGGATCTAATGATAAGATCAAAGGGATTTTTTATGGAATAGGTGGCAAACGTGCAGACGGATCACCTGATGGTAAGCGATCACCGCCGCACATGGACACCTGCAACACCAAAGGAGTGCGTTGGCGGCCTTTTAAGAAGGTTTACGCTCAATCCTTGAAATGAGGGATATCCTCAAATTATAAGCACTAGTTACGTTTCTGATAATTTCTGCATTGTTTAAGGATTGAAAATAATATTACTTGAGGTTATTTGGTTATCCCAAGAGTATACGGGAAATCTCATTATTGTTTCCTCATTCCATCAGCCACTGCCATATAGGTGGCCACTGCTAGCAAATACTTCCTTTCGCACGGAAAAGGATTGAGCGATAATCACCACGCTTGCGGTGGAATGGCGATTTCAAACTTGTAACTCTACGCTTTCTCACGATGTTTTCCTTCACTGTGTGTAAATTATTTTAAAAAGTACCTACATATAATTATAACTTCGAAAAAGCCACATTGCCAGGTTTCGAGGCCCTTATATATGAGACCTTGTGCGCCTTAACCTCCGAGCCATCACGACCCATGGTCATGATGATCATGTCATAGGTCATTATCTATATATGTAATTAACAAGTAATAAATAAAAGATCAGGTCATATAAAGGTGAGCCGAACCAAAAACAGGTCAGTTTCATTTCTTTTTTGATTACAGGAAGATTGCCATGTGTGATGGAAGACTTTTCCGCCCGGCTCAAGCATAACCAATGGTATTCTTTATATGTCCTTATGGAGTCGGTGGCTTGCATTCAAATGGTCGTGGATGAGTGTCTCAAGGTAAATGGAGTTTTTATATCCGAATGCCTGAAACTCTAGTGGAATAGAATATAAATAAAGTGGTCACTTCCCTGAGGGCAGGGCGGCGCTCAGCCCAATCAGGGCGTACCACCATACGCTCCACCATGTCTTCCAGATTGTCCTTGCGGTGACGACACTCAACCGTTTCCTTCCGCTACGCTCGAAACACCCATGTCCGATAGATGTGTCAGTAGGAACTTCAACTGCTAAGATACGCGCTTCCCCCGAATCTCCTACACTTGCGAATCTCTACTTTATTACTATTAAGCTACCGCCGTCCTTGCCCCCGCTTGGTATGTGACCTCTCGCGCCCGGCCTTAGTTGAGGCCATGATGTCGAGGGAGAGGAACTGGAAAGCCGCCTCCTCTTTCTGCGAAGCAGTTATGCTCGCAAAGAAGGAGACAATGCGCGTGATTAGTGAGCTGAGCTATCTTCCTCACGCCCCAGCCGCCGCAGTAGGCAACACTGCGGGTTTCGGGGCACGAGAGATCATCTCCGGCCATCGTAAGCGCGGGTCAGCGTACGGCGTGTAAGGCTTGCTCGCCGTCCGACGAGCTCCTAGCGTTAGCGCGAGAAGTCGTTTGATGATTTCCCTGACAAAAAAATCTATCAAAGAATAACCAAAATACATCGACCGATTCTCACAAACTTTCAAATTTATGATATAAGTATAATCCCTGTATTCTACTTATATCATAAAAAGTGTCTTATAGAAATGACATATTATGATTGCAGGTTGAATCGATGTTATTCTTCACAAATAACTATGGCAGAAACGCAAGCCTAGCAGAATTTGACGCGGCACAACAACACTGCACCTCGATGGTAATTGTGTTACTGTTTCACCGAACGCATTCTTGCACCTTTTCTGGAGTCATAACTGGTGGTTGGAGTTTTTTACACTAAGATCTATGCCTTGCAGGCGATTTAAATGCAGTTCAAAAACTTCAGGCACATGGGATCCAAATTCTGTTACGAGTTTTTAAATAAAATCTTTCTTCTTCTGTGAACACAGATATGACCGTTCAGCCGTTTCCAAACTAGGTCTGAAGTCAAATACCTATGATAATATATTTTCCTGCCTTTTAAACGATCGATACTGCAGCACGCTAGCCAAAGTACACAATTACCTACACATACTCAACTTATATTTACTACGATTCTCCTAGTTTGATATTCTAGAAAACATAATATATTATTTGTCAAAAGTTTTAGGATTTTCGAAAAACTTAAATTCTGCAATGATACTTTGAAATACGAATATTATGCCAATGAAATGGCTTAGACAATTATAATACTACGTATCCTTCAAAATTTTCTTCGTTTACTTGGTTTTTATTTTTACTACCTCTAGGTTTATATTATTAGTACAAACAAATATGGACAAATTCTAATAAATAATCACAGATTGCAAAACAAAAGGCAGAGATTGGTAGACATGGAGTCCATAACAGCTCTATAAAAACACGTTTTCCCGGTGTGCGTTACAGGTTGCCAGATAATGACAAAATTACCCACAATATGTCATTACTACATTCTATCTATCACTATAAATAAAAAACCGGTAAATAGGTAAATATTTTTTGTATTATTTGTCCAGACGATGTTTGTACGAAACAATTGTTTCAAAATAAAAAATGGTTTTGCACATAAAATGGAAATGATTTTATTTTTATAAATAATGTTTATTAGTTAAAGTTTTTAGTCAACAGTAATGAAGTAATTAGCAGCCGTTATTTTTCTAATTTCTTATAATATTGCAAACCAATCACTTCCATAGTCGTAAAATTTGTAGCATGTCCTATGACATACTATAACATTATTTAGTTATGACTTACATATGTTCTCCGGTCAAATTATTCGGTCCGGTCATACCAATTAAAAAGTGAGACAAACAAAACATTATTATCGAAATATTTTTGTAAATCGATAATCCTGTTTCCCAAACATATTACCCAACTTGTGGGTAAAATATTTCAAAGTAAACTAGTAACACCAAACGGTTTTGTATTCCAAGAATTCACTAAAAATAATTACGTAAAATAATATCCAAATACACAAATTATCAATATTTACCTGAAAAAATATTCCTTCCTCTTCATTTTTATTTTTGGGAACAAGTTTTAAAATATTTGAGAACACGCACGACACTGCATTTTTCTCAAAAATATGAATATTATCTATGATGCCTATTGACGATGTGACCATTCGTGGCGCACTGACTCGAGTTTGTATTCGCAGGTATTCGCTTTTGAATTTGTATTTGCTATGGTGACTTAACTTTCGTTTTCTGCAGGGTTTATCTGCCTTCGTTTTGTAATCTGTGTAAATTATAATAATTAATGCTACTATTATTACTAAAAAAGAAGCAAGAAAATATTTGATTTTGTTTTTTTTTAAATAACAAGGTGTTCCATGAATTATTTCATTGTTTACAGATGCTGAAATATCTCAATATTTCTTGGCTGAATCAAACTGCACATGCTATAAGGATGTCGTTCCGAGATGTCGGAAAAGGGTAATGGCACAGATTATTCGAACAAATAAGCTTTTTTGCACATGTTTCGAATTTGTTTGTTTAGTTTTTAAACTAATCTTCTCTTAGGGACATAATCATATAATACATATAGCTTTCTTCTATCTTTAAAATTATTTAAAAAGGTATTTACTTTTTATTAAGAATTTGTTTAGTAATAGACCAATCTATTTATAATTATTCTCTAAGGTTAATTTGTCCCGACGACGTAAATGAAAATAAATGGCAAAGTCTACTTTATTATTAGAACCATATTTTTTGTTATAGATGGTTTAACATATACGAAAAGAAATGGGAGTTCTATGGAGTCAGTAAGCTATCGAGATTCATGCAACTTGTTAGGTTTAGAATGCAGGTAAATTAATCACGATAAGACTAGTATTTGGTAACTGTAATCAGTATATGATAGTAGTGTATAATACTCGAGAATATTTTATGGAATACTCGAGGACTCGAGAGGGAATGTCAGACTGACTAAAATCCTCCCCGTTCCTTCTCCTGTTCCTGTCCGAGGCTGCGGTATCGTATCGCACTGGCACCTGGCTGGCACAACCCCGGCTGGTCCACTCGGTAGTTATACAATTATTTTGTAATGATAAGCTCTACATCAAACCCCTCTTTTGTGGTGATTTTGGCAAAAACCTATTTTGTTGAGGAGGCACATAGTTTAGTAGATAATAAAATACTTGAATATTTTTAAGGTTTCTGTAACGGTTGAGTTTATTAGACAGTAGAAAATAATAACTTTGTTTATTGTCAGTATGCTCTCCGCTACTGTATAGAACAGTCGATGCAAATGTTTGTGAACCTGTTGGAGACTCCATGCCTGTGCACATATATATGTGAAGATGACTACGAATGGGATTCCAGAGACCTCATCAATTCTCCCTTCCGAACTTCCACAGCTACTCTCTTTTACTTCCACCTTATGATGTCTGATAATGGACCGTATTACACCACGGATCCAGCTCAATTTGAGGTTAGATATTTTAGTGGTATTCAAGTTGTGGTTTATACAAAGTGCCTTGAAACTTCCTAAATGCGTAGCGTTGATATCATACATTTTATTATCTTATTTAATTTACATGAACTGTATGCGACAAAAGTTTATCTGGTATTCGAATGAAGGTGGAAACAAACATTTAGTGGTGAATTTTAAGTGTTTTTTTTTTTTTTTTTTTTGTGAGGGGAAAATCATCAAATGACTTCTCCCGCCCAGGGCCGGGCAGGAGGGAGTGTCAGACTCTTACTGACTAAAAACCCCCCTGTTCCTTCTTCTGCTCTGTGCCGAGGTCGCGGTACCTCATTGCGCTTACCCCGCAACCCCGGCTGAACATCAGCCCTTTAGGGCCCCGTCTGTGGTGGTCTATTGGCTCTTTGAGGCGCGCGCGGAACGCTACGCGCCGTACGCTCGGGCCTGGTTCTGGTCGGGCGGCGAGCTGCCCTTACTCGCCGACCGCAGGCCCGTACTTACGGTGGCCGGAGATCGTCCCTCGATCCCCGACGCCCGTAGTGTCGCCAGTTGCGGCTGCTGGGGCGTGAGGAGGAGGATTGCTCCCTCACGCGGGCCGCCTCTCTCTTTGCGAGCATGACTGCTTCACAAAAGGAGGAGACGGCGTCCCAGTTCCTCTCACTCCGCACCATGGCCTCGACTAAGGCCGGGCGCGAGAGGTCGCCGCCGCCGATCACTTCCCTGAGGATACGGCGGTGCTCAGCCCAGGCAGGGCATACCGCTACCGTATGCTCCACCGTATCCTCTAGGTGGTCCTCACAATGACGACACTCGGGCGTTTCCTCCCGCTGAATCCGAAACAGGAACCTACCGAAGCTGCCGTGCCCGGTAAGCACCTGCGTCAGACGGAAGGTGAGGGCGCCGTGGCGTCTCTCAAGCCACTCCTCAAAGAGGGGTCTTACCGCTGCTATGGTAGCGTGCCCGGAATTTTAAGTGTGGAAGAGCCATACTCACCAGCCGGAATGGGTTGCCTCGACCGAAGAATATCACGAGCTAACAGAATACGTCCCTAATAACCCCAAGATGCACTGTTACTTGTCTGGTGTTGCGTATTCATTAATAAAGTTGTTTACAGATTGTGATACAAAGACTGTTCCGTGAGATGCTATACCGTTGCCATTTCATTCCTCAAGTGCATCCTATGATCATGACCGGATTGGTCTTCGATAAGGAGCTGTACCTTACGTCTGTTGGTGAGTGGTGGAAGATGACATAAACTGACAACGCTTTATATGTTATTTATAATTCTGTAATAAGTGTTAGATAGATAATGGCAAGGGTGTATATTTTGGTAGGTTTAATAACAGATTTGTTACTTTCTTCATTGTCCAATAGGTTTGATGGAGCCAAACGTGGTAGATTACAGAGACAGATTGCTGAAGGCATACAGGAAATCCATTATACCTCTGAAAGCTTATATGAGACAGTATGAGTGTTATCGAGATATATACATGTTAAACATTGAGGAGTATGTGGAGTGAGTATAATTAGAACAGTACAGTAGAAGTCCAGCGATAAATATTGCACATCGGACTTTGGATTCAATATGCGTATTTAATCGAAGCCATGTATTCGTTTGAGCTTAATGTCGTAATTTTTGGTTAGTTTTATGAATTACGTATCGGTAATTAAGAAGTAAGTCGTGGTGGCCCGGAGGTTAAGAGGCCAGCTTCTCATGCATGAAGGTGTGGGTTCGAAACCTGGCAAGTACCAATGTTACTATTTTCGAGTTGTATGTACTTTCTATGATTATTTAGACACCATTGACAGACGGTGAAGGGAAACATCGTGAGGAAACGTGGACTTAAGTTCTAATTATAAGTTTGAAATTGCCAACCTGCATTGAGCAAGCGTGGTGATTAATGCTCAAACCTTCTCCGTATGAGAAGAGGCCTCTGATCAGCAGTGGGCACTAATAGGCTGATGATGATGATGAATAAAGAAGTAAGATGGTTATTTCCATTAAAACGGTGTCTCAGGAAACACGACTTTTTTTTAGTACAATCTATTCTTTGTTTGAGAAGGAGAGTGTCAGATTTTTACTCACTGAGAACTATCCCGTTCCTTCTCCTGCTCTTCTCTCTTCTTGGCCGGGTCTGCCTAACATTATTGCGCTAGACCTACAACCCCGGCTAAAATAACCGACTTACTCGTGTGAGAGAGATTGAACTAGTTTTAAATCACTTCGTACGACGTCGTTTCAAAAGACAATTCAGAAGTTTTAAATTTTATTTTCCCTGCACTGAACAGAAATAAAATTCCATAAAGTATTTTTATTTTTTGAATATTTTTTTAGGACCATTGTAATTAAATGTGTGCAATATTTTTCGCTAGGCACTGTAGCCTAATTATATTCTTTTTAAACTCGATATTCTACGGCAGTGGCCTGAAGTAGAAAAAAGGACGAAGTGGTTTTTAGTCAGCAAGAGCCTGACACTCCCGCCGTCGGGAAATGTTATTTTATGATTTCTCCTACATTTAAGGTCTCGCTTATATTTTTTTGTATCTTCGACTTGTACCCAATATGGTGTCACATAAGTTAATCGGGTTCTTATATGAGTTGTTGTAATAAAAGTGACTGTTACAGGCATACTGTTGTTTTAGGAACTTTCGTAACGAAAAACATTCCGCTTCTGAGACAAAAGATGAGGTTCAAATACATTACGATGCAAAACAAGACCTCATATGGAGACTACCTCAGTACATTGGTATCGGACCATTTGCCATCAACGTCGACACTTTGAAGGTAGGTTAATGAAACAATGAATTTATTTTTGCAAATCGGCCATAAAACGGCCCTTTTACTCGTCAATTTTTATGTGAAAAACTAGATGACGCCGGCATTTCCTATCTGACTACAGAGAAGAAATGCCGAAACCAACTCTCTTAAACTTATGTTTTGATTCTTTTCAATAAATTACTATACATATTATATATACTATATACATAAGTCGTGGACCTCCTCGATCACAAATTAGCAGTGTTCCTGCACGACTGACTATGACTTTTCTTCTCATAGAAAGTGAGCGGTTTTCGCTGTGTGATTAAGGTTATCAGGTTGCCAGAGCCCGTCGATCTTCCTTACATCCCTAATCCCAAATTCTCTAATAATCAGCGAACTTGTTTATTTATGTATGCTTGAATGTACCAACACAAAATTACACGAAGTTGGTACAAAATGCAGACTTAATGCCATATGGCATTCTCTCTCTACCAGTCAGTCTTTGAGCCAAGAATTTTACAAAAAAAATTGTATATACAGAGTAAATACACGAGAGACAAATAAAAAAAAAACTACTCAACGTCGTCATCAAAGTTTATTATTTTTTTAGCAAATGTTGGTAAACAAAAGGTCGGATATCATAAAAGCGTTGCTGGTGATGTGGGCTGAGGAGGTGCGATTAGTGGTTGATGACGTCATCACTGCGTACAAGAGCGTTATGCGCAAGTTGGGAGAGAAGCCGAACACCATTGAACACGTGTTTGAGATAAGAGAATGGATGGAATCTATACCGTTTACTTTAAAGACTCAGGACGACATTATGAGGAAGGTTAACTCGGTAAGATTGTTATGACTGCTAATATGTAATAACTAAAGGCCACTACAAATACAATGCTCTTAGTAGGGTATGTAATAGGCAAAAACTGTAGTGAACGGTAACCGAGAATTCCTCCATTGAAACAGTTCCTAAGTCAAATGAATATCAACTCGATATTAAGGTTCCCGAAAAACGAATGCATATGAATAGATGACGTTGATTTGTGTTATATTGAAGTCATCATCAGAAGGGAAAAATAAATTTTACAATACAAAAATGGTATCTAGTTTTAATAATTGTTTATTGTGTGTCAGGATTACGAAGTGCTAGAACAATTCTTCATGCCTTTAGAAAACGAAGACTTCAGTGCTCTGTGGGAAGCTGTCGGATGGCCACAACAAATAAATAAACAGGTATTGGATAGCTGATTATGCTAGTTAAAGTAATTTAGTATTCAAGTTTACGTTTAAGACGCTATTTTTATTTGAATTTTTAAAAGTGGATGTTTTTGCCTGTTTCTGTTTTTTTTTTATGTAATAAGTCGGCAAACGAGCAGACGGATTACCTGATGGTAAGCAATCAGCGCCTCCCGTGGACACCTGCAACGGAGGAGTTACGAGTGCGTTGCCGACCTTTTAGGGATTAGGAATTTGGAGATTTAGGGATTGGGGAAGGGTCCGGGAAGGGGAAGGATTGGGCCTCCGGTAACCTCACTCACACGGCGAAACACAACGCTGTGGTTGTTTCACGGTTTTCGGTGAGGCCGTGGTATCATTCCGGTCGAGCCGACCCATTCGTGCCGAAGCATGGCTCTCCCACACTTAGTACTTAATCTGGGTTTCTTTTAAGTTGCTTATTGGGAAACGTGCTTCGTTCTATGCTGTCTCACCGAAGACGGTACCATCCTTTACCATCAGAAAGACTTCGGCTAGTTCTCCTTTAGCAGGAGTTAAAAAATCTTAGACTTGCTCCGTGTTACTTTGTTTTGTTTTAAGTGAATTTCTTTTATTGACAAAGGTGGAAGAAACCGTTCTTTTTCTTGAAGATGAACAGGAAAAGTTCTGGAAGCTCCACCAACAGGACGAACAGGTTCTGTATGATAAGATCGATATGTTCACTGCGCAATGTATGACACTGACTCTACAGAATGACTTCTCTAAGGTAACTTTGAAGGGTCACTTGCTATAAATATAAATCATCCTCATCATATTATTATTATTATTATTTTGAAAGACGTATATTGCTGAGCACAGTCTTCTCCAATCGGGCACTCTGTTATAGCAGCGGAGCGGAGCATTATTCAGCAAGAGTCTGACACACTCCCTTATATATATATCATTTTTTTATGTAATAGGTCGCCAACCGAGCAAACGGATTACTTGATGGTAAGCAATCAGCGCCGCTTATGGACATCCGCAACGACGGAGGAGTTACGAGTGCGTTGCCAACCTTTTGGGATTAGGGATTCGGAGATTTTGGGAATGGGGAGGGATTGGGGGGAGGAAGGATTGGGCCTCCAGTAACCTCACTCATGCGGCGAAACAAAACGGTTGTTTTTCGCTGGTTTTCTATGAGGTCGTGGTATCACTCCGGCCGAGCCCACTCATTCTTGCCGAATTCAGCGATTTCTAATATTTCTAATCTAATATTTCCTATCCGTTAAAAATGAAAGAAATCGACTCGTAGATATAGAAATATTAATTTGTTAGTTTGTAACTGTAATGAAAACTTCACTCGTCAGTCCGTACTATAAGTAATTTATAGAAGCAAGTAGATCGACGCTTCTTCGTTATTTTCAAAATTGCGCCGAAATAATTTACTTGAGGATCTAATGAAGAAATTCGACAGAACATTGGCGCCGATTAGAGTTTTTGAGATCTTTTACAACTGCTGCAGGTGCATGAGATAGCAAATGATATAAAGAAGGCTTGGAAAGCGATGAAGGATGCGCAGGATTGGGGTCGGATTCTCAACCAGCGGCAGAAACTTTTCGGTCAACCGGTGGTACCATTTGCTGATCTTAACAAACTTGTGAGGGAGTTTGAACCTTACAGGAACCTTTGGGTTACAGCTTCAGGTACTCATGTTTTCAGTTATGTAGTCATATGTAAATATGGTGCACATTCGCTTTTCTCTGGTTTATAAGTACATCTTACTAAAAAGAGAGTATATAGGCATTCGCTAGCTACCTACTTAAAGCTTAATTTTGTTTTGAATTGCTTCCGAGAACGTACAGAAAGGTATAAACCTCGATTGATCCTAACATATCAATGATATTTTCTAGATTTCTTGAAAGCTCGGGAGGTATGGCTAGATAATCCGCTAATGTATGTGGATGCGGACACCATAGAGCCATTAGTCAACGAATTCTACAAGACAATCGTCAAGTGCGTAAGAGTTTTCCAGGATATGCCCAAAGTGCAAAAAGTTGCCGTCACTATAAGGGTACGCAAAGTTTAATATATCTTTAATTATTCAAATTTGTAATTACCGCAATAGTCCGGTCAATTTAGACAAGTGGTGATTCTTAGGAAAAAAAGTGTATGAACAATTTTTATAGATCTCACCTATTTTTATGATAAGACCGATTTTTGAAATATTTGACCTTGATTAATTTTTTTCCACACCTCGTATTGATGTGGATAATTGACAAATTGTTTATAATTGCGGTGCAAATTAATGTAAACCCCTATTTTTGAACCTAATTTGACCGGGCTATAAATTGAAATTCATTAATAAGGGCCCGACCATTTATAACGAGGCCGACTACATTCGGTAATTCTTTCGGCTAAGGTACATAAGTATGAATGAAAAAAAAAACAACATAGTCAACTGGACTAACATAAAAACTCTTATCTTGTCTGACTTTTTCAAGACTTTTTGCGACCTTTATCGTCATTTAGTCACCTTTTGAATTGTATTTCAGGAAAACATAGATTCTTTTAGACCACTGATACCCATCATACAAGCTGTCAGGAACCCGGGAATGAAGGAAAGACATTGGAACGAGTTCATGGAGAAAGCCGGTAAAATGTTGCTATTACTGCTCATTGAATTTTAACATCTGCGGTCTTTTAGTTCCCGAAACTGTTGGAATAATGGGATGCTTAAATGTAAAAAAGTACGCATCAGAATTTATAGCGGTTTTTTGATAGGTAGAGTTATTGAAGGAGAATGTTAATGTGTATAATAATATCCATTAAATAGTGGAGAAATTTTGTATCAGCATTAAACCCGTGTGAAGCCGGGGCGGGTAGGTAGTCCAAACTAATATTATAAAGGCGAAAGTTACTCTGTTTGTCTTGTCTTCACGCCTAAACTAGCGAACCGATTTATGTGAAATATGGTATAGATATATTTTGGACTCGAGAAAGGACATATGATGGTTTGTATAGCAAAAATCTGTAGGAATTCACAATTCCACGCGGGCAAAAGCTAGTATCTAAATAAAGTACGTATAGTAAAAGGAATTTTATTATAGACGGTCACAATTTTCGTCACAAAGTCACTTTAAATGTTGTCACAAATCGATGAACTCGATAAACGTTGTAATAATTTTGTTTCTAGGTATAACAGTGACAATGAACGATAAACAAACATTCCAAATGTGCATAAAGCAAGGGGTGGCCGATCATGGGGAGTTGATTGCAGAGATCGGGGAACTCGCTAGCAAAGAGTACGTGATTGAACAGTCCTTGGATAAGATGCAAGCAGATTGGGCCAACAAGACGTTGGAGGTCACTCCTTATAAGAACACCGGTAAGTGAACACAATAATTATAATATTAATTATTTTTTATCTCTCTTGAAACGTGTTTGTGCGTGTTGCTAAGAAAAACTAACAATGATTAGATTTTATACGAGTGTCTTAGTAGATGAATCATCAGCCTATAAGTGCCCACTGCTTAGCAAAGGCCTCTTCTCAACACGGAGAAGGTTTGAGCATTAATCACAACGCTTGCTCAATGCGGGTTGGCGATTTTAAACTTGTAATTAGAAATTATAGTTCCAGGTTTCCCCACGATGTTTTACCTTCACCATATGTCAGTGGTGTCTAAATAATCATAGAAAGTACATATAACTCGGAAAAAGTCACATTGGTACAAACTTGCCAGGTTTCGAGCCCACACCCTCATGCATGAGAAGCAGCCTGCTTAACCTCCGGGCCACCTCGACTCTTCGATGAAGTTGATTACGCCACTGTAATACCTATAAAGAGAAGTGACGGTATCGATCGAGATCATCATCGATACCATAAATGTAAAAGCCCCTAATAATTGTAATAATATGTAACGTTTTAACAACCCTTCTTCCATTCCAAGGCAAAGATGGTCTGATAAATTGGTTCTCGTTGTAGGTACCTTTATCATGAAGATTGCAGATGAAACTATGCAATTGCTTGATGAACATCTTCTGAACACTCAGCAGTTGGGTTTCAGTCCTTTCAAAGCTGCATTTGAACTCCGTATTCAGGAATGGGACGATAAACTACGATTAACTCAGAGAGTTGTAGATGAGTGGATTGAATGCCAGGGGTAAGTTGTTTGATCATTATGGAGATAGGTAGATGTGGATATTTATTTTGTTTGTGCTTAAGCACAATTATTTTATACTACAGTACGGCCGACGTATCTTGGCGAGTCTGAAGTTAGCCGTTTGTCTGCGCAGTTAATTGGCTAACTTCAGACTCGCCAAGATACGTCGGCGGTATTGTAGGTGCACTTAATACCACATGCATTCCCTGCGAGTCGAACCTTTGGGTGATGTAGAGAGGAGTCAACGGTAGGAGCCAAGTCGAGATATTACCGATACTGTATATTTTATACACTTTCATAAATACTACTCAAAAAATATATATATGCAAATATCAGAAATAAACTTACATATACATAATATTTACATACACTAGGTACTTTTCTTTTTCTTTTCAATGAGTTGGAATTAAACGCGACACGTTGCGCGGCAGCCCGTTGCCCAGCCACCACGCCAACCGTGCAGTCTAACATACAAACATATTAGGTATACCAGATCATTATTGAGAAGACTCCAGTAAACTCTTCAGCAGAAGCTCTCTAATAGCTTGTTGTACTAATAGTTTCTTAAAAAAAAACAAAGATAGGATAAATTACGTAAAGTATAAAACTTGCACATAGTGAGTTAGTGCTGCACGTTGTAATTTAAACCTATGCTGTAATCACAACATTCTTTCATAGTATCTAATGTATTGCCACTTAGTGTATGTGTGCAATAAATCTATATATATAAAAGAAAGTTGTGTTAGTTAAACCATTTATAACTCAAGAACGGCTCAACCGATTTAGCTGAAAATTGGCAGGGAGGTAGTTTAGAGCCAGGAGAAGGACATAGGATATGATAGAGTAGGTAGAGTAGGGTAGGTAGAGTAGTGTAGGTACAGTAGGGTATGTAGAGAAGGGTAGGTAGACTAGGGTAGGTAGAGTAGGGTAGGTAGACTAGGGAAGGTAGAGTAGGGTAGGAAGAGTAGGGTAGGTATAGTAGGGTAGGTAAAGTAGGGTAGGTAAAAGTAGGGTAGGTAAAAGTAGGGTAGGTAGTCAAATGACGGGAGCGACGCCGCGCGTAAGAGCTAGTTATATATAAATGAAATAAGACAAACAACGTTCCTTATTCTGTATCTAATTAAGGGGTAATTGTTCAATAGGCAGATAAATGTAAAGTATAAAATTGTGGCTGTCACTGTCTTCTACAAACATTCTGACGCGACAACATCATAATTATTCCCCAGATAACTTTTATCTAACGATTAAAAAATCAAGTCTTAGTAGATAGGTACTAGAAATATGTGTGACTAGCAAACTTAACACCCGGTTTCTGAAAGGCTTGTCAACGCTAAAATTAACTAATCTCCTGTTAAATCTCTTGTCAAGTCATCTGATTGGTTGTTGATAATTCAGTCAACCAATCAGATGGGTTGACAAGAGATTAAATTGATTTTAACATTGATCGGCCTTTCGGAAACCGGGTGTAAGCCTATTACTCTTTTTTTTTCTATAGAGAATGGATGTATTTAGAGCCTATTTTCACTTCGGAAGATATAGCTAGGCAACTGCCTATGGAATCTAAGAAGTACGGTACCATGGAGAGGATCTGGAGACGCATCATGTCGTCTGCTGCTGCCTGTCCCAAGGTTTGATGAACTTCCTGGTTACGCAATACTGATCACATCACATCATCAGCCGCTGAGCAAACCCGCCCCCCCCCCCACAAACACAAAGAAAGATAAGATATACATACATACAAACAAATATAAGTAACAACACATAAACATAAACAATATATAAGTAGTCTCTTTTTGAAAGACCTAATGTTAATTCTTTATAGGCCTGAGCAAGTTCATTCAATTTTATAACTCTCATAAAAAAAATGTTTAACAAGTTTTGACGAGATGGCTCGACTACTTTCAAACCACGCTAGGGGTTCATATCCATAGCGGTATTGCGCGACAATTTGGCTTGATTTTGTAAATTTTCACAGATTATGATTATATGTCCGGATAGTCGGCTATTGGATAGCTTAACGGAAGCCATTCACCTATTGGAGGTAGTCTCTCGAGGACTCAACGACTACATGGAGCTGAAGCGGTTGAGGTTCCCAAGGTTCTTCTTCCTAAGTGATGATGAATTGCTAGAGATCCTATCACAGTCACGAAATCCCAGGGCTGTGCAACCTCACTTGAGGAAATGTTTCGAAAATATTGCCAAGGTAAGAATAATGTACCTTATCAGTTTACGGATCCGATATATTGTTTGGATAAGATTAGAAGCTTTTAAAACATTTATTGGATCCTTCTTTTCATTTTCTAGGTACAAAAGTATATTATCCATTATTTGTATCATTCATCATCATCATGATAACAGTGATAAATGATATGATGCTGATGATTATTATGAGGCTACGTTTTTTTTATGATTTAATCATAATAGTATTTCTGCCACCCCATTACCGATTCATTTACTATGAATTTCTATATCATTATCGAACAAAGTATTTAGATAGTAATTAATGTAAGAATATGTTTCAGGTTACCTTCCAGCCTGACCTCATGATCACTCACATGCACTCCAGTGAGGGAGAGATCGTTGAACTCAAGTACAAGTTCCGTCCATCTTCCAACGTCGAACAATGGCTGCTTTTGCTTGAAGACACCATGAGAAATTCTAGTAAGTTGTAAAACAATAAGTAATATGGCCGCATTTTTATTTTAAAAATATACCTGGCTTTAGTCTGAAAGCAAAACTATAAATAGACTTTTATGTGATAAGTTTTTCAACAAGCAAACGGTTTACCTAAAGGCTAGCAACACCAGAGGCGATACCCGCGCATTGGAGGCTTTTCGGCGACTTGGGGGTTGCGGGTTAAGCAGCTGGAGTTGCGGGTTAATCGCAATCAGTCACCGCGACCTCGGCCCAGAGCAAGAGAAGGAACGGGGGGGTTTTTAGTCAGTAAGAGTCTTTACACTCTCCCCTACCCTCTGCAATTCCTAAAAAACAAAAGTCCTGGTCCTCCTCCTTATGTTACGGGTGTACATGGGAGGCGCTGATTGCTTACCATCAGGAAATCCGTCTGCTTTCTTTCCGCCGTATAACACTAAATGTAGGATGTGCAAATAATTCTGCATGTCTCAATTAATTCTTTTACCAGTCCGTCTGACATTGGTTGATGCCATGGAAGAGTTGTGGGTGATTCCTCGTGCTGAGTGGGTGCTGCGCTGGCCTGGTCAAGTGGTGATCGCTGGATCGCAGACAGCTTGGACAGCTGGCGTCGAGAAGGCTATAGAAGAATTCCGAATGGAATTATACTATGAGGAAAATTTAAAACAGGTTTAAATCTTATACATACTTACTTGTTAACATTTTGGATAATTTAAAACAGTAATGTTTTGTTTATTCTAACTCGTGAGATATACTGAGAAAAACAATATTTTAAAGAAAATTTAAAGATTTCCTAATCGAAACGGCTTACTATTCTGTGAAAGAATTCATTGAACAAAAATAAAATGTAACTACTGAATTCCATATTGTAAAAAGGTGTAATAATATAAGGTTATTAATTATTTAGAATAAGAATGCATATGCATGTAGCATATAAAAACAATTACATATTCTAATTGCAATACCTTAACAGGTAACTAAGTTTTAAGTACCTACATGAATATTGTTAATATCTACAAAATTATGTATACACGTACTTCGTAATAAAGATTGGGAATTGGGTAGTTTCCTAGGTCAAAAATAAATTAATTCGACGTTTCAATAGAATAAAATATTGAAAAATAACTATACTTTTATTCATCGATCAAACGATACACAAATTTTTCGATATTTTGTAGCTAATTATTAAGAAATAAGTAAGCTATTTGACGCAAAAATGTTATGACGTCATAGCTCAGTTTTTCATACAAATTTCATAGAAAAGTATCGTTTTTTACATTTGGATAAAAGTATTGAATTTGACTAGTTGGAAACTACCGTATTTGAATTTGAATTTGAAAAGCTTTGATTGTTTCAAGTCACGATGTCACTCTTGATCATTAGCAGCAGCCAAAGCGAAGCTTTTCACAGTTGGTCCACATGAATTAGTCGGTGTGTTTTCAATGAAAAAAAAGCAAATTAGTTTTTGGTTTAATCTTAATCTCTTCGTTAACTTACCTGTTCGACGAAGGAACTTGACAAGTTCATAATATGTAGCAATATGGCAAAACAAAAAACGATGCGTGACACGCCAGCGATTTTGACTGGATGACATTTACTTGAGCCGTAAAACAATGAATAAAATAGCTTTTACTATTTTTAACGGATGGATCAAATGGATGGATTTTTGCTATTTTTTACAGTTTGAATTTTGCATTGAAGTATGCAGATTACTATTAAAAACGAGTACCTAAGATAATAAAAAAACATTATATTTTTGTGTATTTAGTTATAAGTGCTTTTGCTTCTTGCTCGTTCTTCTCCATCGGAATCTACACTTTGGAACGAGCAAATAGCTTCACTAAGAGGACTGACCGACAGACTGACACTATATCTTAAAAATTTTCTTTGACGTTCAAAAGTGCTCGTAAGGGTCTAATTGGAATAAATGATTTTTGACTTTTGACTTTGCGATGCCAAACAGGGCGTATAAATGGGACATCTGTTAAAATTGCAGACTATCACTGTACATAGATGCAATGAAGACTTAGACGTAGCCAGCTTTTCACTGCGGTCGTAGCGCTTTAAGAAGCCAGTTTTAATATAACAATTCTGTATTATTTTGTTGGCAGCTGGATACTCTTCGTGCCTTAGTGAAGGGAGAGCTGACGTTCTTCCAACGCGAGGTTCTGTGCGCCTTGATTGTGGTAGAAGTACACGCGCGTGACGTCACAAAGAACTTAGTCGAAGAAAATGTCCGTTACAATACAGACTTCCAGTGGATCTGCCAGCTTCGGTAAGTCGATTCAGGGTTTTTTATTCCCTAACAGAGAATACACACCAAATGGCAATATTATACAAAATAAAATTAATTTTCTCCAGTCATAAGAAACCACTTCATTCCAAAAGCACCAGACTGCACCGTTGGTGCGAATTTTAGTGAATTTTTATTTTTGTAGATACTATCAGGTAGTGAAGCCAATGTATCCATTGGAGCCTGGCGAGGAGCCGGAGATCTACCAGGATGAACTGCGGTTAGACACAAGCAGGTTCTACCGTCAGTTCAGTCAGAACAGCTGCAACGTGAAAGCTCTCAATTCCGTATTGAATTACCATAATGAATACCTCGGTAACAGGTAAGGCTTGAATTAATTTTTAAATCTTACGAATCGTATTTTATCGACCGGAGTGATACCACGGCCTCACAGAAAACCGGCGTGAAACAACCACAGCGTTGTGTTTTGTGTTGAGGTTACCGGAGGCCCATTTCACCCTCTCCCCCAATCCCTCCTCAATCCCTAATCCCTAAAAGGTCGGCAACGCACTCGTAACTCCTCTGTTGCGGGTGTCCATGGGCGGCGCTGATTGCTTACGATCAGATAATCCGTATGCTCGTTTGTCGGGCTATTACATAAAAAAAAATTTGACTACTAAGATTAACAATATGCTTACAAACTAAGTACATCTAATTTGGGGTAATTTGGGGGCTTTAGCTCGGCTTACTCACTACAGGGGGAACCTTTTTTTGAATACAAAAAGACTTGGTTTATTTCAGCGGGCGGCTGGTGATCACTCCGCTGACGGACCGTTGCTACTTGACGCTAATGTGTGCGATGCACCTCAAGTTCGGGGGTGCGCCCGCTGGACCAGCTGGCACCGGCAAGACTGAGACCACCAAGGTAAAAACCTCCTTCCCAATGAGCCCTATCAAACCTCTGTAGTCATATACATTACTTCTCATGCATAGGCATTACTACGTAAGAAAAGGCGTGACTCGTGCTAAAAAAATAATAGGAAATGATTAGCTACAACAATATTCCTGAGTGCTATAGGCTATAAAACAACACGCTACGATTAAATGGGGCCGAGCAGCGGGTGAAACCGCACGAGAGTAGCTAGTATGTATAATAAAAACCTCTTAAAAGTAGAGGAATTTATTATTTAGTACGCATAGTACCCGTGCTTAGCTAGTGGGGTGTAGGGTCGCTATATAGTAATAAATAAATAAATAAATCACGTACCATGACGACTCTACCCTTTCCGGGATAAAGACGTGAAATCCTTATACATACAAATGTACTTACTTGTCATCTTTCTAGGATCTAGCGAAAGCTTTAGCAGTCCAATGCGTGGTGTTTAATTGTTCAGATCAGCTCGACTTCATGGCTATGGGGAAGTTCTTCAAAGGATTGGCTGCGTAAGTAAATTGATAATATAAATTTATTTGAATACTAGACTGAACCCTGTTTTACCTGCGTTCTTTAGCACATAGGTTCATTGACTGACGTAATAGTATTCGCAAGTACCTTTCTTGGTGAAGTTGGGAATATATTATTTTGATTTTGACTGTGGACATAACTTTATATTCACCGGCGATTTAGCAGTCTCCCAATAGTAATAGGAGTTTTTCAAATTAGTCAAATTATTCTGGAGCCTGTTCCAATCCAAACAAAGAAACATTTTAATTTTTTCTATTATAATGTCAGTGTATTTCCTACAAAGTATATATTTATTTATTTAAAGCTTGTTATGAGTAATTCGCGAATGTTGCCACCAATTGTTGAATACGATGTTCAAATGAGTTTGTTAGTCCAAACTAATATTATAAATGCGAAAGTAACTTTGTCTGTCTGTCTGTCTTTTCTTCACTCCTAAACTACTGAACCGATTTCTGTGAAATTTGGTACAGACGTAGTTTGGAACTTGGGAAAGGACATAGGATAGTTTTATACCAAAAATCTGCAGGAAGTCGCTATTCCACGTGGACGGTGTCGCGGGCAAAAGCTAGTGTTTCAATAAAATCGTAACATAAAATTATTGGGTATTTTCTAATAATTAACACTTTGGAATGAGCTAATAGCTTCACTAAGAGGACTGACCGACAGACTGACATTTTTTATCTTTAAGCTTTATTTGAAGTTCAAGAGTGCCTGTTAGGGTCTAATTGAAATAAATCATTTTAATTCTCTGGTAATGTGTTTAGGTCTGGTGCGTGGGCATGTTTCGACGAGTTCAACCGTATTGATATTGAAGTACTTTCGGTCGTCGCCCAACAGGTACTTATATTCCGTCATGACATTCTATACCTTATATCTGGTAGATAGAGTATAAAATGTAACGCATTGGGCGTTAGTGTCAGATATATTTGTCAAAAGAAGTGAGCATATATGCTGTACATCATAACCTAAAACTTTGTGCTTCTATTGAGAATGCTTAGAATTTTTCTTACACTTTCTTTCTCACAGGAGTTTTTCTTACGCGCCTTACGTACGATCAGATGATTTTGCCCCCTCTGTTGTAGAAGTGAAGAGCTTCAATGGCCTAACAGCGAACGGCCAGGAGCTGAGGATGATATTATACAAACTTTTTCATTCGTGTTCAGGTCGCTACTATACAGAAGGCTCAGCTAGCCCACTTGGAAAGGTTCATGTTTGAAGGCGTGGATCTCCCTCTGAAACCCTCATGTTCTGTCTTCATCACTATGAATCCTGGATACGCTGGTAAGTATGATTATTTTTTTATATAATTCACTCAGTGTTGCTAGAAAAAAAATCTGCTTAATTGGCCTAGCGGTTGTAAGTGCGAGATCCTGTAAGGTCACCATCAAAACTTGAAGTCCACCCACGGCGAAAAACAGCTTTTGTGTTGCTTCACGCCGCTTTTTTGTTAAGACGTGGTATCACTCCGGCCGAGCCGGCCCATTCATGCGGAAGTATGGCTCTTCTACACTTCAACCGGTTTATGGAAGTCAAATCAATCACGATGAACGTATCGTCACAATATGCATATCAACAATCGACCTTAAAATTGGCCACCACATGGCTGCTATGGTTACGGTGCAATACTTGCGGCCAGGTCGAGAGAAATACTGCTGTGACGTTATTTCGCCTATGTCTAGCGATTCAGGGTAAAAAACAATGATTGTCATGGTTAAAACATTTTTTATGGTATAGGTACAGACGAATTACTTTATGGTAATCAATCAGCGCCGCCCACATCAAAGGATAAGAGTTTCGGATATTTAAGGATTGGAAGGAGATGGGGGGAGGGGGAGGGATTGGGCCTCAGGTAACCTCACTCACACGGCGAAACACAACGCTGTGGTTGTTTCACGCCGTTTTCCTGTGATACCTTGGTATCACTCCTACCCATTCGTGCCGAAGCTTGGCTCTCCTACACTTGAAACTTGAATATTTCACAGAAAATGCAAACGTATTCGTCCACAGGTCGTACAGAGTTACCGGATAACCTCAAAGCATTGTTCCGACCTATCGCAATGATGGTGCCGGATTACGCCCTGATCGCTGAGATCTCTCTCTTCTCCTTCGGTTTCTCTGAAGCCAAGATCTTAGCTGGAAAGATCACCACCACATTCAGACTTAGTTCTGAACAACTTTCTGCTCAGGTTAGATGTAGATCCGGAACTTATTTATTTTGTCCTACTGTCATTAGTAGGACAACAGGTGGAAACCTGACAAGTACCAATATGACTTTTTCCGAGTTATATGTACTACACCTGACAGACAGTGAAGGGAAACATTGTGAGGCAACTTGGATGTATGATTTTTAATCGAAATTACCCATCGGCCTTACCTTTGCCCCGTAATGGGCACTTGTAGGATGATGTTGTGATTGAGCTAGCCTAGTTTGAATAGGTAGGCAAACGCGCAGATAGATTACCCGATGGTAAGCAATCAGAGCCGCCCATGGACACTGGTAGTACCAAAAGAGTCACTACAAAATGCGTTGCCGGCCTCTTGGGCCGTTGGGTTATTCGGAATTTATCGATAGGGGATTTGAAGATCGAGGTTGGGGGGATGGGGAAGGGGGGGGGGAAATATTGGGCCTCTGGTAACCTCACTCACACGGCGAAACATAACGTAAATGTTGCTTCCCGCCGGTTTTTTGTGAGACCGTGGTATCACTCCGGTCGAACCGACCCATTCGTGCCGAAAATTCTTCTTCTTAGTCGTTACACTCTTGGTCGTGGCTGTAGATAGATGGGTTCCGCCATACCTTCGTCCGTCTTTCCTTTCAAGAGCAGCACGTTGAGCGATGTCTCTCCACTTTTGTCGACTTTGAGCTTTGGAAATTAATAATGTTGTAATATTTCATTAGGATCACTACGATTTCGGCATGCGAGCCGTGAAGACGGTGATCACAGTCGCCGGAAACCTGATACGTCAGATGCCGGACGGCGATGAACGTCAAATAGTCCTGCGAGCATTAAAAGATGTGAACGTACCGAAGTTCTTAGCTAACGATCTGTTGCTATTTAACGGTAAGTTAATATTTATTGAAATTAAGCTTTTGCCCGCGACTTCCTTTCCGGAGTTTCAAACAATGTCTGTACCAAATATCAAAGAAATCGGTTCAGTAGTTCAGGCGTGAAGAAAAGACAGACAGACAGACAGACAGACTTTCGCATTTATAATATTAGTTTGGATTTGGATAACGACATACGTGAAATAACTCTACCACGTGAGGCAACGTCGCGCAACCGACATGCGCGTTACTCATGAATAAGAGTCCCGCTGTGATTTGATACTAATAGAGCTTTTCTCAGTAAAGTTCTCTCGTAAGTCGTTAGTTTCGATAAATTTAGTTACTATCAAAAAACGGTTACCTAATATTTTATTAAATAATCTATTTCAAGCAAGTATAATAATATATGCTAATTCCTTCTCCGTGCAAGGAGAGTGCGTAAACATGCAGTGTTCCAATACATTGTTATTATTGATTAGTATGGCAATCAATGAGCGAGTAACTCTGGGTAGTTTTTCGGGGTTCTGTAACCAAAGGATAACATCGGGAACCCAGTTATATAAGTTGCAAAGACTAAAGTATCTCATAAACCATTATAACAACCATTATAAAATAGATATTTTGTTACTTTCCTCAACTATACTCGGAATTTTAATTCCATTCCAGATTTGACAATTTCAGTGTTGTAACGTTATGACACGTAATAAATAGTGACGTTGCGAAATTATTCGATGTGGAATTCGAATATTTCTGAATCGATTTCTGTCGTTTATAAATTTAATCTCGTAAACTTAATTTATCAGGAAATAAAATATTTCTGAAGCGATCATTTAGTTTTGACAATTAATTAACGATCTGAGACTTTTCTTTTGTAATTGTGTGTGAAATTAATAAAATATGTGATCATGAAGGAACATGACAGATAAAACAGAAATTTTATAAATTGTCGCCGTCATCGCTATCGCTATTACTTTCTGTAACAGTTATTGTGAATTGTGTCTGTGATTTTTATTGTCAATTAACATATCTAGTTTACTAATTTTTTCCTCTTCTTTGACAACATGGGATACGCATTTAGACCATTCGGTACCCGTAATTTTTTGAATGCCTTCCTGAAACTGATTCGCTGATTGTTTATCGATTTTTGTGTTCATCACTACACTGTTATATGTGGTATCATTATTTCACAAAATGACAATGGGTCATGTCAAATCAGGAATCGAATTAAAATTCTGACTATTTTCACTTGGGTATACACGTATCATCCAGAATGACATTTTGTGAATCATACCCACAAATAAAATTGTTATCTATGTTCAGAAAACGGACTCCCGACGCACCAGACGCTCACCCACTGACCGTGCAACGATTGCGAAATCTTTGTGAATCAAAATACAATAATATGGTCTAGCATTAAGTCCTCCGATATGCAATTGTATATAAAGAATAAATAAATAAATAATAACATTTATTATTTCCCTATTTAGGTATAATATCAGATCTGTTCCCACGCGTGGAAGTCCCCGTAGTGGACTACGGTATCATGGAGACGTCAATAAGAAACATGCTCACCAAAAAGGGATATGACGACCTTTATTGTAAGTAGACAAATATACGGTTCATTTTTTTATGTAATAGGCCGGTGAGACGAAGGACGGAACGGAGGAGTTACGAGTGCGTTGCTGAACTTTTAGGGATTAGGGATTTGGAGATATAGGGATTGGGGGAAGGGAAGGATTGGGCCTCCGGTAACCATTCTCACACGGCGAAACACAACGCTGTGGTTATTTCACCCAGGTTTTCCGAAAGGTGTGAAGCATGGCTCTCCCACAGTTATAATCATTGAGCTCCTTTTGAACCATAATTAAGGTGGTTTTCCCGATAGAGTTATGTATGTGGTACGAAGTTCATTCAAAATCCGTTCTTCATTCGTCACGTCTTAGTTCGAAATACTTAGGTAATTCGGCATAGTATTTTTACAGGGTGAACATTTATTTCTCCCGCCCTAAAAATAACCCCATTTCTTCTCCACGGATCCCTGGATCCCCGACGACCAGTGTCTCATGCGGCGGCTAGGGTATGAGAAAGATAGTTCACTCACACGCTTCTCTTCATTTGCGAGCATAACTACTTCGTAGAAGAAACGGCTTCCAGCTGCTCTCGCTCCGTATCATGGCCTCAACGCGAGAGGTCACGGCCGCCGATCACTTACCCGAGAACAAGGCGGTGTACAGCCCAAGCAGGGTACACCGCCTCCGTATGCTCCACCGTGTCTGCTGGATGGTCCTTGCACTGACGACACCCGAGCGTTTCTTACCTTTGGATGCGAAACAAGTACCTCCCAAAACTTCCGCATTAGGTGGAAGGTGAGGACGGTGTTGTCTTTTTAGACACTTATCAAACAAGTCTTACCGCTGTAATAATAGTGATGATATTCATTTATGATATTTAAGAAGACATTAAACAATATTACAATCCGTTTTTATTGTTTCAGCGTTTATATTTAAAGTAATACAGTTGTATGAAACGACGGTGGTAAGGCACGGGCTCATGTTGGTTGGGCCGGCTGGAGCAGGGAAAACCAAGGTTGGCTTCAAATTTTACTTTAAAACAACGTAAGGGCAAGTCTTAGGTACATTTGATAAAGTTACTCGACCAGTTTTGAGGCAGAAAAAGGATCCTAAATATATGTATGTGTGTACTACATAAGTTGCATGTGTGACGAGCGATGTGGCAGATATACATTTTTTTTGGGAAACCATATCGATCTTATGCTAGTGTATGAGTATGTTTTATGTGAGCTACTTCAGAATTGGTACTGTATTTTAATTGAAAATGGGTTACCGGCCTTTTAGTGTTGGAAAAATGGGAGTTTGGAGATTTGGGTGTATAGGGATGGGGTTTTTTTTTTGTGAGCGGAAAATCATCAAATGACTTATCCCGCCCAGGGCCGGGCAGGAGGGAGTGTCAGACTCTTACTGACTAGAAACCCCCCTGTTCCTTCTCCTGCTCTGTGCCGAGGTCGCGGTGCCTCATTGCGCTTACCCCGCAACCCCGGCTGAACATCAGCCCTTTAGGGCCCCATCTGTGGTGGTCTAATGGCTCTTTGAGGCGCGCGCGATAGGGATGGGGGTTGGGAGAAGGATTAGGCCTCCGGTTACCTCTTTCACATAACTCAAACCAACGCAATGTTTGTTAATGCACCCACGACTTAAAAGAAAATTCTAGTGTGAAAATAGACTAGAGACTGCACGGTTGGCGCGGTGGCTGGGCAACTGACTGCCGCGCAACGTGTCGCGAGTTCCATTCCCGCACGGAACAACTCTTTGTGTGATTCACAGATTGTTGTTCTGGGTCTGGGTGTGATGTGTATGTTTGTAAAGGCAAGACACAGGGGAAAATCTTAGTGTAGGGCAAAGTATTTTTTTAATTTAAAACAGATAAACAATACAGGGTGTAAAAAGACACTTAACGAAGCCGTTAACTACGCATACTGCTGTTCTAACTAAGTAGCTTTACGCTAAAATGCGAAATGACTTTTATTTTTATGTATCAAAAAAAAAAAAAAAAATTGCGCGCAATGTAAAGCAAACGGGCTTCGTGTCATTGTGTGCGTAGGTTCACAGCTTAGCATGAAAACGCTGTGATAAGTAAGTAGGTCGACGTTTTACTTCGCAACAACAAAACAACTCTGTAAAATAAAAATCTCACTTCGATGCACGATGTTTTTTGTGCGGGTCTGCATTTATTTATTACGTACATTACTGTTCGTAACTTCAAATGCGTGATTTACTTAGAAAAATTGAAAATTCAGGTAATGTTTGTTTGGAAAAAAGTTTTGTATTTATTATATTAGAATTCGATTGCGCAAAAAATAATTAAAAATGCATCTTTGACCTTCAATATCTCGAGAACCCGTGGAGTCCCAGCTATGGTCTAAAAAATGATCCAAATAATGGGTAGAATACGTGGCTTTCGGCTTCGTTAAGTGTCTTTTTACACCCTGTATAATAATAACATGGATGTCTTTCTTTCACCAGTGTTATGAGACTCTTCGTGACGCGCTGACTGCGATCAAGGGGAAGCTAGCTCCCGATGGGTTTCCTTTCACTCCTGTGCATACGTTTGTTGTCAACCCCAAATCAATAACCATGGGACAGCTGTATGGAGAATTCGACTTGCAAACTCATGAATGGTACCTCCGTTTTTTTAACTTTATAATTCAAGTGTCGGTAGGTAAGTTCAAAGTGTTCCTAGGGGACCACAAAATGGCTATCATCAGATACCTATACAAAACTTCTTCATTACCGTTTTATCTTAAACTAGCTTCCGCCCTCGGCTTCGCCCGCGTGGTATGTTAACTGTTAACAAAAAGTAGCCTATGTCCTATTTGGCGTGTTAACCGTTTTGGCGTGATTGAGTAACAAACATCCAAACATCGTAACTTAATTTGATTTGCTTAATGAATTTGAACCTTATATCATTGTGTTTAGGACGGATGGGATTCTCTCAAGTTTAGTCCGAGCAGGTATCGCGGTCGAAGACATGGACAAGCGCTGGTACGTCTTCGATGGTCCAGTGGACGCGGTTTGGATCGAGAACATGAATACTGTGAGTCGTGCAGAGTATTATATCAATGTGGGAATGGAATGTTTCCGAATGCTCGGTGAATTGATTGAAAGAGTTTTACATGTGCATCCGAACCCCATTTGTTTGTTTGAATGCGCTAATCTCTAGAACTACTGGTTCGAATTGAATAATTATTTTTGTGTTTGTTACCTACTACATTTATCGAAGAAGGGTTAAGGCTGTAAAACATCACGCTACGATTTGTAGGAGCCGAGCAGCGAGTGAAACCGTGCGATAGAAGCTAGGTAGTAATAATAATAACTGCACTTGCTCAACTCTACGAATTCTGAACCAATCTGGACTGAAATAAACATATAAAGTACAAAAATCTTTATTGACTTCATTTCAGGTTTTAGACGACAATAAGAAGCTGTGTTTATCTAGCGGCGAAATAATGAAGCTGACTGACCGGCAGCGCATGATCTTCGAGGTGGCTGACCTGACGGTAGCCTCGCCCGCTACTGTCTCCCGATGTGGCATGGTATACCTGGACACGCAAGTAGTCGGCCTGCCGCCTCTTATTAACGCCTGGATCAAGAGCAACCTTCCTCCGGTATGAAATACTTTAGCTTTGGGGCCATTTATAAAGTACGTCACATTAACATGATTTTAGAGCTCTCCCCCCTCCCTAGTGTGACGTCACATGATTTGCAATTTCATGGCAAAAAATCATTAAATAGAAACAATAAAATCACACGAGAGTGGAAGTGTGGGAGAGCCATGCTTCAGCACGAATGGGTCGGCTCGACCGGAGTGATACCACGGCCTTACAGAAAACCGGCGTGAAACAACCACAGCGTTGTGTTTCGCCGTGTGAGTGAGGTTACCGGAGGCCCAATCCTTCCCCTCCCCCAATCCCTCTTTAATCCCTAAATCTCCAAATCCCTAATCCCTAAACGGTCGGCAACTCTCTCGTAACTCCTCTGTTGCGGGTGTCCATGGTGTCCATGGGCGGCGCTGATTGCTTACCATCAGGTAATCCGTTCTATGCTCGTTTGCCGACCTATTACATAAAAAAAAACACGAGGTACAGTACGGTCGCCGTATCTTGGCGAGTCTGAAGTTAGCCGTTTGTCTGCGCAATGGATCTTTTAGGAACAAAATTGTGTACTGCGCAGTTAATCGGCTAACTTCAGACTCGCCAAGATACGTCGGCGGTATTGTACGTACGGTGCGTTTGGTGCTTTGGTGGCATTCGTCAAAGAGCTCATCAGCGATCGGCGGGTGTCACTAGAGCGGCTATAAACTCGTTAGCAAAACAATTTACACCGTGTTGTCGTTAAGATAGAGTCAATTTTTTTTTCTCTCTGCCCTTTATTAGATTTTGAAATGTGATGTCACGAAACTTAGGACCCCTTCCACCCCTTGTCACTCCATGTCGTAGAAGGGGGGAGGGAGGGGGGGGGGGGGGCTTATAACTCTCATACGAGAGTGTTACGTACTTTATGGATGGCCACATTTTTCTTCAGAACTCATCATCATCTTTATCAGCTGGTAAGCGTTCACTACTGATCGAAAGCCGCTTCTTGAACAGTAAAAACATTGTTGATCACTATATTCAATCGTAACATGTGTAAAGCTGTTGACTGCACGGGTCAACGAGGTGCACTGGCTGTTCGATTCCCGTACGGATCAACACTTTGTGCGATCCACAATTTGTTGCTTTGGGTCTGCCCGTTATGTGTATGTGTAATTGTATGTTTGTTAAAGCACCCATGACACAGGAGAAAATTGTGTAAGGGGAAAATCGTCAAATGCTTTTTCCCGCCAGGAGAGTCAGACTCTTACTGACTAAAAATCCCCCCGTTCCTTCTCCTGCTCTACTCCTCTCTCCTACCCCGCATTTCAAGGTGCCGCCCCAAATTCTGGACCACTACATCTTTTTTCTAAAATTTGAATAATAGTTTACTTCATCTATGCACCGAAATAAAATACATCCTTCCACAATGTATCGAAATAATTTCTTCATAGATAGCAGATCCGATCCGCAAGATGATAGTGCCTTTGGTCACCACGTATCTGTACCCTGCCTTGGAGCTCCTGCGCGCTGAGCTGACAGAGATAGTGGCCTCAATAGACTCGGCCTTGGTCCTCAAGTTCCTCGAGCTGCTGGACTACAGACTCAGGCCTTTGACTGGAAAAGACGACAGGCCACCACCAGCCGCTAACTTCCTCTCTTTGATGCGTTAGTATTTTTTTATGTGATATGTGATTACCTGATGGTAAGCAATAAGCGCTGCCCATGGACACCCGCAGTAACAGAGGAGTTACGAGTGCGTTGCCGGCCTATTAGGGATTTGGAGATTTAGGGATTGGGGTAGGGGAAGAATTGGGCCACCGATAACCTCAGTCACACGGCGGAACACAACAATGTGGTTTTTCACGCCAGTTTTATGTGAGGCAGTGGTATCACTCCGGTCGAGTCGATCCGTTTGTGCCGAAACATGGCTCTCCCACACTTACATATTATATTATATACAATTATATACAACAGTCTCAGTGATGAAGTGGATATCCTCAGTGATACATTACCGGTATTTAAAAAAAATGTGTTGGGGATTTTTGGGAGGACTGAATTCCAATAAACTTTGTTTAAATAAAAAAAAAAATGTTTTTGTTAAAATAAGTACTTATTTTATTTTAATTTAATTTAGAATCGTAATTTTTGCAATTTCTACCTTATTACTCTTCCTACTATTTTAAATTATATTCTTTTTTATTAATTATTTTTGTGTCACTACGAAAAAAATTTGTGCATGTTGTGACACCTTAAAATGCTGTACATTTAATTTTATTATAGTGTGTTTAATGTTTAGATGTAAGAAATGATGTAGCAGCTACTGGTTGTCCATAATTAAATAAATAAATAAATATTCACGGGACTTATTGACTCATGCAATAGCTTGTTTTTAAAAAGTGTTTTTTTTTGTATGCCATCTTTTATAGCTCGTTTGGCTCCTTTGTGGGTAATCTGGTCCATCATTTGGTCTGTGGGAGCGACCTGTGACCTAAGGAGCCGCGGTATATTCTCCGAGTTCATTAGAAAAATCACAACCGAAGCTGGGCTCAAACCTTTGTTCCCGGCAGAAGGAAGAGTCTTTGATTACACGTAAGTGAGCATTATCACATTAAACATATTTTTATGGTATAAATAGGTCAGCAAACAAGCAGACGGAATATCTGATGGTAAGCAATCAGCGCCGCCCATGGCAACCGCAGCGCCCAAAGGAGTAACGAGTGCGTTGCCGGCCTTTTAGGGATAAAGGTTTCTGATATCAGAATTGGGAAGAGATGGGGGGTAGGGGGAGGGATTGGGTCTCCGGTAACCTCACTCACACGGCGAAATACAACGCTGTGGTTTTTTGACGCCCCTTTTATATGAGGCCTTTATATCACTCCGGTCGAGCGGACTCATTAGTGCCGAAGCTTGGTTCTCCCACACTGACGTTTATAAAATCACATAAAACAACCTCGAGATGGATTTCAGTCAGACTTCCATTCGTTCTCTTTTCATCCTGGGTGAGAGAAGTCATTTGATGATTTTCCTCAGCTGTTGGATCTGGAACCAATGGAATAAAAATCAACGTTACGCTTAAGTACCATTTCGAAGGTTAAAGTCACTTGAATAACAAAGAAATATTCCAATTTAACGATTCGAACTTTATCCTTATACGAATAAAGTAATTTTTCATTTGTTTACTTAAAACATCAGGCTCCATGATGGCGGTTTCACAGACCCGACGGAAGACGGGGAACCAGCCAACCCCTATTGGTACAGCTGGATGGTGAATGTGGGAGATTACGTTGTCGATCCCGACTGGCAATATGCAGGTTTGTAGACGTACTAGTCTAGTTTATCTTCTGATTCATATATTTCGTTGTGGGATCCAAAGACCCTCCCTGGACCCTGGGACGCACCGGATTTCAGTGTTCCGGTGTTTTCATATTTAAATCTACTGTAGATCCTGACTTAAAAGAGGTGTGGTTTTAGGAGGTTGCAATGGGCTTGTACCAATGAAAAAAAAACGCTAGTACCTTTTTTTTTCATGTAACTATCTGTCAACCTATTCATCTATACTTATAATATTATAAAGCTGGAGAGTTTGCTTGTTTGAACGCGCTAATCTCCGGAACTAGCTTGTTAGAACATTTATCGAGGAAGGCTTCATAAAACACTTTATAATATTAGTAGGTATAGATTTTTCTCTACCAACAAACCTTCTCTGGACTTCCACAAATAGTTCAAGACCGAAATTAGGCAAATTAGTAAAGGCATTGTTGAGTTATAACATTACAACGAAAAGAGGAAGTTTGAAAGTGGCGCCAGTGACTGAAAAGTTGAAAGGGAACCGTTTGTCTTGGTATGGCCATGTGAAAAGGAGGGATGAAAAGCATGTAACAAAAAAGTAATGAGTATAAATGTGGATGGATGGTGAGGGAGGGGGAGACCAAAGAAAATATGGATGGATTGTGTGAGAAGTGATATGGAAGACAGAGGAGTTAGCGATAGCGTGATGAGTGACAGGACAGAATGGAAGAAAAAAACATATTGCGCCGACCCCAAAAAAAACGGGACAAGGGCAGGAAGATGATGAACGAAAAGTGGCATTGATTTTTATATATTATATTATGTAGACATATAAACGGCTTTTCCAGACATCGAGGTCCCAACGCTGGACAACGTGCGAAGCGCAGCGATACTGGGCTACAAGGTGACAAACTACAACCACGTGATATGCGTGGGGCCCACCGGTACCGGGAAGACGATCACCATTACTGCGAAACTGACACACGGCTTACACAAGAAATTCATTTGCGAATTCCTTGTATTCTCAGCCAGGACTTCCGCTAATCAGACACAGGTAATTTAGAAAGAATAAAGAAAGAAAAATGCATTTATTTGTACTTTGAATGCTGGCGTTAGTATAAATCTATGCTATATATTTATATGTTTGTATATTTATACTATGTTGTTATTTATGTATGAGCAATAATTTTGTAGCATGTGTATTGTTTTTTTTCCTTTGTTAATATCGAATAGATTATATGCACCTACCACTGCTATTTCTCCACCACCCAAAGGTAGACGGCAGAGAAACGACTAAGGCGTTTAGTCCGCCATTGTACGTTGTGATATATACATAAATGATGTTGAGTGAATTTTTTTTATTTAAGTATTATTTTATTCAGATGTGTGTTGAAAAACGTCGTATGATACACGTGTGTATTGATGATTAACGTCCTCGGCTCGTTAAGACCCTTGCAAATGCATCATCATCATCATCATAATCATCAACTTTACACAACGGAGGTTACCGGTGGCCCAATCCCGCCCCTTCCCGATCCCTATATCCGCAACCCCTATCCTCAAAAGGCCGGCAACGCACTCAACTCCTTTGGTGTTGCGGGTGTCCATGGGCGGCGCCGATTGCTTTCCATCAGGTAATCCGTCGGCTCGTTTGCCGACTTATACCATAAAAAACTTATGTAACATAATGTATTATTATTTTTTAGGACGTGATAGATGGAAAGTTGGAGCGTCGTCGGCGTGGTGTTTACGGCCCTCCTCCTACCAAGCGCCAGGTGTTCTTCATAGATGACCTGAACATGCCAGCGCTTGAAGTGTACGGGGCTCAACCCCCCATCGAACTGTTAAGACAGTTCATGGACTTTGGAGGTGAGCTCATAATCTGCTAGCTTTTGGTCGCTTTCTTATTTTACTTATTTATTTTTTTACCAACAATTGTTTACACTTGTATTATGTTAAAACAATCACTTACAGGTTAACTCCGCATGCTTTAAGGGAAGGTTAGATATGAGAGAAAAAATAAAAAAAAGACTTAACTAAACTAATCTTAAATTATTATTGCAAACACGCGACTCCATAAACGCTTTTTTGTGAGAGGAAAATCATCAAATGACTTCTCCTGCCCAGAGCCGGGCGGGAGGGAGTGTCAGACGCTTACTGACTAAAAACCCCCCTGTTCCTTCTCTTGCTCTGGGCCGCGGTGACCCATTGCGCTTAACCCGCAACCCCGGCTGACAGCCCTATTGTGCCCCGTCTGTGGTGGTTTATTGGTTCTTTGAAGCGCGCGTGGAACGCTACGCGCCGTACGCTCGGGCTCCATAAATGTGTAATACAGATCGAGATATTTATATATAGTAGCTTTAGTACGAGCTTTTATGGACGTTCTCGATCACCACGCTAGCTCAAGGCGGATTGGTGATTTCTGAAGAATATCTGGACACTGGGAACCCCGGGAAGTCGGTTACAGTAAAACCACGTCAATTGCGTAACAGATTTATTGAGAGACTGGCTCACACATGCAAGGTTGAATATACCCACTTATTTTTATAATTATAAAATATAGAATTAGCTACATCACAATTTCAAACTTGTATACTTATAATTATACCCTCATGCATGGCAAGTGGGCGCCTTAACCTCACGACACATAATGACTATCGACGGTAAGTGGAGTATCAACAGAAAAAATATTGGTCAATTCAAACCAGTAGTTTTGGAGATTAGCGCCTTTAAACAAACAAATAAACTCTCCAGCTTCATAATATTTGGTATGGACTATACCTACCTACTATAATTACTCAAGGTTGTTTATAAATAAAGGTTCTCGAATAAACTGTAACTGCGGGTCTGTCGTCGGCGAGCAAAGGTAGCCCGCGAATCAGACCTGAGTGTGCGGCGCCTACCGAGCGCCCCTCAAAGAGCCAATAGACCGCCACAGACGGGGCCGTGGTACAGAGCGGATGTTAAGTCGGGGTTGCGGGGCCAGCGCAATAGAGTACTGGGGACTGAGCCTGGGGTAGAAGAAGGGGGTGGGGTGGGGGGTTTAGGGGGGGTTTAGTAGTATGCTTTACGCTTTACTGGGCAACTCATTTTGCAAAAAAGGGTCTAGAATGGAGAAGTTGTTCTACTACTTTTATCAGCGTGATGTTAAAAGACATATATGATGGTTCTGGAACTTATGTTATACCAGCACAGACGTCCTCATTCATTTTGTGTATTGTTTGAGTGGACCTTCCCCACGCCCCAACCCAAATCCCTAAATCTCCAGTCCTCAAATCCCTAACCCGAAAAGGCCAGTATCACTGATAAAGTTTCTGGTGATAAGGGGTGTCTAATAGATCCATCTGCTCGTTTGCCGCCCTAAACACAGTATGACAATCCTTTCTGCTATAAAATTAAATGGTTGTTGTAAAATTATAATTTCAGTTTAAAGTTTTTTATTCTGTTTTTTCTTTAAAACAATGTTGCATTACACATTTTCTTTATGTTGTATGTAAAACGTTGCCCTACACTAGGATTTTCTCCTGTGTCGTGGGTGAGTTTACAAACAATTTCACAAACACATCACACCCAGACCCGGAACAACAATTTGTGGATCACAAAAGAGTTGTTCTATGCGGGAATCGAACTCGCGACACGTTGCGCGGCAGCCAGTTGCCCAGCCACCGCACCAACCGTGCAGTCTATCACAATGAATAAGAAGTTAAGTTCTAACTTTAAATAAGTACCGAAAGACTTGAAGCTTAAAATTTTTGCATAAAAATATTGATTTTATAAAAACAATGCAGGTTGGTACGACAGAGAGAATATTGGCGATTTCATGACGCTGGTGGATGTTGGCATCGTTGCTGCGATGGGTCCGCCCGGCGGTGGTCGCAACCCGGTCACCATGCGACTCATGCGCCATTTCCACTACATTTCCTTCACGGAGATGGAATACTCCAGCAAGGTATCGATATTTTTTATAATTGAATTTATTGCTTACGTAATGTACCTACAAGCTTCATCATCATCATCATCAGCCGGAAGACGTCCACTGCTGGACAAAGGCCTCCACCTACAAGCTTAGTTTTAGTCAAATAAAACCACCATCTATCGGATCGGAGCGTTAGCCTAACGAGCACTATCGTCAGGCATAATATAGCCTTATTAGGGTGATCGAACAACACAGAAGCAGCGTAGACTTCTTAACCGAAGACGTTTAATTTAAATTACAACAAATCTCACTAATGTAAACTACGAAACTGATAACATATCTGCAGTAAGTCACTATTTCACGCGAACGGAGTTGCGGGCAAAGCTAGTTCAAAATAAAGTAGTGCATCAAAGCTACGCTAACAATCCTTTTCCCGGACCCTTCCCCAATCCCTAACCCCTAAAAGGTCGGCAACGCACTCGTAACTCCTCCGTTGCGGGTGTCCATGGGCGGCGTTGATTGCTTACCATCAGGTAATCCGTCCGCTCGTTTGCCGACTTATTACATAAAAAAAAAAACATCAAAGCTACAAAGATCGCCGGGTCAGCTAGTGTTTATTAAAAATAACTTAATTTACAATTGCATCGAAAATTTCACCAGCATCAATGTCACTGGGGAAAGTGCCACATTGTATGGCAACGTTCAGCTCTACTCATTTAACTACTGCCAGCCATCCTGGGGATGTAGTTAGTCCACCTAGCTGGAAGGCGCCCCACATTATGTTTGCGTACACGTGGTCTCCACTTTAGAACACGTTTACCCTACTGGTTCTTCGATAAATGTGACCTGGCTCTTGCCACTGCAGTTGGCTTGCAATTGGGTCCACTGCTGGACATAGAGTTCACTGCTGGACACAGGGTCTAGCAGTGGAGTGGAGTGGACAACATCAGGCTGATGATGATGATGATGATGATGATGATGATGATGATGATGATGATGATGATGATGGCAATATTTATCCTCTATCCCAAGAATAACCGAGACATCTTTTTGAATAAAGTAAGCGCAGGCGGTCCCCATTTGTTGCTTAAAACTTGAATACCATTATGGATGAATTATGTACATATTTTGTATAGCAAAAATGTAACATGATTATCAGTATTTATTTATTTATTTATTAAAACTTCATGCACAATGGGTACATAGGCGGACTTAATGCCTCAGGCATTTTCTACCAGTCGAGCCTTGGGTGATGCAGAGATGAGCCAATGGTCGGTGCAAGAAGCAAGCAAACAGACTTAAATTTAAATGAGCGAAGACGAGATAGGTACATATATATGTGCAAATATTTACACACAAGTTACAAGTTACAATATAATATATATAAACTAAGTACTCAAATTACATAATATATTTATAAATAACATATACATATATAATATATACTTATAATTATTATAATATACTATATATATGGTGGTCACGATTCAGCCAAACCTTTTAGCAAGAGCTCACGAACCTTTTGTTTGAAAGTCAAACGACTAGACACCATCCTGATATCAGGGGGGAGCGCATTCCACAGCAAGACAGACTGGACGAAAAAGGAGGAGTGGAGAAAATCAGTACGATGAGTGGGACATTGAAAAAGACGGTTATGGGAAGAACGAAGGTTCTTGCTGTGGTTTGCGCACATGTATTGAAAGTAAGACGATAGATAGCTAGGCGAAAAAGGTGAGGTAAGGAAAGAGAACAGAGTGGTTAGCGCCCTTTGCTCCCTGCGCTGGCGTATGGGCAACCACTTTAATTGCAACCGATGTGCAGAAACATGATCATATTTACGCAGGTTGAAAACGAATCGAATGCAGTTGTTAAGAAGTCGGTCAAGTTTATTGAGTAGATCAGCATTCAGGTCGTAGTAACAAACATCAGCATAATCAATAATAGGAAAAACCAAGGCCTGCACCAGCATCGCTTTCGTAGCAGACGGAAGCAAATTCTTCAGTCGATACAGTGTCCGTAAGGATCCAGTGACCCTCTTACATACGCTCGCAACTTGTGCATGCCACTTCAAAGTACAGTCAATATACAGGCCCAGATCCTTTACCTCATTGCTTAGCGGGATAGTGGCACTATCAAAGAGAATGTTTGGTAAATTTGCTCGGTTCATTCCGCTTAGCGTACGAGAGCTACCTATAATGATTGCTTGGCATTTTAAAGGATTCACCGCTATGCCAAACCGTTCAGACCAGTTCTTAATAGCAGTCAAGTCGCTATTGATCGTCATAATTGCTTCAGAGAGCCCATCAATATTAGCTGGACAGTATAACTGCAAGTCATCGGCATACAGATGGTACGCACACTGAAGTTCAGAAGTTATTAAATTAATGAAGATGGAAAATAAAAGAGGAGATAATATACCGCCTTGAGGAACGCCAGTTTTCAATTTGCACCAATTAGATGAAACCTCATCAAGCTTAATCGACTGCTGACGGTCCTGAAGATAGGAAGAGAACCATTCCAACGATTTGCCAGAGATCGCAAGATGGGATAAGATTGCTAAAAGGATTTCGTGACTGACCATATTGAAGGCATTCGAAAAATCAACCAAAACCAGAATGGTGGCCTTGGTATCCTCGAGGGCCGCTCTAATATCGCCAGTCACTTTGAGGAGGGCGGAAACCGTGCTGTGCCCAGGTCTAAATCCAGATTGCAGAGGGCTGATAAGTCCATTCATGTAAATGTATCTTGAAAGCTGTTTATGAACACAGGCTTCGAGGACTTTGGATAGGAACGGGAGTATAGATATAGGCCGAAAATGAGAGGGAATAGTAGGAACAGTGACTTTCGGAAGAGGACGGACATAGGCATTACGCCACAGGGATGGGAAGGTTCCGGAAAAGAGGGAATAATTTATGATATGGGTTAAAGCTGGCAGGAGGTGATCCAAGATATTAATGATCATATGACGAGAAATGTTATCACAACCTACAGCTTTGGACTTGATGGATAGGATTATCTTACGGACCTCCGACAATTCAACTGGTACGAAGAGAAAAGGATGAGAGATGTTGGGACGCATCAGATCAGAAATAAAGTCCACGGTGCGTTTTTTGACTAGACGATCCATAAGAGGGACTGTGGAGAAATGATTGTTTAGATCATCTAAGTCAATTGAATTGGGAAGACCTGAATATTGCGCTTTGCCGACACCTAGAGTTCGAAGGAATTTCCAGATGTCAGCAGAAGAGGAATTAGAGATATTTTCGAGAACATGGTGGCGCTTAGCGTTACGCACCATCTAGTTACACCTATTTCTTGCAATCTTATAGGCTGTCCAATTTTCTTCTGTACGGTCCGTTCGATGAACGCGAAAAGCACGGTCTCGGCGCCGCATTGCCATCCTAATGCCTCGCGTCATCCATGGAGCAGGCGGCCGCTTTATTTTCACTTTCCTGAAGGGAGCGTGATGGTCATACAGATTAGTCACAGCTGTATTAAAAACTGCAACTTTGTCGTCGATTCCAGTAGCCTCCATTAGAGGCTCCCAGTCTATCAATGACGCATCTTTTTACAATTTTGCTTCATCCACCCGCGCAAAACAACGCCTATACAAGACCCTAGGTTTCACCCTGGGCGGTTTTAGGATGTAGGATAGGAAGATCAGGTCATGGTGAGAAAATCCTGGAGCGTCACGTTGACCATGACAAGATACAAAGGCAGGATTCGAGGTAAGGATTAAATCTAGCCAAGAATCATCGCCCACGGTGTTGTGGTGAGTGGGATTAAGAGCCAATACATGGAAGTTAGCAGATTCAACAATTTGAAGGAGTTTACGGGACCGATAGGATTCATGGGATAGGAGATTGGTGTTAAAATCGCCCATGATTACGTGATGTGTGTACTCAGAACCCAAAGATTCAAGAACCGATTCGAAGTCGGTGAAATAATCTACAGTAGGCGGGCAGTAAACAACACCCAATACAATTTTACCCCCTTGGCCAGAGACTTCGAGGAAAAGGTACTCCGCAGGGCAGCCAGAAGCTGAAGTGAAGAGCACCTTATACATAAACTCGCTGCGCAGATATATACCCACACCACCCCCCCTCCTAACAGTCCGGTCATTCTCTGTACTTGACACTACGTCATCATCGTCATTATTAATAGCCATACGATTAATTTCATAAACATGAAAGTGTGTATGTTTATTAGTCTTTCACTTAAAAACTGGTAAACGGATTTTGATGACAAACGGCACACGGATAGATTATGATTTGCAATAACACGTAGAGGCTAGTTTACTACCGATAAAGCAGGCAATCTGTCTTTTTTTTATTTCATTTCGGGATCCAAGACAGTTGTTCGTATCTATGCATTGCATTTAACCAAAGTAACGTGTTTTTTTATTTCAGTACGGAATTTTTTACACCATACTCAAATCATGGACTCGGAATTTCGATCCGTCGAAAGCGATCAATCTAAACGAAGGACCATTCCTCAAGGCTTCACTAGATATTTTCAGTGCTTTAGTAGAAGAATTACTACCGACCCCTACGAAGTCGCACTACACGTTCAACTTGAGAGACCTTAGCAAGGTATTCCAAGGGATTCTGATGATGGACCCAAAAACTGTGACCGTGAGTATTTTTTTTATTAATAACTTCAATTATTTTCTTAATGACAGTCTTGTACTCAGAAAAAACATCATTGCGCTTACAATTGAAACTCCGGCTAGACATCGGGTCTATTGGGCCTTACCTATGGTGGTCTGATAGCTCTTTAAGGCATACCTTCATTATCACATTCTATCAAGACTAATTACTTTATGTGTAAGTCAAATTTAGTATAGAATCAAATTAAATTATTTTTATACCAACATGGTCATGGACATCGGTCATTGATATTAGGTCTAAGTTTTTTAGGCATTAACGCGGAAGTTGACCTCTACTTACAGCAGAACCATAAGTTGCAACTGCCAACAGATTATAAATCAAAGGGCCATGGGACCATGCCAAAGAATGAAGCCTTTGATAAACAGTGAGAAAGTTCGCAGAATGTTTGTACCTACATTTCTCAACTCCCAATATTCAATCTCCAAATCCCCAATTCCTTAAAAACCAGTAAAGCACAAAGTGTTACGGTTTTCCATAGGCGGCACCGATTGCTTAATATCAGGTAAAAGGTCAATTCATTGGCCGCCTGATGCTATAAAAAATTGTTTATCTTATTACCAGGAAGTGGACGATGTGATCAGGCTGTGGTACCACGAGCACCAGCGCGTATACCAGGACCGACTAGTAAACGACACTGACCGCCAATGGTTCACCGAGTAAGTCTTACTATTATTTTCAGTCACGTTGATACATTCATTCGTCATCTGTTCATTTCCGTTCACTGCTAGACACAGATTTTTGTTCCAATGCTATTAAGCGATCTTGCGTAGATTTTGGTCGCCGATGCTCCGGGGATTTCCATTTCTGCAGTTCACTTAGGTTAGCCCTGGGCCCCTCCATCAACACTATGATTAATGTGCGATTTCGCTAGGTCGGTTTCGTTTCATTTACTAGCTTCTGCCGGCGGCATCGCCCCCAGAACTAGGGTAAACATAGTTTGTGTTATTGTAGTCTACCTCTAAGCTAAATTTTATTCGGATACGCGTATTAGTGTAAGAGTAACATCCACTCCATACTTAAAAACTTTCGCGTTAACGGGAAACACACATTGTTTTGCTTGATCCAAGGCAAGAGTTTTGACTCTATTTGACCAACAGAATAGTGATGGATGGGCTGGCAATGCTCTCGTTAATCCTCTGGCGTTTTGGGTGTCCATTGTGGCGCTGATAGCTTACTATCAGGTGATTCGTTTACTCGCTTGCCGATCTATCCTATAAAAAAACATGTATGACTATGTTTTTTATAATAACTATCGTGAGACATACTAAATTAACTAAAAATCATGTAGTAGTTGGAGTAGGCTGCGCGACATCGCTGCGTCCGCGCACGCTGCTCTGAGGAAGAACCCCTCTGTAAAACTATAGAACTTTTCCCAATTTACACACGTGAGAAACCCGCGACTTTTAGTTTTATTTTACTTGCTATAAACTAGTGCTTGACTGCGATTCCACCTGATAGTAAGCAGTGATGCTTGATGATCGTTAATGGTAAGGCGCACTAGTTTATTAAGAGCCTATTCACTCTAGCCTTGAAGACACCTAAATTGTATTCGGACGGAAAGACTGCAGCCGGCAAACTGTTCCAATCCCTCGATGTACGCGGTATGAATGACGAAGCAAAACGCTTAGTCCGGGCCGCAGGTGTCTCAAAAACCTTAATTTAACATGTATGACTATTTCTTTTTGCCATATATCGTTGTTGTCCCATTATAATTTCAGCTTGATGAATAAGAAGTTACGGTCAGAGTTTAAAAAGGAACCAAGCGAGTTGTTGGCTGGCAGGTTGATGTTGTTTGGGGACTTCATGGACCTCGGCGCTGACGATAGAAAGTACGTCGAGATCGTGGATGAAGAAGAGGTGACTTCATTTATAAATTAAATCTTAATTTGGTTTTGGGTAGTTTTTTACCGTCAAAAAGTAATTATTTCAATCTATCGTCACACGTTCGTTTATTAAATTAACGATATGACTATTTATTTAATATTCGTATTTTCTTAAAGATATTTAAGAGTGCTATATGCATATGCATAAGTGTGCTATTTGGCGTAAAAAATATGACGTCACCACCCGCGATTTCATACAAAAATTTAGTTTTTGACATTTTTGAAAAAGTATTGAATTTGACTAGTTGAAAACTGATGGATATTATAGGTAAGTAGCGACAGTCATCTACTATAGGGTGATTTTAGCTAGATAAACGAAATAGAAAAACCAAAAATAATTTTGAAATTCGAAAGTGTAGCTCCACAAAAAAAGCTTTAGTTGAGATTTAATTTATCAGGTAAAAAGTATGTAGTTGTAATGTATACTAATATTATAAAGAGGTAAGTTTGTATGTAATCTTCGGAACCGCTGGTCGGATTGCCAAAATTCTTTCACTGATAGGTAGCTACAATGTTCCTGAGTGCTATAGGCTATAAATGGAGCCGAGCAGCGGGAGAGCGTGGAACCGCGCGAGAATAGCTAGTCTCTGATATTTTTGTTTCTCTTTCAGTTGGACGAGGTCTTGACGCATTACCTTGATGAGTACAATTTGTCGAGCACGGCTCCTCTTGATTTGGTGCTGTTCGATGACGCCGTCGCCCATCTCTGTAGGATAGCGCGCATCATGAGGCAACCCATGGCTAATGCATTGCTTTTAGGCATGGGTGGATCAGGTTAGTTACATAGAACTTTTATTGACACTGAATTTAACTGGTTATATTTTCATTACAACTTTGGTGAGACATTCTAAATTAATTATTATGTTTTCGGCTTACTCACGTAATAATCAGGCCGAGTCGCGTGTCGCGGAATGCTGCTCATGAATATGGGCCTCTAGCATGGATCGAAACTAGTCGAGTATCTCGTCAAATTATTACGCGAGTAAGCCGAAAACATAATAATTAGGTTATATTTTCATTTTCATTTTCATAATACTATAAAGAGGTAAAATTTGTTAGTTTGTAAGTTTGTATGTAGGCGGTAATCTTTGGAACCGCTGATCGGATTGTCAAAATTGTTTCACTGATAGATAGCTATAATGTTCCTAAGTGCTATAGGCTATAAAACATCACGCTACAATTAAATGGAACCGAGTAGCGGGTGAAACCGCGTGAGAGTAGCTAGTATTTTCATAAAGGCATTGTTCGTGGAAACAGAAATAAAGTAAGACAACCTTTTTTTTGGTTAAATCTCTCAAAGTTTTCCTTTAAAGTATTTTAATCTTTTGGTACGTTCACACGCTTGGCAAGTCTCGACAAGCATCCACAAACACAGGTGTTAAACAGCGTGTTTGCCGTGGCTTGCATGAGCTTGTTGCCGATCCGGTCCGGTGTCAGTTTTTGGACAAAGGTCAAAGGAAATTTGTGACAAGCGTTTGCGACACGTTGACGCGTGTTTGATACTTCGAGCTTGTGGACTTTTGCCAAGTCTCGACAAGCGTGTAACGTAGTATTAGACTTATGTGAATGCAATTAGATTTCAGTTTTATTTTGATCTTTCAAGTTAACGCGCCTTCAAGTATATATTCTTACCTAAAAGCATGTAAGTGTTCAATGTTTTAAATCGGTCGGAATAAATGTTTTATATGTTTACTAAATTAAATTTTACATAGTCTTATCTTCGTTTTAAGCTCGCCCAACTCTGACCGCAAAGCAGCTGTTTATAAATTATCTGATTTGGAAGCGATCTAAATTTGGGTGTGCTGTTCATAACTGTAACGGCCAAAGTTTTATCACCAGAACCGCTAAGGAGTGGAAATCTTTGCCGGAGTCTGTTTAGCCTGAAGGGTATAACCAAGGTCCCTTCAAGGCTTGAGTAAATAGATTGCTTATGGGTAGGCGCGTTCCATCGTAGGTCGCATCGACGCCTACCACGTGGTAGCGGCCAACTGCCTGGCCATAACGAAATAAAATACCTTTTGAAAGGAATAAAATCCTACTAAACGAGGGCGGGCAACACAAGTCATACGCTGTTTTAACGCGTGCACCCCCTCTCTAGGTCGGATCTGTTAGATGGAAAAAACAGTTTCGCGCGCTTTTGTACTGTAAAGCCGATTTCTTAAATTATATGTCTATTCATTAATATCGTGTTGCTTTCATGTTAAAACTATCAATATTTTGCGCTTGTGAAAAATCTTGTATCGCAAGTTTTCTAACTTTACACAGGACGCCAATCACTGTCGCGGTTGGCCGCCAATATGGCTGAGTTGATTTGCATTCAGATTGAGATCACGAAGGCCTATGGGTTCGCGGAGTGGCGCGAGGACCTAAGGACGACCATGTTGAAGGCAGGCGTTGAAAATAGAGGCATTGTCTTCTTATTCGCTGATGCGCAGGTAACACTTGTATCATACCATCTGCCATTCCGTGTAAAAGAGATGCCATTTGAAAATAAATGCAACACCGACTTTTATCAAGCGGACAGATCAAAGTCAAAGTCAAAATCATTTAGGTATTTCAATTAGACCAAAGTAGCCACTTTGGAACGTCAAGCAAAAGAAAGGCGCTGCCCATGGACATCCGAATACTAGACGACTGGTCTCATTTGTCCCGGAGCATGGCTTGTCCTAGTGAAAACCACGTATGGCAGTGTTAGCTGTTACCCAAGTGTAGGAGAGCCATGCTATATTGTAAATTGTTCGGCTGGCTGACAGGTGTTCGTCATGTCCCCAATTCTTAAATTCATTACCACTTAAACCCTTGCAATTCGTCTGGTGTCGCAGGTAACTTTGGCCGGCGATTGGTTACCACACATCAGGTGCTCTGCCTGGCCGCCTTATCCCATAAATATAGCAATAACTTAGCAAAGACTTAGCACTTATGTGTAAGTGTGTGTATATAATATGTGTAAGTGTTTTTTTTTTGTGAGGGGAAAATCGGCGGGAGGGAGTGTCAGACTCTTACTGACTAAAAACCTCCCTGTTGAGGAGGAGGATTGCTCCCTCACGCGGGCCGCCTCCCTCTTTGCGAGCATAACTGCTTCACAGAAGGAGGAGACGGCGTCATATGTATGTGTGGGAGAGAAATGTTTCGGCACGAATGGGTCGGCTCGACCGGACTGACACCACGACCTCACAGAAAACAACGTTGTGTTTCGCTGTGTGAGTGAGGTTACCGGAGACCTAAACCTTCCCCTCCCGCCTCCCGAGGGAGGGGAATCCCTCCTCAATCTCCAAATCCCTAATCCCTAAAAGGTCGGCAACGCACTCGTAACTCCTCCGTTGCGGGTGTCCATGAGCGGCGCTGATTGCTTACCATCAGGTAATCCGCCTGCTTGTTTGCCGATCTATTACATAAAAAAAACTTATGTCTAGAATAAGACATAATCCTGTCTATTGTTTGTTTGAACGCGCTAATCTCCGGAACTACTGGTTCAAATTGGACAATTCTTTTTGTGTTCGTTAGTCCATTCATCGAGGAAGGCTATAGGTTATAAAACATCACGCTATGGTCTGTAGGGACAGAGCAACGGTTGAAACCGGTTGAAGTAGCAATTATGTCATAAAGTTGTTTAACTCTTTCAGATAAAAATGGAATCGTTCCTTGAGGACCTAAATAACATTCTGAGTTCTGGTGACGTGCCAAATATATACGAGGTGGAAGATTTGGACAAGATATACCAGTCGATGCGCCATGCAGTAATGGAGTTGAATCTGGTGGCTACGAAGACCAATTTGTTTGGTTGCTACCAGAAAAGAGTTAGGAGCAACTTGCATATTGTAATCGTCATGAGCCCTATCGGCGAGGTAAGAATCGCTTTTAGCTCTTGGCTGAATCAGGTAGTTTTCTAGGTCAAAAATAAATTAATCCGACGTTTCAATACAACCAAATATTGAAAAATACCTATACTTTTATTGATCGATCGATCTATACACTAAATTTTAGATATTTATTAGCATTTTTTTAAGAGATAAGTAAGATATTTGACGCTAAAATACTATGACGTCATAACTCAGCGTTTCATACAAGCATAGAAAAGTATCGTTATTGACATTTGAATGGAAATGGTTGGAAACTACCGTATTGCAACTCTTTTACGAAAACTACGTTTATGTGTGGGAGAGCCATGCTTCGGCAAGAATGGGTCGGCTCGACCAGAGTGTCTACGGCCTCACATAAAACCGGCGTGAAACAACCACAGCGCTGTTTTGTCGTGTGAACGAGGTTACAGAGTGGAGGCCCAATCTCCTCCTCCTCCAATCTCTCCCCAATCCCATAATCTTCAAATCCCTAATCCCCAAAAGGTCGGCAACGCACTCGTAACTCCTTTGGTGTTGCGGGTGTCTATGGGCGGCGCTGAATGCTTCCTATCAGGTAATCCGTTGGCTCGTTTGCCGACCTATCACATAAAAAAAAACCACTCGAGTAGAGTCCTCTTTGTGTAAAACCTTGCAGGAGTGGCAAAGGAATGGGAGTTCTTTTGACATACGACGTCGAGAATAAGTCAGTGTTGTTTTATGTGTTTTTTCCTTAGATATTCAGATCACGGCTCCGTCAGTTCCCGTCTCTGGTGAATTGTTGCACCATTGACTGGTTCAGCGAATGGCCGAAGTCTGCCCTCGAGTCGGTTGCGTACCACTTCTTCGAGAGTATGGGAGAACTCACGGAGACATCTGATGAAGTCCTTAAATCTATGGTGGTATGTATTTTTTTCTTTTTACATCAGCGACATGATGTCTACTACATCAGCAAATTGACTGCACGGTTGGTGCGGTGGCTGGGCAACTGGCTGCCGTGCAACATGTCGCGGGTTTGATTCCCGCACGGAACAACTCTTTGTGTGATCCACAAATTGTTGTTCCGGGTCTTCATATATATGTGTAATTGTACGTTTGTAAACGCCCTGAAACTGTATGTTTAATAATTTCCGTTGTCTCTGTTGCTATTTCTAGCAACTATTCCCGGGGTCCCGGTCGGTGAGTTGGCGAGTCTCAACCTGCCATTTTACGTGTATTTATTACATTGTTTCGGCACGTGCCATAGTCCTTCCATAGTTCCCATCATACCAGCCCATAGCAACCCACACCCATAGCCTTGTACTTTGTTTCCATTATCCGCAATAGTCCCACACTAACCGGAGACTGTCTTTTAGTGCATTTCCATAGTGCATACAGAGATAGTCGCCGGTTTGTGTCCCATTTCATTTAGATCAAAGTTGTCTCAAGGGCTTCTGCGTAGTTGGTTCCAAATGATCGGGGCCCTGTGGTCCTGTGATTGGTAAAGATATACATAATAATAATAATTTATTTTAACTCATGCTTCGTATCCACACAGTCAGTCTGTTGTTTCGCGCACCAATCTGTAGTGGAAGCGAGCGAGAGATTCAAGGAACAACTGAACCGTATTAACTACGTGACTCCGATGTCTTACATGGAGATGTTAGGCGCCTACTCTGAAATGTTCCGCAAGAAACAGAAGGCCATACTCAAAGAGTCCAGTGCGCTGAAAACTGGTCAGTTATCATGTACATTATTATTATTAGTCATAGTTTGTCCACTGTTTGCCAAACGCTTTCCCTTAAAAACATTTAAGATCCTAGTTAAATCACCAATTTAACCTTTCGCCCGCGTGGTATGTTGATAAAAAGTAGCCTATGTTCTATTGATGCCTGTGCAAATGTCATCCAGATCCGTCCAGCCGTTTTGGCGTGATTGAGTAACAAATATCCAAACATCGTAACTTTCGCATTTAAAATATTAGTAAGATTAACATACGCCGTTTTCCCCATAAATACTAACAATATCTACTGTAAAAAACGAAAACTGTTCTATGGATTTGGTATGGAAAATAGGCTTGTGACGTCATCACATCTCAGAAAAGTTAAATGCAATTATTTTTCAATATCTAATTGTATTGAAATCTCGCGGAAATTTATTTTTGACTGAGGTAAATGCACAATTGGGTAGTTTCCTGGGTCAAAAATAAATTTATTCGACGTTTCAATACAATAAAATATTGAATAATAACTATAATTTTATTTGTCGATCGATAAATCGATAGATAGACACTAAATTTTTTATATTTTTACCTAATTTTTTAAGAAATAAGTACGGTATTGGACGTAAATATGCTGTGACGTCATAACTCAGTGTTTCATACAAATTTCATAGAAAAGTATCGTTTTTGATCTTGGATAAAAGTATTGAATTTGGCTAGTTGGAAACTACCGTATTACGATACCAAAACAGTCATATGCCTAACTCTTTTTTTATAGGATTGAACAAGTTGAATCAGACAGAAATAGAAGTAAAGGAGCTTCAGATTGAGTTGGCTGAACTGAAACCCTTGATGGAGAAGGCGGCTGAGGAGACACGGCACGTCATCGAACAGATTGCCACAGATACTGTGAGTAGTACAGCCAATTTTAAATTATTGTTTTTGACGTGACAACGTCTAATAAGTCGATAATACGGGGTGAATTTTCAAGTGTGGGAGAGCCGTGCTTCGGCATAAATGGGTCGGCTCGACCGGACTGAGACCACCCATGGACACCTACCAAGGAGTTAAGAGTGCGTTGCCGGCCTTTTAGGGCTAAGGGATTGAGGCAGTGGGAGGGATTGGGCCTCCCATAATCTCACTCACGCGGCGAAACACAACGCCATGGTTGTTTCACGCCGTTTTTCAATGAGATGGTGGTATCACTTCGGTCGACCCCCTTCGTGCAAACAGAAGCTTGGCTCTCCCACACATGCTAGGTTCTTTTTTAGCGATACTAACGAATAAAATCCATTTGACATTCAAGAAATACGTTTTCATACATTTTTTTCAATAATTCTGTATGGACTCTTTTCAAAATCTATACAAGGTATTATGCGGCAATCTGTCTGTCGGTAAACAAGGCATTTATGAACAGATTGATTCATTTTAGGCAATCGCAGAAGAAGCTCGCGAGAGAGTTGAAAAGGAGACTGTAATGGCGGAAAAGCTGGCTGCTACTAACGCGGCCATGGCAGAAGATGCACAGAGGGACTTGGGTGCGTAATATTCTGTCCCATTAAAACTAATGTATGAGTCATACTAAAAATTTGCATTGAAAAAACTTTTTTTTAAACATACTGGGATGGTGATGTGTGCGCTTACAAACATACAATTTCCAATACACATCATACACAGACTCGGACGGGGTTGCGGGGTAAGCGCAATGAGGCACCGCGGCCTCGACCTAGAGAAGGCGAAGGAACGGGGTTTTTTAGGCGGTTTTTTTGTAGTCATGGCACCACAATACAAAAAGTCACGACTCAATTTCAAACCTATAATTAGAGATAATATGGGGATATAGTTTTCCTCATAGTGCTTTCCTTCACCGTTTGTCAGTGGTGTATAAATAATTATAGAAAGTACATATAACTCGGAAAATGTTGTATTGGTACAAGACAGAGAAGCGGGTACCTTAAGCTCCGGGCCACGACAACGTGGCGTGCCAATGTAGTAATGTATGTCTGCTAACATAGTCATGTTAGCACAGCAGCAACACACATGTCAATTAGCACAGGTCATGTTGACATGTTTGTAACATAAGTTACACTTTTATATACAGTTTGACATTACGTTTATTTTTTATACAATGACATAATCACCTATTGTGACATTTTATTTTTTATTTGACATTTTTTTTTATTTATTTATTGACATTTTTATTATTTTATATTATTGTTAGTGTAAGGACCTTGTGAGACTTGCCGTGCCTTTTGATTACCAGTTATCTGCGTTCTGACAGTTTGAGTACTTGCGCGACCCACCCAAATGTTCTTTAGATCGGTATTGTTCGTCGGACAACTCAGCAGCACTAGCTATACTGGTTGCAAACTGACACTTGCGTGCCTGTCTTCAGAACGGGTCCACTTAAACTGGTGTGGTTCTTTCCTCAAAAGACCACTACAGAATGAACTTGCACGATTCTCTCACATTATGTTATTTTTACATTGTCTGGACTTGAAAAGAGACTGACCTCTGAGTTTGTTTCGGCATTTCTTCTCAGAGTAGTCAGATAGGAAATGCCGGCTTCATCTAGTTTTTCACATATAAATTGACGTGTAAAAGTGCCGTTTTATGGCCTATTTGCAAAAATAAATTCATTGTTTCATTGTTTCATTGTTTCATGTAAATTGCAGAGGAAGCGATGCCAGCGCTGCGTGCAGCTGAAAAAGCGCTTCAAGAGTTGAATCGTAATGACATCGTAGAAGTGAAGGCTATGAAGAAACCACCAGCTGGGGTCGTTCTGGTCATTGAGTCTCTCTGTGTAGTCTTTGACATCAAACCAATAAAGGTATGTTGGAAATAATGACTTATCTTCGCAAAGATAAGAGTTATTATAGGTTGTTGATATGAAATTTTTTATTTGACTTAAATTGGTTAGACGTAAGTAATTGTAAACTGAAAACTATTTAGTTTTATCTTTTACTTAAATAATATCTTCTGATTTATTTCGCTGCGGGATCCAAGACATCCAAGGATTCATGTTCCTGGGACGCGCTGGAAATCAGTGTTTTCATGGTCGTGTCTAATATAGACCCTGGCTTATAGAAGTTGCAACGGTTTAAGGAAGTTGTGGCGGGTTTAAAGTGATTGTAAATATTCCATTTTTATAGTGTAGGTCGGCAAAAGAGCTTACGTATAACCTGATGGTAAGCAATCAGCGTCGCCCATGGACACTCGCAACAACAGATGAGTTACGAGTGCGTCGCCGACCTTTTGGTGATTAGGGATTTGGAGATTTTGGGATTGGGTAGGAATTCAGGGAGGGGAATCTTAATTCTTCCGTCGTTGCGGGTGTCCATGGACGGCGCTGATTGTTTACCAACAGGTAATACGGTCGCTAGTTTGCCGACCTATCACATAAAAAAAAATAACAAAATCAGCACAATAATGCACCTTAAGTCTATCTATTTAAGATTCAAATAATCATCATTATCAGCTGGAAACGCTCACAGATATACTGTTGAAAACAGACTTACGGCTCAGCGACATTTACCTTATCCCTTGCTTAGCTCGCGGCTCAGGGATGATGGCAGATGGTCTACAAAATGATTTGTGCAGTAACAAATACAATTTTTATAGTAAATTTTACATAGGGACTTGCTTTTGAGTGAAGATGTTCCTGTGCTAGGGATTTTTGTTGGTTCTTAAGTCGAGATTTGTAGCCTTTTCCGTCATGGCAAGATCTGTTTCTGTTTCATTGAACCTAAAAAAAAAATTTAGGGAAACATACATATGTGTAACGTCATTACTTTGCACAACCTCAGAACGTAACACGCTATTAAAATAAAAAAAACAGGGTTCCCTTGATTTTAAACCTAATTTCTGAAACGATTGCGTTTATTTTGCAAGAGCCAGGGGCATCGTTTGAAACATTACTTTGTGCAATCTCAATACGTAATAGGCACCTTTTTGAAATAAAAAAAACAGGCTGCCCTCGATTTTAAACTTAATTTCTTAAACGATTGAGTTTATTTTGCAGGAGCCAGGGGCATCGTTTGGTGAAAAAGTCCTGAATTACTGGAAGCCTGGTTCGCTCATGTTATCAGATCCGACAGCCTTCCTAGACTCGCTACTGAAGTTCGACAAAGATTCCATTACAGAAGATATGATTAAAAAACTCAAAAGATTCGTCGCCAACCCGAATTATGATCCGGCGAAGATTTTGAAGGTCAGGTCTACTTGGTCTTTTTGGTATTCTTAGTAGACCACCACACTTTTTTATTGGGTCTTTGATAGTTAACTAATTTATAGATTTTCTCGTCATGTATGCTCTGTCTCTTATGACATAACCAAAGTTTTACTGACAGCACAATAATTTTTAGCCCGTTTTTTACGTTTTTTGTTTTTTTCCGTCTCTTTGTTTATGCCATTGGTATTCTTCTTTTGTTACGTTTGTTACTCAAAGTTCAGACTGGCAGAGAATGCTTAAAGCATTTAGTCCACTTAGTGTACATTTTCTTGAGCATAAAGCCACAAATAAATAAAAAGACAGTAAGAGACTGCGTATGGAACCTCCTTTCTTTTGTGTTCAGGTGTCCAAAGCCTGCCAATCGCTCTGCATGTGGGTGCATGCCATGTACAAGTTCTACCACGTCAACAAGGGTGTTGCACCCAAGAAGGAAGCCCTAGCGAGGGCTACAAAAGATTTGCAAATAGTTGAAGGTATTTATGATTATACGCTTTTTAATTTAAAAGAGTACAAAGAGTATACTATGGAGTTTAATGCTCTTACTTTTCCATCGGTATCTACATTTTGGAACGAGCAAATAGCTTCACTAAGAATACTGACTGACTGACTGATTTTAACCTTTACCACTTTCACTGCCACTACGATTTTCTATTCTTTAAATATTATTCCAGCCATGTTGGCCGCTGCAAAGGCGAAAATGCAGGCGTTATTGGAAGGTATAGCTAAGCTGAATGCGTACCTTATTGAGAAAGAGGAAGAGAAGAAACGGATGGAGGAAGACATCAACCAGTGCTTGGCGAGGATGGACCGCGCTAACAGGTCAGGGAAAGTGACACTTACGCTGAGCAGGCCGGCTCACCCAGCGTGTTGGTGACTCAGCAGAGCTTTCGATAAAAATAAAATGTAAATTAGATTGTATTATTGTAGATATCTAAATGTAATATGTAATTTCTTCTATAAAATACTATGTGGTAATGTGTTATGTAGTTAGTTGTAGTATGTAAATTCCGTAAATAATTATGTAATTTTAGTAATCTTTACTGGATATTGTTTTACAAGGGCACGGACCCCGAGTCCGTGGAGATTATAAATGATCAATTATAAAAAAAATACCTGAACTGGTATTTTTTTACTTCATAAGTCGGGCAAAGGACCAGACCGCTTACCTGATGGTAAGCTATCGACGTCGCACGAGAGCACTCGTAATACCAAAGGCTTAACTATAAATGCGCTGCCTCTTGTGGGTTGTAAGGGTGTAAGGAAAGGAAGGAGGTTTGAAGAAAAAGGACGGGGAGAGGAAGCTAAATACTATAGAAACATTCTTACGAAACTTTTCTTTAACTTTTTTTATAAGGGAATATCATATGACGTCTCGCGCTTAGGGTATGGCGAGAGGGAGTGTCAGACTCTTACTTGCTGGATGGGATCGAGGTTATAAAGGGACATGTTAGGTCTGGGTCTGGATCAAGAGAGATTTTTTGAAGTATGAGCTTTCACGCTTGCTTAAGTCTGACTGGTGATTTCAAACTTAAGTCCAGGTTTTCTTCTCTACTTCACCGTATTCCAGTGGTGTCTAAATAATAACCATAGAAAGTACATGTAACTCGGAAAAGTCACATTGGTACTTGCCAGGTTTCGAAGCCGTGCCTTCGTGCATGAGATGTGGGCGCCTTAATCTTCGGCCCACCACGACCCTAACGTACTTGAAAAAAGCTGGAAATTTAGCCGCAACTTGTGGTGTAAATAAATGGTGCTGATTGCTAATTTTGACATTTCACAGGTTATTAAACGGTCTGTCAAGTGAGCGCGTCAGATGGATCAACACTATTAAGGAATTGGATGTCGCTAAAGTTAACTTGTTAGGGGATATACTGCTCAGTGCATGTAAGTTTTAAAAAATATTAATGTAGGTGGTAGCGTGTCCTATAACATTTCTATAACCTCTTGAAGTTGTCGAAGGCTTGTGATCCATCTCTTCCCTGACCCTAAATTGCCGAAATCCTAATCCCAAAAGGCCGGCAACGCACTCGTAACTTCTCTGATGTCACGGGTACTTCACGGAACACCCAGGAACATTGTAGCTATCTATCAGTGAAAGAATTTTGGCAATCCGACCAGCAGCGGTTCCAAAGATTACCACCCCCTACATACAAACTTACAAATTTTACCTCTTTATAATATTAGTATAGATGAATAACATGCACTGATACATATTTACGTCGATTTTTTGTTAATAGGTGCAGTTGGATATATAACGCCGTTTACGGACGAGTTTAGAAGAAAAATCATGGGCGAATGGATCAAGCAAATTGAAGTAATTCGTGATTCCTTCCTTACCGCGATGCTAATCTCTTAAATTAATCCAACACAGCCTGCCCCTACTTGCCTTTAAATTAATTAAAAGATGTTAGGACATATTCAAATACCCGATTCTGGAGCTCAAATAAAACAACTTTTTGCATAAGACCAATATGGCAATATCAAAAAAAAGTGTACCTATTTCTGCAATATGATCAATCTGCTGTTCAGATTTGATATCATATAATAATATAATATATACCGATTTGGCTAATTCTGGTCTTAAATTATTCGCGATTGTCCAGGGAAGGCTTAAAAGGCAAATAGTTATATTTGAGGCGGTACAAAGTTCGCCAGCTCAGCTAGTTACACATATACAACTTCCTCTTCAATCACTCTATCTGATAAAAGATCGCATCAAAATGCGTTACGTAATTTTAAAGATTTAAACATACATAGGGATATAGAGGCAGAGAAAGCGACTTTGTTTTGTACTATGTAGTGATTCTCATTTTTTTTTATGTAATAGGTCAGCCAACGAGCAGACGGATTACCTGATGGTAAGCAATCAGCGCCGCCCATGGACACTCGCAACGGAGGAGTTACGAGTGCGTTGCCGACCTTTTAGGGATTAGGGATTTGGAGATTTAGGGATTGAGGAGGGATTGGGGAAGGGGAAGGATGGGCCTCCGGTGACCTCACTCACACGGCGAAACACAACGCAGTGGTTATTTCACGCCGGTTTTCTGTGAGGCCGTGGTATCACTCCGGTCGAGCCGACCCATTCGTGCCGAAGCATGGCTCTCCCACACTTAATATGTAAAAGTAATTCTAGTATTATAGCGGTCAATGATATCCCTGATCGTGTCTAAGAATGGGTTTTTTTCAGTCAGTTAACGTACCTCACACGCCCGGCGCCACGCCTCTTAAGACACTTGGAGATGCTGTGCAGATCAGGTAAGTTAAGATAAATAAAATATTCACCACTAGCCACTCCCGCGCGGTGTCACTTGCTGCTCGGCTCCATTTGATTATAGCGTGATGTTTTATAGCCTATAAACTCACTCACTCGGGAACATTATAGTTATCATTTAGTGTAAGAATTTGGAACATCCTTCAAGCGCGAGCGGTTCCAAAAATTACCCCGTACATACAAACTTACTTTTACCTCTTTATAGTATTAGTAGGTATAGATAATAGAGTAGTTTCGTTAGTCAAAAAATATCAGTTTCTCCTGTGTCGTGGGTGCGTTTACAAATATACAAATTCACATACACATCGCACCCAAACTCGGACCAACAATTTGTCGATTACACAAAGAGTTATTCCTTGCGGGAATCGTACCCGCAACACGTTGCGCGGCAGCCAGTTGCTCAGCCACTGCGTTTACCGTGTGTTGGAAAATAAACGCAATTTTATTTTTTGTTTGTTTCTTGCTATGCAACCATAAAATTAACTAAAAAATATAACTCTTTCATATAATTTTACTGTCACATACTATTTATATCGATGTATTACAGGACTTGGCAGATGTATGGCCTGCCGCGGGACCCGATGTCCGTGGAATCGGCGGTGCTAATGTCAAACTCCCGCCGTTGGCCGCTCGTCATTGATCCTCAGACTCAAGCCAACAAATGGATCAGAGCTATGGTAATCATCATCATCATCATCATCATCATCATCATCATCATCATCATCATCGTCCACTGCTAGACATATGATTCCCGAATTGCACGTCACTGAGCACGATCTTCAGCTCTTCTCATCCAACCACTGCCAGTCACCCTGCGGATGTCGTCAGTCCACCTAGCTGGAGGGCGCCCTACACTACGTTTGTGTAGTTATGTATATTTAAATCCTATCCTGATTAAGGCTGATTTTTCAATAGTCAGATACATTTTATCTGAGGAATAAAATTGTTGCTGTCACTGTCTTATACAAACATTCTGACGCGACAGCATCATCATTATTCCCCAGGTAACTTTAATCTAACCATTGAAAAAACAGCCCTTAGTTATATAAATGTGAAAGTAATTTTTTGACGCAATAATCAAGCTTCGGCACGAATGGGTCGGCTCGACCGGAATGATAGCACGGCCTAACAAAAAATAGGCGTGAAACCACAGCGTTGTGTTTCGCCGTTTGAGTGACGTTGCGGGAGGCCAATGCCCAATCCCTACCTTCCCTCTATCCCTTATATGTTGGGCTTATACTGAATATATTCTCAAAGAATGATTACATTTATAGGACCTTATTACTAATACTAGCGGACACTCTCCGAAAACCCCGTCATCTTAAAATTCAGCGAAATCGTTAGATCCGTTTCCGCGATCACATGTTTTTGGCGCATGAATTTAAACCATGCAGGGCGTCACTCGCATACAGAAAAAAAACATTTAAATCGGTCATACTAGTGTCCATAGGGACGTCGATTGCTTACCATCAGGTAATTCGCCAGCTCGTTTATTTTATTATTTATTTATTTATTTTATATCACAAAGGTCGGTCGTCTTATGTGCTAAGCCCCACAAAACCGTTGTAATGGTTTGACTGTGGGGTCAGTCGTTTGCCGACTTACCCATATTAAAAAAATCTTTATAGGGCAAACTGGAAGGGCTAGTTGTATGCAAGCCAAATGACAGAGATTTACTCAGGAATTTCGAGTCTGCACTGAGATTCGGTAAGCCAATACTATTGGAGAACGTTGGGGAAGATATAGACCCTGCCTTGGATCCTGTATTAAAAGTAAGTACCTTGTTTTTTCGGTTCTATTAGCTTGCAAAAATAGTAATTAATAATTTTAAGTGTGGGAGGGCCAAGCTCCGGCAGGAATCGGTCAGCTCGACTGAACGAATACCACGGCCTTACAGAAAACCGGCGTGAAACAACCTCAGCGTTGTGTTACACCGTGTGCGTGGGGTTACAAATCCTTTAATATCCAAAACTCTTATCCCTAAAATGCCGGCAACGCACACATAACTCCTTTGGTGTTGCGCTGATGGGCTGCGCTGATTGCCTACCATCGCCGTAATCCGTATGCTCTAGTTGGCCGACCTATACAAAAAAAATGTATGCTTACAAATAAACCGATAGCAAACGTCACCAATAAAGCAATTTTGATTTTTAAGAAAACTGTGTATTTAGTTTCCGTCGATATTTTTAAATTTATACATCAAGGCAATTATAGTATTTCACGTAATTAAGTCGTTATTTTTAATCATTTTTGTAAGTATCACGATAGTTACTATTAAAAAAAAATGTTAAGTCCAATTCATAAAAAAAAATAGTTTTTCCTTCCAGCGTCAATATTTCCGCCAAGCCGGTCAATTGGTGCTTAAATTTGGGGACTCCCTAATTCCGTACATGGCTGACTTCCGACTATATATCACTACTAAACTACCGAACCCCAAGTATAAGCCTGAGACCTCCGTTAAGGTTATGGTCGTGAACTTCGCTTTAGTACGCAGGTAATTAGTCAGCAGGAAATTAGGCCAGATATTTTGTGGTAGGGGTTTTTTTTTTTTGTGAGGGGAAAATCATGAAATGACTTCTCCCTCCCAGGGCCGGGCAGGAGGGAGTGTCAGACTCTTACTGACTAAAAACCCCCCTGTTCCTTCTCCTGCTCTGTGCCGAGGTCGCGGTACCTCATTGCGCTTACCCCGCAACCCCGGCTGGACTACCACAGATGGGGACCAAAGCCCTTCAGCCAAGGTTGCCGATAATGTTTTCGAGCTGGCCTGAAGAAGGACAAGGAACTGAGTGGTTTTTTCATCAGTTTAGAGTCTGACATACCCAATGACAACAATCGTCATTTGGTGATTTCCCCCCTCAAAAATGGGATAAAATCGTGGATTGTGTATTTTCTAACGGAAATGTCTGGCCAAGGTTCATGCCAATGTCTGCCCCTACCTTATTATTTAGTCTACTATATTTTTTAATGATTTAACACACAATCCCGTAAAAATTTAAACCAGAGTACCCGAGTGTAAAATGTCAAAAATACGAAATGATATGCGAAATTAATGTCATATTGCTTAAAGTTGGATTTGCAAAACTTTTCACACAGACCATTTTCTTTGCCCGAGTCTGTGTTCCTTGATGGGTATAACTTGTGACCTTCAAGGCCCGACTGAATAGGTTGCTTATGGGTAGGCCTGCACCTTCATATCCAGCTTCAACGTTTAGGCAGGCGAGATAGTATCCAAACCATTGCCAACAAAATAACTCAAGGATTAATGGGGCAGTAATTGTTTTTATATTTTTGTTATTTTTTATGATTTTTTTATCATTCATTAATTCTAATTGAGATTTTGGTAATAAAAAATTACAGTGGTCTAGCAGAACAGCTTTTATCAATAGTGGTGGCTCAAGAGCGACCTGATCTGGAAGAACAGCGCGGTCAGCTGATCGTGACTAGAGCACAAATGGCTTGCCAACTAGCCGAGATGCAGGCAGACATTTTGTATGGACTCTCCAACAGCGAGGGCTCGCCGGTCGACGATCTACCGCTCATCATGACTCTGGAAGCCATCAAGATCAAGAGTGCTGAGATTATTGTGAGTGACACTATAAGATTTTTTAATATCCATGTATATGTGTATAAAAATATCTATCTATATATATAAAAATCAATGGCACTTTTCGTTAAAATGTTTTCACCGATTTGGCTAATTTTGGTCTTGAATTATTTGTTTGAAGTTCAGAGAAGGTTTATATGTAGAGAACAATTTAATACAATCTTGAAAATGTGTAAAATCGACGTCCACGTCCAAAGTTATTTTTTGACGCAATAATCAAGCATCGGCACGAATGGGTCGGCTCGACCGGAGTTATACCACGGCCTCACAGAAAACCGACGTGAAATAACCACAGTGTTGTGTTTCGCCGTGTGAGTGAGGTTACCGGAGGCACAATCCTTCCCCTTCCCTAATCCCTCCCCACTTCCTAAATCTCCAAATCCCTAATCCCTAAAAGATCGGCTACGCACTCGTAACTCCTCCGTTGCGGGTGTCCATGGGCGGCGCTGATTGCTTACCATCAGGTAATCCGTCTGCTCGTTTGCCGACCTATTACATAAAAAAAAAGTTTTCTTGGATATCAAATCAAAAAGGGTCAAATCTTGCCCTTTTTTGAAAACATAAAATGGAATAAAAACTGCCCGACCCACCCCGTTTCTTCTGCTTCGAAACGGGTAGCGGCTGTTCCGGAGACTAGACCATTGCGCTTGCATTCACTATCCCGGCTGAAGGGATGACCTTGACCTTGCCTTTAATTTGCAGGTTAAAGTAGAAGACATAGAACGAACGACGCTAGAGATAGACGAAGCTCGCAGCGGCTATGTGCCAGTGGCCGACCGCGGGTCTATACTTTTCTTCTGTCTATCCGACATGGCTAATGTCGATCCCATGTATCAATACTCCTTGGAATGGTTTGTCAAGCTCTTCGTCAAAGCTATGGCGGAAACTGAACCTAATGGTAAGGACATAAAACAGTAAGTCTGTTAGCAGTAAGTGTTTAGAATTTTATAGAGTATGGCTGTATTTTTGTATTCAATAAAAATTTTGTTGTTGATATCATCGTGACCGTGTTGTTTTAAGCTTTATTGCGTCTATGATCATGTAAATGCAATAGATTTATTTCAATTAGACCTTTACAGGCGCTTTGGAAAGTCAAACAAAACTTTAAGATAATAAAGGAGATATCAGCGAACGAACAAGAAAAAAACATACTGTAATTATATAAATTAAATACAGACCGTATACATATAATATATACGGTCCAATTGAGAACCCTCTTTCCTTTTTTGATGTCGGTTGAAAAGTGTCAGTTTGTCGGTCAGTCTTTAAAGCTGTTTGTTACTTAGGGCTCATTTTTCAATAGTCAGATAAATGTTATTTGACGAATAAAATTGTTGCTGTCACTGTCTTATACAAACATTCTGACGCGACAGCATCATAATTATTCCCTAGGTAACTATTATCTAACCATTGGAAATACAGCTGTGAAATATAATTATCTTTGTTTTTTTCAGAGGACATTGTGGAGCGTGTGGACGTTATAATAGTCCATTTTACATTTTTATTGTATCAGAATGTGTGTCGCAGTTTATTTGAGCGACATAAATTGTTGTTCGCTTTCTTACTTTGCGCGCGCATTTTACTTGACAAGGGCGTCATTCGATATGAGGAGTTCAATTTCTTATTGAACGGAGCTAAATTGGAAACGGTAAGTAATAAATTGTCTTTTGGCATCGTTCTTAGGGCGAATTTCTGTCGGCAATCGAGCAGACGGATTACCTGATGGTAAGCAATCGGCGCCTCCCATGCACCATGGACACCAACATCACGAAAGGAGTTACGAGTGCGTTGCCGGCCTTTTGGGGCCTTATTCCCAATTTGGATTGGGAAGGGATAGGGAAGGGAGAGGGATTGGGCCACCCGTAACCTCACTCACACGGCGAAACACAATGTTGACTGGGCAATTGGCTGCAGCGCAACGTGTCGCGGGTTCGATTCCCACACGGAAAAACTCTTTGTGTGATCCATAAATTGTTTTTCCGTGTATGGATGTGAAATTGTATGTTTGTAAACCCCCACGACACAGGAGAAAATAAAGGTAAGTGTGGGGTAATGTTTAAAAAAATGGGATAAAACAATTTGTGCCGTGTACGTCGATTATTTCTTTGAAGCTAATTTCTGACGGTGACATTATTACATTAGGAGGAACCGAACCCGGATCCGAAGTGGATATCCCCGAGGGTATGGTTGGAGCTACAGCAGTTGAACACTGTTACCACGATGAAAACAATTATGTCGGACTTCTTGAATAATCTCAAGTTCTTTAGAAGTCTATACGACTCCCTAATTCCACATAAGTACGTATTTCTTGATTAAATTTTCCAATATTTTCTTTTTTATTAGGTAAACGAGCAGACGCATTACTTAATGGTAGGTAAGCAGTCGGCGCGGCCTATGGACAACCGTAATACCAAAAAAGTTACGAGTGCGTTGCCGGTCATTTGGGGATTAGGAGATTTAGGGATTGGGGAGGGATGGGGGAAGTGAAAGGAATGGGCCTCCGGTAACCTCAATCACACGGCGAAACATAACGCCGTGGTTGTGATCTAAGTATGTTACCATTTCTAATTCCATACTGTATGTATGTAAATGTAACTTGATTTTTATTTATCCAAATACAAATATCGTTACTAATTTTATATATAAGGCATAAGTGCTCGACCAGGATGATACCACGGCCTCACAGAAAACCGGCGTGAAACAACCACAGAGTTGTGTTTCGCCGTGTGATTGAGGTTACCGGAGGCCCAATCCTTCCCCTCCCCCAATCCCTAAATCTCCAAATACCTAATCCCCAAAAGGTCGGCAACGCACTCGTAACTCCTTTGTTGTTGCGGCTGTCTATGGGCGGCGCTGTTGCTTACCATCAGGTAATACAGCTGCTGGTTTGCTGATCTACCATATAAAAAAAACAGGCGCAGGTCGCTAGTGATCCATAATTATTTCCAGGTTGCCGTACCCAAAACCGTTGGACAGTCAGTACGATCACTTCCAGAAAATTATGATCCTCAAGTGTTTCCGGCCTGATAAAATCATACCAGGCTTTCAGGTAATATTATCAACGTTTTTATCAAATTACTTCAGTCGCCCAGTTGGAGCGAGAGAGACACTTTTACTGACTAAAAACCACTTCATCCCTTCTCTAGGCCGAGGCAAACCCGGCTAAACATCAGTCCTATTAGGCCCCATCTGTGCTCTTTGAAGTCTACTAGCTCTTTGAGGCGCGCGCGGCACGCTCCAGTATTCTTCTGATCAGGCGGCGAGCTACCCTTGCTCGCCGTACGCAGACCCGCGATATTATAAACATTGGCCAGTCCGTTTCTGGATTATGGGCCTTCGTTTGATGAGCGTGTTTGGCAGATTTTAGATGCAGCAGGAGGTTGTAAGAACAGGCGTATGGTTAGCCTAAAGTAAATAAATGGACTTGACTTTTTTATAATTTACTACCATGGTCCCCCGCGTGTATGTCGATTTTAAATTTTTCTTTACGTTTAAACCTTTGGACTTCCACGGATGATTCAAGACGAAAATTAGCCAAATCGGTAAAGCTTTGTTGAGTTATAACATTACAACGATTTTTATATAGTTTGATTGGCATTGATTTTTATATAGTTTAGATCTATTTATCTTTGGGCGCCGTCAGTTGGGTCTGGTCAGCTCCAGACTGTCTATTGTCCTTAAGGTTACTTTCTTTTTATATTTGAATAAATATTAGTGTTACACTGTTCTCACATAATTGAACCAACCGTTTGTAAAAGGAATCTATATGTGAAACTGATTTAAAAAGATTAACCATGGAGTTGCTTGTTCTTCTTCTTCTCCATCGGAATCTACACTTTGGAACGAGCAAATAGCTTCACTATGCGGACTGAGGACAGACCGACAGACTGACACGATATCTTCAAAATTTTGTTTACGTTCAAAAGTGCCTGTAGGGGCCTAATTGGAATAAATTACTTTTGACTTTTTTTTGACTCAAGTAAATAGCTTGAGCATCCTAATAATGTTCCAGGACTACGTGGTGATGGGCCTGGGAGCCAGGTTCGTGGAGCCCCAACCAGCTGACCTGGCTGCTCTCTACGCAGAGTCAGATCCCCTCGCTCCTATCATCTTTGTGTTATCTACTGGGACTGACCCTGCAGCTGGTGAGTGCAGTTCACAACTTTGATACAATGTGATAGAGGTGGTTTCTCATTTTTCACTTGGGTGAGGTAAATGTAGCTTGTGTTGGTCATCAGACCATCCATCACAGATGGGATCCACTAGGGTCATTAACCTTTAATAACCTTAAACGTTGCCCCACTTTTGGATTTTCTCCTGTGTCGTGGGTGCGTGGGTGTTTACAAACATACAATTTCACATACACATCTCACCCCAACCCGGAACAACAATCTGTGGATCACACAAAGAGATGTTCCGTGCGGGAATCGAACACCCGCGACACGTTGCACGGCAGCCAGTTGCCCAGCCACCGCACAAACCGTGCAGTCAGATATAAAATTCACGGCAACGCGCAAAGTTCCGACGGGTTTTTTTTAGGAAGTTAAAGTGCCATGGACGTTCTTGCTCCTTCTTTTCATTAGAATCTAAATCTTTGGAACGAGTACCTAGTTCCACTGACGAACTGACTGGAACTATATTCCATTTCGTCATGTCAAAAGTACGTTAAAGTGTTTATAGTTTAGTTGTAATAAATGATTTTGAGGTTGACTCTGACATTCCTTCTAAGGGATTCTAAGATTTAAAGGAGCTTACCGTAGCGGGATTCGTTTTAGGATTTTTCACAAAAAAGCCATATTGTAAATTTATATTTATGTATATTCATTATTTATGCCCGGTTTCCGAAAGCCCGATCAATGTTAAAATCAACTTACTAGGTGTCAAATCTCTTGTCATGTAATCTGATTGGTTGTTTATAATTCAGTCAACCAATCAGATGACTTGACAAGAGATTAAATTGATTTTAACATTGATCGACCTTTCGGAAACCGGGTGTTAATCTATGACGAAATATAAATATTACTTTCTTATATCTAGATTTATTGAAGTTTGCTGACAAGATGAAGATGGGCAAGCGTTTTGAAAGCATTTCCCTCGGCCAGGGTCAGGGGCCGCTGGCTGAAAACATGATGAGGGTCGGCTGCGACTTTGGGAACTGGGTGTTCTTCCAGGTAACTGAGACATGTACCACTCTCTAGTTTTTTAATTTGTGCCTTTTGGATTTTTTTTATGTAATATGTCGGCAAACGAGCTGACGGATTACCTGATGGTAAGCAATCAGCGCCGCCCATGAACACACGCCACGGAGGAGTTACGAGTGTTTTGCCGACCTTTTAGGGATTAGGGATTTGGAGATTTAGGGATTTGGAGATTTAGGGATTGAGGAGGGATTGGAGGAGGGGAAGGATTGGGCCTCCGGTAACCTCAATCACACGGCGAAACACAACGCTGTAGTGTGTTTCACGCCGGTTTTCTGTGAGGCCATTGTATCACTCCGGTCGAGCCGACCCATTCGTGCCTAAGTATGGCTCTCCCACACTTAGCATGGCTCTCCCACACTTGGATGTAGAAGAATAAAGTATAATGAGAAACTATATCGCTGACTCCATCCAAAGGTTGTCTGTAAGAATTCACATTTAGCGATTAGACCGCCCATTGTACATTGAATCTCAAGTTTATCTTTGTATATTTTTAGGTGTGTAAATACATTTTGCCGTCATAATTGTAAGTCTTGTAAAACTGAATCGTTTAAGCTACTATTTGCAATGCTAAGCGTCCAGATTCTAGCAAATTTATTATACATATGTAGAAGAGATACAGAGTCATGTTGGGCTATAATGGATGCTTTTTATCCCTTAGTTAAAGGTTACAAAACCCCCCTAAAGCGTGGAGGTAAACCGCAAGGCAATAATCTGAGAGCAGTCTAATATACCTATATATAATCATGGCCTTACATGAACCAGCATGAATTAACGCTTGCAATGTGTTTCACCATGTGATTAATGGTATCGGAGGCCTAACCCTCCCTAAACAGCCGGTGGTGTTGCCTCTCCAATATTTTGATTATGCTCTGCTGCTCTCCAATATTTGGGGGGTATATTTTTTCTAGGTCAAAAATAAAATATGTATTTATGTTTTTTATCGTATTGATAGCAATACGATAAAATATTGAAAAATAACATTACTTTCATACATCGGTCTGTCGATAAAATTTGTCAAATTTTTTCGATATTAATTAGATAATTAAGCTGTTTGACTCAAAAATATTATGACGACATAATTCGTAGAAATAGGAACGTATCGTTTTTGACATTTGTATAAAAGTATTGAATTTTACTCGTTGCAAAATACCGTATTGCTTATCATCAGATTTTTTTTATGTGCTAGGACGGGGGTAGAACTTTCGCATTAGATACCTGATGATACGCAATCAGCGCCGCCCATGTACACCTGCAACATCAGAGGAGTTAGTGCGTATTAGGAAATTTTAGGATTGGGGGAGGGGTACTCGTGCCGAAGCTTGGCTCTCCCACTCTAATCTGATGATTTAAGGACTCGTTTGCCGCCCTGTCCCATAAAACATCTTATTGCTTACAGAACTGCCACTTATCTCCATCATGGATGCCAGTGTTGGAGCTGAACGTGGAACACATACAACCTGAATTAGTGCACAAAGACTTCCGTCTGTGGCTGACGTCTACACCCTCACCCCACTTCCCAGTGGCCCTACTCCAGAATGGTGAGACATTATGATTAACTAGTTACTCTCGCGCGGTTTCACTCGCTGCTTGGTTTCTACAGATCGTAGCGTGATGTTTTATAGCCTTCCTCGATAACTAGACTAACGAACACAAAAAGAATTGTTCAATTCGGACCAGTAGTTTAGGACACGGAGTAAGAACAAAGAGGAGACGGCCTAAGCAACTCGGCCCTGTGACACAAGTCGGCCCTCACGTCATCAATGTGGGCGTGGCTTACGTCAGTGTAATGTGGTCGTTCGTCCTGTGCACAACTCCTTTAAAATATTCATTTTACTCGTGACAGAAGAAAACAAAATGAAGTCTTGTGTTTTATCTTGTAAAAAATACTATGATAAACGCTACGGTGCTATGGATGGCATCACTTTTCATGTATAAGTTATTTTATTCGTCATTTATTAAAATAGTTCTAACAAAGTCTCTTATTGTCAGCGCTTCCAATTATCAATCTACGCGACACTAGATGTCGACACTTTGTATCATAGAAACAAATTTTTTATAGGTACGCATAGTTCAGTATTAGTATATTTTAATGATCGTTTGTATAGTAATTTGATCACCATGCATTCCTAAAGATCCTTTAATCGCCAAAATATTATTTATGTAACTTTTATATCATTTTTTAAACAGACAGCCATCTATTGTCAAGTAGTAAAACATAAATAAAGACAGGGTAGTAATTAGGAGTCAATTACTTTTTAAGGTTTACATCGTTGATTTATTTAAGTCACGAATGGAATCACTCAAATTTAGCTCACCTCACCGCACGCTGTGAGTGCTAAATCTTAGTGCCTGAGTGTTTGAAACTGAACGACCTTATTTATACATACTTCTAAAGTTCCTCTTCGGTTTTTATTTCAACCCCAAATTAAGGGCATCAGGACTTGGATCATATAACTCAGATATGTATCGCCGGTAAGCCTATGAAATGCCCACAACATACTCTGTCCTTCGTACATATCATTCGTTTCATTGTTCGTTTATTTCGAAATATGTCGTCACATTAGGGCAGGTTTTGTTCGTTTTTCATGGTGAATAGTACCTATGACAGTCGTGAAGATAATAAGGATGTGTTATATATGAAGAATCTGGCGGTATTATTAACTTTGGAATAGCATTTAACATACCACTAGTTAATTAGATGTAATGTTCGTTATTGTTCCAAAATATTGTTGAGTTATTGTTTTGTGTTTTTATGATCCAAAATATTGTTGAGGTAAAACCAGCGAACACGTAATGCAAATTAAGACGATTGCTGTTACATTATTAGAAGGTGGTAGGACCGCACACTCTTCATTAGCATTGCTATTGAATGTACAGGCGATTTAAAGTGCAAATTGTAATATTTCGAGAAATTCTGCTATGGCAAAAGTTTTGCAACTAACGTCAATTATTTTATGGGAGCACACATACAATGGCGAATAAAAAATCAATAGAAGCATTTAATCGAACCATGCAAAATTTACGCGGTACTCAACGGGTTTTTCGTGGTGCTCTGATATTGCTGTCAGGGGGCTTTCGTCAAACATTGCCTGTCATTCCTCGATCAACTCCTGCTGATGAAAAACCTGTTTGAAGTCATCAGTTATTTGGAGATATATACGAAAATTGACACTGAACTTTAGTAAATAATGCGTATTCAGCTACGTAATGATGCAACTGCCAAGAGTTTTCAAAACAATTATTAGAAACTAGCTTTTGCCTGCGACTTGTTCGCGTGGAATAGTGAATTCCTGTAGATTTTGGGTTTAAAAACTATCCTATGTCCTTTCTCGAGTTCCAAACTATGTTTGTACCAAATTTCACTCAAATAAGTTCAGTAGTTTAGGCGTGACGAAAAGACAGAACATATCTAATAATAACACTCGTTATCACAAAGAACCAGTTATCAGCAGGGCATCAGCCTCTTGGTAGCATTGTATACGAGTTTCTGCTTCAGGCTACGCCCGTAACGAAATAACCCCTTTTATATGAAAAAGATGGTTTTGATAAATGTAGAATGATTCTCATTCACCAATAATAGATATTTTAGATATTTATTACTATTTCGATAAAAAAATGCGTATCAAGATGATTCGCAAATTTTAATGTATTTAGAAAAAACTTTTTAAAACAACTCCCCGGTAAATTCTAAGTACGACCCTGTTTCGTTAGTGACATCTATTGTGAAATAGTTACATAACTACAAAAAGAAGTAAATCGAATGAGCGAGTAGTATTGCTATAGACCGGCAGATGGCAAATAAAAAGTGGGCGGAGTCTAATACCCCCTCACCCCGCAAAATATCACGCGGTGTTTCTTAGGGAAATCTAATTATGACATCTCCTCTTTGTTCTTACTCCGTGGTTTAGGAGATTAGCGCGTTCGAACAAACAAACTCTTCAGCTTTATAATCTTAATTATAAGTTAATTGCAAATTAAATGACGCAGAGGACTACTGATATTTACCGACTTAACAAAACAGAATCTATGTATGTATGTTTTTCCACGATTATCTTGCGTTCGTCTAAAGCTTTTTGGATGCAGTTTTCAGAAAAGTATTTGTTACATTTACCTACGAGAAGGTTTTAGTGTTTAAAACCGACTAAAACAAGGAGGTTCTGTATTTGACCTGTAAGTATGTATGTTCGTCCAAGATTATCTCGCGTTTGGCTTAAGCAATGTGGATACGGTTTTCAGAAAAGTACTTGTATTACCTCGATTAACACATTGAACATAAAAAAAACTGTATTGCCTATTGCGATTGTCGGCGAGTGTGTTCGTGAGTGACGTACGGCGAATGCTTAGCGTAGGTAGCATCATCCAGCGGAACATCAGCGTTATTCATTTAAGTTGCTGTCGCGTCAGAATGTTTGTATAAGAAAGTGACAGCAACAATTTTATTCCTCAGATAACATTCATCTGACTATTGGGCATCTGGTTAACTCACTCAAAGGTTTTCTGTGAGGCCTTGGTGTAACTCCAGTCGAGCCGGCCTAGTCGTGCTTTAGCATGACACTTCCACACTTGTTTTATTTTCACACAAATTATATTTTCAGGCTACAAAATGACAGTGGAGCCACCTAGAGGCATAAAGGCGAACTTGCTAAAGGCCTACATGAATCAAGTACCTGATTTCCTCGACTACTTTAATTCACAGGATCCTAAAGTTCCTAATTTTAAGGTGAGTTTTTACTACGTTTTTATTAAGTCGACCTGTTACGAAGTATATTAAGCCAAATATACATTTTTTTAAGCAAAAAGTAAGCAATCGGCGTCGCCCATGGACACCCGCAACACCAAAGGAATTATTACGAGTGCGTTGCCGGCCTTTTAGGGATAAGGATTGCGGATATTTAAGGATTGGGTAGTGATAGGAGAGGGAGAGGGATTGGGCCTTCGGTAAGAGCTCATTCACACGGCAAAACACAACCCTGTGGTTGTTTCACGCCGGTTTTCTGTGAAGCCGTGGTATCACTCCGGTCGAGCCGACCCATTCGTGTCGAAACTTAGCTCACCAACGCTTAAAAAAGGAGGACATATATTAATGTACTATGTTATTGACTGTACTGTTAGCGCAGTAGCTGGGCAACTGAATACCGCGCAACATGTCGTGGGTTCGATTCCCGCACGGAACAAATCTTTGTGTGATCCACAAATTGTTGTTCCGGGTCTGGGTATGATCTGTATGTGAAATTTTTGTATGTTTGTAAACGTACCCACGACGCAGGAGAAAATCCTAGTGCAGTGCATCGTTTTTTTTAACAAAAAACAAAAATACTCTGGAATAGGATACTTTTTATCATTATACCACGTGGGCGAAGTCGGGAGAGGAACCAAGTTAATCATAAAAAATGTATGAAGCTAATACACTTCTGTTTTTCTTTTTAGTGGCTTCTCTTCGCCCTTTGTTTGTTCCACGGCGTGGTCATAGAGCGTCGTAAGTTTGGACCCCTCGGCTTCAACATACCTTACGACTTCACCGACGGGGATCTCAGGATATGCATCTCACAGCTGCACATGTTCCTTAATGAATACTCCGAAGTACCCCTCAGGGTAAGAGCTTGTTAAGAACATACATAATATATATATATTTTTTTTGTTTTTTCAAAATAACTTTGCCCCACATTAGGATTTTGTCCTGTGTCGTGGGTGCGTTTACAAACATACAAATTCACATGCACATATCACACCCAGACCCGGAACAACAATCTGTGGATCACACAAAGAGTTGTTTCGTGCGGGAATCGAACCCGCGACACGTTGCGCGGCAGCCAGTTGCCCAGCCACCGCGCCAACCGTGCAGTCATCAGTCATAATATGTAGGATAATACAATGTTTTAGAGGTATGAGGGAACAGAGTGGAAAGTTCCTCATCCTCCATTGGAAAGGGAGGATTCTCCCACCAGACGGTTGTTATGTCTGGTGGGCTACTACCCGACTGTTGTTGTCGGGATTTTGTATCGGTTCTAATTGTAGAGAATTCTTATATCGCGATGTAGAAACTTGCACGTGATTGGTGCTGTTGTTAATGTTGTGCGATAGATGTCGCTACAATGTGTATAATCTTTAATCTGGAGAGTTTGCATGTTTGAATGCGCTAATCTCCGGAACTGCTGGTTCGAATTAAATAATTGTTTTTTTGTTTTGTTAGTCCATTAATTGAGGAAGGCTATAAGCTATAAAACATCGAGCAGCGGGTGGAACCGCGCAAGAGTAGTTAGTATAATCCAAACTAATATTACAAATGCGAAAGTAACTCTGTCTGTCTTTTCTTTACGCCTAAGCTACTGTAGATTTCTGTGAAATTTGGTGCAAACATAGTTTGAAACTCGAGAAAGGATATAGTAAAGTTTTTAAACCAAAATTCTCCTGGAAGATACTATTCTAGTACGTACAATAAAGTATATATAAATAACTAGCTACTCTCGCGCGGTTTCACCCGCTGCTCAGCTCCATTTGATCGTAGCGTGATGTTTTATAGCCTATAGCACTCAGGAACATTGTAGGCATATCAGTGAAAGAATTTTGGGAATCCAACCAGCGGTTTCAAAGATTACCCCCTACATACAAACTTACAAATTTTACCTCTTTATAAAACATATATACCTATAGATAGTATAGACTAAACGAATTTAAATACAGAGGGCGTAGGCCTACTAGTCTATTAGTGAAATGACAAGAACGGTTTGTAATTGGACCTTTGTTTATAGATGTTGACATATACAGCGGGTCATATCAACTATGGTGGTCGGGTTACCGATGATTGGGACCGGCGATGCCTATTATGTCTGTTGGGAGACTACTACAACTTGTCCGTACTTACTGAGCGCTATGTTTATGACGAGAGTGGGGCCTACCGACAGGTTAGTATAAATATTACATGCCTTTTTTATTTCGGTACAAGTTTACAGAAAACATCACAGGAGAAGTATCTTTTTATGAGCAGACGGATTACCTGATGGTAAGCAATCGGCGCCGCCCATGGACATCCGCAACACTAAAGGAGTTAAGAGTGCGTTGCCGACCTTTTAGGGATTAGGGATTTGAAGATTTAGGTATTGAGGAGGGATTGGGGGCGGGGAAGGATTGGGCCTCCGGTAAGTAAAGGAGTTACGAGTGCTTTGGCTGATTTTTGGGAATAACGGTTGCAGATGTATAAGGATTAGAAAGTGATAGAAGAGGGGGATTGGGCCTCCGGTAACCTCACTCACACGGCAAAACACAATGCTCTGGTTTTTTCACACCGGTTTTCTGTGAGGCCGTGGTATCATTCCGATCGAGCCGACCCATTCGTACCGAAGCAAGGCATTCCCATAGTTAAGTTTAGTTAAGTCATGCGACAACTTCGCCTGTTGCCTTCAAGAAAAAACTCCTAGGTACAGATCGTGATTATCATAATTAGGTGCCTAATTATGCCTCATTATTAATGTTACGAACCACCTACATAAATACAAGTGCGTTGCTAATGTTTTAGTAATTGGGAATCACGCACCTATTTTAACTCCAAAGAAAATAAGCTTAAAAACTTGTGTTTAACGCCATCTACATTTTCATTTTATGATATTTTAAACTTAGAAAACGATAAAAGAGGGCGCTATTGAAGGTAATCCAGCTGTACAAGTAAATTAATACACAAACAAATAATTTTTAACAGAATTTATAGAAAGGTGTATTTAAAAGCGATATCCAATGTTTCTTCATAATGGTTTTTATAATAATTTTGTTTTCCAGCAACCTGCATCATCGAATATGGATGATTACACGAAGTATATCCGTACGTTACCACTGAACGATGATCCAGCTCTGTTCGGATTACACGGTAACGCTAACATCAGTTATGCTAACGCTGAAACCAACACCTGTCTTAGTAAGTACCTCATCATATTAAGTATAAAGATTTTATTTTTAGGCATAGGTGCATGCTAAACTATATAATTATTATTACCTACATTATTGCTGGTATAATCCATATACACTCTACAAACGTGGTGGTGTAAAAACCTTTCAAAGATTGTAAGATGGCGGCAAAAATATGAATTAAAATGATGGTGCAGGTAGCTTGTGGGTGTAGAAATGATAGTTCAGTGTTTCCCGTTATAGTTCTGCTAGACGAAACTAGATGGCGCTATAATAAAACAATGAATATTATAGGAATTAATATAATCATTACTAGCTATAAAATTTGATATGTTAAGTTAATTATATCGTTTTTATAGTATATATTAATAAAATAAAGTATAACCCTACTCTTCAAAAAGAAAATCACTGCTCGTTGGCAGGCAAGTTTGAGTATCGTAGTCGAACAAGGTTTATCAGACCGTCCATGAACATCCGCAACACCAAAGGAGATACGAGTGCGTTGCCGGCCTTTTGGGGATAAGGGCTGCTGATATTTAAGGATTGGGCAGTGATAGGTGAGGGAGAGGGTTTGGGCATCTCACTCACACGGCGAAACACAACGCTGTGGTTGTTCCACGCCGGTTTTCTATGAGGCCGTGGTATTACTTCGGTCGAGCCGGCCCATTCGTGCCGAAGCATGGCTCTCCCACGCTTTTCGAACTTACCCTACGTTAAGCACAAGGTGTAAAAATACGATGTTTTTGTTAGCTACGCTTCGTGATCTGCAACCGAAGGAGGTTGTGGCTGCAGGCGGTGCCTCCATAGAAACTATCATCGAACAGGCTGCTAATGACATCATCAAAGTGCTGCCCGAGCTACTCGACACTGATTTTATTTCCAAAACGTAAGGACTTTTTACACCTCTATCATCATCATCATCATCATCATTATTACCATCATCATCATCATCATTACGACCGTCACCGCCATTACCATCATCATCTTCATCATCGTAACCTTCGCCACTCCCATTATCATCATCACCGTCGTCATCATCATCATGATCATCATCATCATCATCATCACCGTCGTCGTCATCATCATCATCATCATCACCACCACCACCATTATCATCACCACCTTCATAATCCACACTGCCACGGCCACCACAATCATAATCGTTATCATCATTATAATCATCACCGTCATCAACATCACCATCATCATTTCAGCCTTAAAAAGACTATTGCTAGACAAAACCCTCCCAATGTCTTCTAGATTAACTTATTGGAAGCGACCTGTATTCGGTGGCTTCCTAGATCTCTCTGTAAAACAATATAAGGCTTAGGGCTGATTTTTCAATAGTCAGATAAATTTTATCTGAGGAATAAAATTGTTGCTGTCACTGTCTTATACAAACATTCTGACGCGACAGCATCATAATTATTCCCCAAGTAACTTTTATTTAACCATTGAAAAATCAGCCTCTAATAATATTTAATAATTCGTACAAACATGGATTTATAAGGTAGTTGTTTAATATGTGTTTTTTTGAGACAACCACACCCTTTGAAAACTCCTTTAAGCCAGGAGCTACAGTAGATGTACCACAAATTAACGAAAACAAAAAACAGGAACATAGTCTAGGATCCTAGAGCGATATAAACCAGAAGATATATTATTAGATGAGTAAAAAATGAAAATAGTTTCTACTTCCCTCGGTTTATTAAGTGCATGCCACATAGTATGAAAGAAGAAAGAAAGAAAACGGTTCTTACTCGGAATATGCACCCTTAAATATTTGAAAAACTAAAAATCGCGGGTTACTCACGTGTTTATATTGAGAAAAGCTCTACTAGTTTCGAGCCACATAGGGGTTCTTCCTCATGAGCAGCGTGCACGGACGCGGCGACGTCGCGCAGCCTACTGCGTAACCCGCGATTTTTAGTTAATTTAGTATGTCTCACGATAGTTATTATAAAAACATTTGAAAAACCTCTATATGTATATACGCCTTTATTACAGATATCCAGTGTCCTACAAAGAATCTTTGAACACAGTATTAATACAAGAAGCTAACCGCTATAACAAACTGCTGATCATCATAAGATCATCCTTAAAGTAAGTGTGAGCAAATAAGAAAAAGCCTTTTGACTATACGCCGCTCACAATAGTGTTTTTTATGTTATGTAATAAGTCGGTAAACGGGCAGTCGGATTACCTGATGGTAAGCAATTAGCGCCGCCCATGGACACCTGCAACAATAGAGGACTTACGAGTGGGATTTGGGAGGGATTGCTGGAAGGGAAGAACTAATTTACAGGGCGCAATACAACGCTGTGGTTGTTTCGCACCGGTTTTATGCAAGGCCGTGGTATCACTCCCGTCGAGCCGTCTCATTCGTGCCGAAGCAGGACTCTACCACACTTAAACTCTTATTTAAACTCACTTATTTTTTTTTTTATGTAATATGTCGGCAAACGAGCAGACGGATTACCTGATGGTAAGCAATCAGCGCCGCCCATGGACACTCGCAACGAAGGAGCTACGAGTGCGTTGCCGACCTTTTAGGGATTAGGGATTTGGAGATTTAGGGATTGAGGAGGGATTGGGGGAGGGGAAGGATTGGGCCTCCGGTAACCTCACTCACACGGCGAAACACAACGCTGTGGTTATTTCACGCCGGTTTTCTGTGAGGTGACTTGTTTATATATTTTCACTATCGTTAGCATATAAGTTAATTTTCACACGGAGAAGGTGTGAGCGTTAATCAGCATACTTGCTCAAGATGCGTTAGTGATTCCAAATATATATATAAATACAGGCTTGTTTACAATGTTTTCATTCAATTCCGTGCTATGTAAGTGGTGGTGTCTTTATAATCTCAGAAAGTAGGTAAGTGTATATGATTTTGAAAAAGTCACGTTGTTTTGGCTTGTGTACTTTCAAACCCGAAGCCTTATGCGTTTGAAGTGGCGTGATGTTTTATAGCCTAAACGCTTCCACGATAAATAAATGAACGAACACAATTATTAAATTTGAACCTGTGGTTCTAGAGATTAACAAAACAAGCGTTGCTTTCAAACAAGCAAACAATATTTTTTATAATATATTTATCTTCCGCTCGCGGTTTCGCCCGAGTGGTATGTTGATAAAAAGCCTTCATTCTATTCCGGAGTATATCCTATGCCTGTGCCAAATTTCAGCCAGATCCGTCCAGCCGTTTTGGCGTGATTGAGTAACAGACATACAAATATCGTAACTTGCGCATTTCTAATATTACTAGCCACTCTCGCGCGGTTTCACCCGCTGCTCGGCTCCATTTAGTCGTAGCGTGATGTTTTATAGCCTTAGGAACATTGTAGCTATTTATCTGTGAATGAAATTACCCCTACATACAAACTTACAAATTTACAAATTTTACCTCTTTATAATATTGGTATAGATTTGATAGTAAGTATAGATAATAACTAATTTCGTATCCACGTGTTCAGGGATCTATTGAAGGCTCTAAAAGGTCTGGTGGTGATGTCTGAGGCTCTGGAGAACATGGCCGGTAGCCTGGCCAGGAATGTGGTGCCTTCGATGTGGAGCTCGAAAGCATACCCTTCTCTTAAACCCCTTGGTATGTTTCCCTTTTCATTTTACCTTTAGTTCTTTAATATATTAAGTACTAGACTTTTATTCAGCAATCAAATTAGTTAGTATGAATTTTTCAGTATATTGACTTTTCAATTATAACTTGTATTTTTTCTTAGCTTAGTTTCATATTAAATTTAAAAAAAAATACGTTGCCCCACATTAGGATTTTCTCCTGTGTAGTGGGTGCGTTTACAAACATACAATATCACAAACACATCACATCCAGACCCGGAACAATAATCTGTGGATTACACAAAGAGTTGTTCCGACGGGAGAATCGAACCCGCGACACTGCGCGGCAGCCAGTTGCCCAGCGACCGCGCCAACCGTGTAGTCACATGCAGTAATTGCCGTAAAAACATAACGGCGTAACACATTCGTATTAATAAGGATGTTAATTTAGACCATTCTCTATGAATAGATTCAAATCGAATCATTTATTTCAAGTAGACCACACAGGCACTTTTGAACGTCAAGTCAAAAAAATCAAAAGGTTTAAATTTAAGCATGTCAGTCTGTCCTCTAGTGAAGCTATTTGCTCATTCCAAAGTGTAGATTCATATGGAGAAGAACGAGCAAGAAACTCCGTGGTTTCTCTTTTTCAATGTGTCAATCAATCAATGTGAGAACAGTGTAACATGAATGTTTAGCCAAAGAATCCGAAAAAGAAATTGACCTCAAGGACAGCAACTTTAGACATTCTTGAGTTGACCATTTTGGATAGCTTAAAAACCTCGTTGTGTGGGTGTAGGCAAGATTTTATTGCTCTTTCAGCTGCCTGGGTGAAGGACCTGTGTCTTCGCGTGGCCTTCATGCAAGAATGGGCAGCGCAAGGTATTCCCAAGGTCTTTTGGATATCTGGCTTCTACTTCCCGCAAGCGTTCCTAACGGGAGCTCTGCAGAACTACGCCAGGAAACATGTGATTGCCATCGATACTATCGCCTATGCCTTTGAGGTGGGTTCTGGTTCCTTAGCTCTTTGGTACAAGAAGCGTATTGTAGGATGGAGGCAAATAAGCCGATTAACTAGCTTCAGGGGTCAGCAGTCAGGGGTCAAAAATACAATTACACTCTACCAATTTTAAAATGACTAAAATTTCTTTGTAGTAAAAGTTCAATGGTTCACAGCCAGTTTATTCAATAATTTTGATTCTATGCTATAAATTAAAGCAGTCCTCAACCATTGACTCTATTCTACAAAGATATTTTGGTCATTTTAAAATTGGTAGAGGGCAATTGTATTTTCGACCCCTGACTATACATAAAGATGAAGGATATTTTTTATGGAATAGGAGGCAAATGACTAAACCAGCACACTGGTCCTGATGGTAAGCAATCTGCGCCATCCATGGACACCTGCAATACCAAAGGAGACACAGGCGCGTTGCCAGCCTTTTAAGAAAGAGGTGCTCTCGTTTGCAGTGGATGATGATGATAATTATGTAAATTTACTTTCTTTGACTAGAAATTATTTATTTATTTATTTATTTAAGACTTCATGCACAAAACACTGTACATAGGCGGACTTAATGCAATGAGCATTCTCTACCAGTCTACCTTTGGGTGATGCAGAGATAAATTAGTAGTATTTTATAGATAATATATAATGTATGAATGATGTAGGCACTAGCACAGCCTCCAGCTAAGAAGCCAGAAGACGGATGCTGCGTCCGCGGTCTTTTTCTCGAGGGGGCGCGGTGGAACTTAAGTGATATGTCCTTGGAAGAGAGCAAACCCAAGGAACTGCATATAGGTAAGATTTTCCATGTGTCCAGCCGTCATTGTTTTTCAACACACTTCCTCATAAAGTGGCTCTTATCCCACGGCGATTAGCTACATAATGATACCTGTGTATAATCAAACTGAGACTTTTTCATTCCTATTATTCAGTAGTGAGTCACAGAGTTCTTTTTTTAAATTATTCGTTGAGTTACTCACACACTGCCGCTAAAATGCTATCCGCGAAAGGCCCAAAAAAAGAAAAATCATTTTTTTAAGTGTATGGTTGATGCGCACTGATTATTTTTTTCCGCCATTAGTTTTTCTTATTAGTTATTTATTTAACAATTATTCCATTCGGAAGTGTGTTGAAAAACGTCATATCTGTCCTCCGGCCGTGGTATCACTCCGGTCGAGCCGACCCATTCGTGCCGAAGCATAGCTGTCCCACACTTTGACGTTCAAAAGTGCCTGGATCCAAAATGATCTAATTGAAATAAATGATTTTTGTCTTGTTAACAGAGATGGCGATTCTATATATGAAGCCAGAACAGAATCATCGTCTTCAGCCGAACCAATACGAGTGTCCCACATACAAGACCTTGCTGCGAGCTGGTACGTTGTCCACAACTGGACATTCCACCAACTACGTAATGACCATCGAACTGACAACGCATAAACCACAACAACACTGGATCAAAAGGGGCGTGGCTTTGTTCTGCGCGCTTGACTATTAGAATATGACAACTTTGACAACTTGTCAAATTCGACACATTAATTGAAATGTCAGAAACTACACATTTCTATGGATTTTGTATGCGATAAACAGTTGTGACGCTACCAATGATAATATAAGTAAAAAGATGTAAATAGGTTACAAGCGCTCAGCAAGTGACCTACATTAAAATGTGGCTAACTAGCCACACTTTTTCATATTTGTCTCTTTTTCACTCGCGATTATTGAATCATGCCATCCCACTTTGACGTCTAAACATACGAATTGTTAATGTGTATCAGTGTGTCGTTATTAAAATCGAAATTGGTTTAAGTAAGGCCGGACCGGAGGCCCAATCCTTCCCCTCCCCCAATCCCTCCTAAATCCCTAAATCTCCAAATCCCTAATCCCTAAAAGGTCGGCAACGCACTCGTAACTCCTCCGTTGCGAGTGTCTATGGGCGGCGCTGATTGCTTACCATCAGGTAATCCGTCTGCACGTTTGCCGACCTATTAAAAAAAAAAGTAACCTATCTACACCATTTTACTTATATCTAATATCATTGGACGCTACCATATTTTACGCCAAACAGGGTGGGTCAAATCAGTGAGGAAGAACTATTATGAGTTACAAAGGTGGATAAACTATGGAATGTAATTTCAGACTATCCCTCGATTGTTATTGTACTACGATTTGTTAATGTTATTTGTAGAGAATGTAGAGAGTTATTTTGTAATATTTTTAACAAATAAACAACATTATGTTATTTTGTGTTTAATTTTTACAACTACTAATAGAACGCCTGAGTTTTGCCTGGCTGCTATCTCCCAAAGTTCCCGGTGAATTTTCTACCCACACGTACGAAGCGGTTCGCTTCCAGTTTTATCAATGGAACCGCTAAGGAGAGCATTTTTTTTTCTGAAGTCTGTGTTCCCCAAAGCCGGCTTTTTAGGGATAAGGGTATCGGATATTTAAGGATTGGGAAGGAATGGGGGATTGGGCCTCGGCTAACCTTACTGACACGGCGAAACACAACGCTGTGGTTGTTTCGAGCCGGTAGTCTGTGAGGCCGCGGATTACTCTGGCCGAGTCGACCGATTCGTGACGAAACTTGGTTCTCCTACACCTAATGGTAAGAGATCAGCCATACCCACATTGACACTTGCAACACCAGTGCAGTCATAAACGCGTTGCCAGCCTTTTAAAAAAGAGTATGAAGTACGCACGTTTCTTGAAAGTTTCAAGGTCGTATCATTCCAAAGTTTTGATGGACGAGGCGGAAAGTTTCAAAATCCAATAACACCTTTTAGACCGGCAGTTTAAATGCAACTAATCTGTACAAGTGGAGTTTGTGACATTTAACAAATGTAACAATTATAACAAATTAAGTTTGCAGCGAGCGTCCGGCGCACTAATATAATTAGCTGAACCTGTACTGCCAGAACTGCTTGAACTTCGTATCTCAGTTCAAGAGATACTGTCTCCTTCACTTTTCTAGTTGCTCAGTTTTCTAATTGAATTGATTTTAATCTTGTTTCTTATTTATTTATATAACTTTACTTACATTTCTCTCTTCGTTTTTTTGAACATCGTTCTATGTAGTTAAGAGTTTTTTTTCGTGAAACCCTCTGTGAACCTGTACTTCTGTTAATTCAAACACAGGCTAGCCAGCCTGTAGGTATGTGCTAACTGAATAAAGATCTCTTCTCATATAGAAAGGGTTTGAGCATCAATCACCACGCTTGCTGATTTAAAACTTATGATTATAAGTTGCAGAATGACTGCACAGTTGGTGCGGTGGCTGGGCAACTGGCTGCCGTGCAACGTGTCGCGGGTTCGATTCCCGCACGGAACAAAACTTTGTGTGATCCACAAATTGTTGTTTAGGGGTCTGGCTGTGATGTGTATGTGACATTGTATGTTTTTAAACGCACCCACAACATAGGAGAAAATCCTAAAGTGGGGCAACTTTATTAAAAAATAAAAAAAAGTTAAATACGAACGAAAACAAAGAAAATACAAGAGGATAAATAATTTTCTGATTTACAAATTGTTGCTATTTTTTACATTCCGGATCTTGGCGTGATATGAATTTTAATGTTTGCAAACGCGTTTGTGACATACGAAGAAGCTAATTTGTGTGGGCAAACAAGCAGACGGATTAGGTACCTGATATTAAGCAATCGGCGACGCCCATTGACTCTCGTAATACCAAAGGAGTAACTACCAGTGCGTTGCCGGCCTCTCGTGGGTTGTTTAGTGATTTACGGATAGGGGATTTGAGGATAGAGGATGAGGGGGAGGGGGAGATTGGGCCTTCGTTAACCTCACTCACACGAAGAAACAACGCTGTGGTTGTTTCACGCCGGTTTTCTGTGAGGCCGTGGTATTACTGCGTCGGCCCGTTCGCGCGGAAGATTGGCTCTCCCACACTTAAACCGATTCCTCCACGATCTACACTAGTAGCTTTAAGAAAAATCTCAGAGGTATAATTTCTACTACCTATATTATAACTACGTCTACGTCATATTAAGTAATCCTGTAACAGTATAGGATTTATTCATCAAATTTAAAAATTTAGTAATGCAATTATTCCTTTTGTCACGCTAAATATCATCAACTTTAACCAATTAATCGAAGTACCTGCCTACTACAGTTTTATCGAATAGGTATTCTTGACAATACAATAGTGCTTAATTTCGCCAATAAAAGTTAAAAATGGAAATACAAATTAAATACCAACTTTTTACATTTCGATAATAGAGGAAAATCGATGCGAATTTATTCAAAATTAAACTTTATTAAGCGAAGCATATTTTTTTTTATATGTTTCAAAAAGAAATATGTAAATTAATTTTTTTCATTGCATCGTAAATTTTTTCTCAGTAGGTAACGAAGGTTACTCAGTATGCAGGATCGAGTCCCTCCTACAAGCGAGCAAGCTGTTAACATTTCAATGATGGAAATAAAAAAGTTACATTTTTTTATTAAGACTCAAGTGCTTCTCGGAAGCAGAACTTCCTCGTTTAGTCGATTTGTAAGCGTGACTGCTGTATGAAGAATCTTGGTATGAATTCGGACGGACATATTTATTTAGATTTTATTTAGTCGAACAGTAATGGTGACATGGTGAGGACTGTACAACTGTGCATTTATTCCAGTTATAGGTTCTTTATAAGTTTATTTAAAAACACTGATTAGCTGCGAAGGAAAACATTGTGAGGAAACCTGGATTAAGGTATAATTTATAATCTATACTAATATTATAAAGAGGTAAAATTTGTAAGTTTGTAAGTTTGTGTGTATGTAGGAGGTAATCTTTGGAACCACTTGTCGGATTTTCAAAATTCTTTCACTGATAGATAGCTACAATGTTCCTGAGTGCTGTAGGCTATAAAACATCACGCTACAATTAAATGGAGCCGAGCAGCGGGTGAAACCGCGCGAGAGAGCTAAATTCAAATTCAAATGTTTATTGCATTCCATAATGTTACATTAGGTGTTATTATATGTGTATCAGTATTAAGATCATTATGGACCCTGTCGGGCACAGTTAGGTATATAAGTTTAAAATAGTCTTGAGCAAGCGTGGTGATTCGGTGCGAAAGACTCCTAGTCGGCAGAGGGCTTCAATAAACCGACGATGTGATGATCACATATACCTAGTGATATGATTATACATACCTAGTAAAGGATACCTAATATTATTATACCTTTTTTGTTTTTTAATATCCACACGCAACGTTTGAAACTAGCGTACAGATCACCTATGGAAATCGTTCGTGTGTAGGTAACTAGATGACTCACAAATGTGTCTCCGGGCTTACAAATTACTTTGCTACTTACGTTAAAAATAAATTCTTAACCCATAAATAAATGAAAGAGAAAGTAAGTAGGTACAGTATTGAAAACCCTCGGACCATAACAGACTCCGCCTAAATCATGTTTCATTAAAACATTTAAACCCAAATTTATTGTAAAATTTCTTTAAATTCTTGCGTAAAATCAGGGCTGGTCAAACCTATAGATCGCATATTTCCTGGTACCTTATAGCATAGGATTAACCTATTTGTGTGTGTAAGGCGTCAAATAAGCAAAGGCATCACCTGAAGTTAAGCAATCGGCACCGTCATGGACACTTATAACACTAGGGAAGTTACAACTCAATAATTATGAATGTGACATTTTCCGAGTTATATATCTACATACATATGTATGTATGCTTACTAGAGACCTACACTGCATCCTACGAATGTTTATACAACACTGACAAACTGTAAAGGTAAACATCGTGAGGAAAACAGGACTACTTTTTATGTTTTTTTTTAATCTAATAGGTCGGCAAACGAGACGACAGATTACCGGATGGTAAGCAATCAGCGCCACCCATGAACACTCGCAACGGAGGAGTTACGAGTGCGTTGCCGACCTTTCAGGGATTAGAGATTGAGGAGGGATTGGGGGAAGGATTGGGCCTCCGGTAACCTCACTCACACGGCGAAACACCACGCTGTGGTTGTTTCACGCCGGTTTTCTGTGAGGCCGTGGTATCACTTCGGTCGAGCCGACCCATTCGTGCCGACGCATGGTTCTCCCACATTTTTTATGTATGAGTTTTAAATCGCCAATCTACTTGTTCAAGAACAATCCCTGAATCAGAGGTGCATATTAAATTTAACCTAATTGTACGTATATTAAGTAGGTAAACCTTAAAATTTAGCTAACAATGCGGGCCTTCTAAAAAGACAAAGTTGACCACCCCTGATAACCTACATCGGTTCAATAAATGAAGTACTTTATCCTTTTATCATTTAGCTGGGCGCAGTTTGTCGATACCTTCTGGTTAGGGTAACAAGGCGCCCTGTGACGGTGTCAGAAACGCCCCTGCGTAAGGCTTAGGCCACACTTCGACATGGTGTGGGTTTAAAAGAAAGAAAATGAAAACCAGCGGTCGCGCTTGCGGTTTCTGATTCTATCTGCGGCAACTGATAGTGATTAATAGTGATATGTAGGAAATTGTTAGGAAAATATGTATGTGATTAATAGAACCTTATGTCAATGTCAAAGTTAAAATCGTTTATTTCACAAAGACAATTACAGGAACTCTGAAAGTCTAACAAAGATTAAAGATAAATGTTGGTCTCTTGGTCAGTCCTCTTAGTGAAGCTATTTGCTTATTTTTAAGCGTTTATCCGATGGAGAAGAACGAGAAAGAAACTCCATGATTATTCTTTTTTAATCAGTTTCACAAACAGATTGTTTGACAAATAATTAAGGTTGGTTTCATTTCAGGACAGTGTTACACTATAACGTCGTATATTACATTATATCACCGTATTAAGTTGAAAAGCGGGAAGTTTTGGGGTTTATATTTTAACTGAATCAGAAGGTGTCTCAAGGGGTACCGCGCTAAATAGGATTAGGTTCTTGTAAAAAATGTAGTGCGACCCAAGCTTTATTGAACATTAAAGAGGTAGTTTACTCTTTAAACTGTGTCTCTATAGTTCGGCTTTTGGTCTACATAGGATATTCTCAGGAAAATCATTTTCATTGACTTTAGTGGAAGTTTGTATAAACACATATGCAAAGTTAAACACACTTAAGCAAATTATTGTAATACAAGTGGCGGTTACCGATCGTGGAAACCTTTAAAAAAGCAAGAAGGTTGATGCTGAGCCAGCTAGCAAAGGAGCTCCCTCTTTTGAATGTCTAAAACATCCCCCAGCAAAAGTTTAGGTCTTGTAGTCATGTCTACAGAAAAAAGAAAACCCAAATATAAAAACAAAGCTGAGAATTCCCACAAAATAGACCCACGCACCAAAAGCCAAACAAATGAGTGAAAAAAGCGAACTAATTAATTAAAAAAGTGAAGTTTTTCAACATCGTCAATTGAACTCGACGGCACTTACTTTATTTTTATTTTTAATTTTCCATTTGATTTTCAAGGCGACGCCTAATTGCTAGCGGTTCATTGTACGTCTTCTGCAGCCCTAACTTTTATTATTAAATGCTAATTAATTATAGCAGGAGGAAAATATTTCGAATCAAGTTTTTTTTTAGTTTTTTATTTTTTGTTAACGTGACACAATTTGGGCATTTCCTAAGTCAGAAATAAATTATTTTGACCTTTCAATGCAATGAATTATTAAAATATAATCATACTTCCATTTATTGATTTCACAATATACCTACTTACAGGTATATTGTGAAACTATTACTACTACTATTTTTTGAATTTTGGAGTTTTCAGAAATTAATTTAAAATTCTATGCATGAAAAAACATTATGACGTCACAAATGTTGCGATCTCATATTAAAATTCATATGAAAGTATAGTTTTAATAAAAGTATTGCCATTTCAATAAAAGTATTGAATTTGACTAGTTAGAAATTACCGAATTGGGCAATACCACAGAACAGAAAATTAAGTAGAAGTGCCCACAGCAATACTATTATTTCAAAGTATCAAAGTCGAATGACACATATGTTCTATAAACATATAAGAACAACTCTTTGTGTGATCCACAATTTGTTATTCCGAGTCTTGGTGTTGTGTGTGTGTATGTTTGGAAACGCGAACGCTTAAAACAATCCGACCATTGTTATATTTATTAGAAACTAAACAAAAGATACCAGCTTACTATGGCTGCAGCTGTGTCTCTAGCTCTTGTTAGAGACAGCTTCCTAAAACAATGCGTTCAGGAGAATGAAATTACAGCGAAATGCTTGTTTCGTAAAACGATCCTGCGTGGTTGGACTCCATTTTCAAAACTGCATTTCTAAGTTTTCTTACATTTTTATTTTATAAATAAAATTCTATTCAAATAAGTCATATTATATTTCATCTATGTACATACATATCATACGCTCGATAGAAAAAAGGCTTAACTCAAAAAGGGTAGGTAAGGTATCGTAAATATTATGTTCTAATGATAAGGTCCAATTTTGAAAAAAAGCTAATTTTAGGAGTAAGATCTGATCTTCTGTTTAGCTACCTACTTACATTTATACGTCTGATATCTCTCAAAGGGATAAGTGGAGATATTTTGATCTACTGTGTAGAATATTGTGTATTGTGATGATCGGGAGGCGCCCGCTTCTAATGCATGAATGCGCGCGTTCGAAACCTGGCAAATACCAATATGACTTATGTACTTCCTATGATTATTTAGACACCACTGAAATACGGTGAAGGAAAACATCGTGAGGAAATCTGGATTTATAATTTCTAATTGGAAGCATTTACGTAAAAAGGAACCAACCCTCACAGTGACACTTTTGAGATATTGACGTTTAAAGTTTTTGCTCATTGATAATTAAGTTTGTGATTTTGTTGATTTGGAAATCGATTCAAGCGGATTGGATTCATTTTAAGTTATAAGTTGTTGGACTGTTTCAATTTCGTATCATTTTTTTATAGTGATCCGAACATCTTGGAACTTTTTCGCGGAATTTAAGTAAGTAAAAATAGGGTGTTTTTACTATAAAATACAGCTAGTCCGTGTCAAACAATATTGGCAACTTATATAGTTCATTCATTATCGTGTATGCAGATTTTTTTTATTTATTTTTTTTGTGATAGGACGGCAAACGAGCAGCCGTATTACCTGATGGTAAGCGATCGGCGTCGCCCATGGACACCCGCAACAAAGAAGGAGTTACGAGTGCGTTGCCGACCTTTTAAGGATTGGTATTTTGGGGATTTTGGGATTGGGAAGGGATTGGGGTAGGGGAAGGATTGGGCCTCCGGTAACCTCACTCACACGGCGAAACACAACGTTGTGGTTGTTTCACGCCGGTTTTCTGTGAGGCTGTGGTATCACTCCGGCCGAGCCGACCCATTCGTGCCGAAGCTTGGCTCTCCCCGTGGCTCTCCAACACTTACTTGCATAGAGCCAATTTGGACAATGTCTTTAGTCAGTAGTAGGACGGCTCCTGGAATAGCACCTAACATGTATTCACCGCTTATCTATTAGATCATAGTGCAGGCTCGAAAACGAAAAGGGATAGTTCTAAGTTGGTAAACGACTGACAGAAGTCATCTATTTTCTTGAAAAATATTCGTGAAAATAGTCAACTTTTAATAACAGATTAATATACTTTGAAAAATAAAAAACAAAATATCGAAGTTGTACTTATTACTTTGCATTGCTTAGCCGTTGAACCAAGAAATTGACCGAGCTCAGCCAGGGAATGGGAAATTGATTTATAAGTTAGTAATTCCCACAGACTTGCAACTTTTAGATAGGGCTATACTGGCTTTCGAACAATCTTTTATTATCTTACATTTTCAATCAAATAACATGTCTTTGTATTATTAAGGCATATTTAGTTTATTATTCGAAAAACGAATACTTACTGATGTAGCAGACCTCCTTATATACTTTTTGTAGCAGGCCAGAAACACATATATAGTGCGACTGACAACCAGCACGTCATTTCGAAATTTAAAAGTTAAGTTTTTCTTATTTTGTTTTCATGTTGCACGGTATATATAAGCCGTGATTTCTAAATAAATTAGTCAGATCGTAATACGCTGTCTTACTCAACACGCAACTCCTAAACTGAATTAATTAATAATTCTCTACTAGGTATAGGACAGGTACACAAAATTATCTCAGTTTTCTTCGTTTATTAGAGGGGATTAATCGGTAACTTAATAAACTAAAAAACTATATGATTATTAAAAAGAAGAAAGATTTCATTGTTGTTTTTTTCCTTGACCGATTTTAAACGTATTGAAGCTACACTATAGACCTGATAACATATTGAGCTTAATTGGTAAATTAAGCGGGTGAAACTGCGAGGCAAGCTAGTTTTCAATAAACCTATTTGTACTAGAACTAGAATACATTTCGTGTAGAATTTACTAGAATCTTTCTGATTTTTTTTACGTAAATCAAGCGCGGATCCTAATTACTCTGGATTAAGGTCGCGGTGCCTCATTGCGCTTGCCCCGCAACCCCGGCTGAACATCAGCCCTATAGGGCCCCGTCTGTGGTAGTCTACTGGCTCTTTGAGGTGCGCGCGGACCGCGGACTGGACCTTGAAGACACCCAGGTTATTTCACCGTTTGGCGAACAAAGACCCTGGCAAAGAATTCCATTCCTTATCGGTTATTAAAATGAAGCTTAAGGCAAATATTTTCGCGTGTTTGGGTTTAAACATGTCTGATGGTTTCCTAGTTCTGTGTCAAGGAGTTTGTCTTACATGTTTTTGTTTGATTTCGTAACAGATCAATCTCCCACTTTGTTACTGATTAATTATTCTCATTAAGTAACTCTGTACTTTTGGTTTGATTATTAGTATTTTTTTCTCATTTTCTGATTTTTTCTTTACTACCGAGTAAGGGGGGCTTAGCTTTGTAAGTTATTTAGGAAGGTGCAACAGTCCTTATTCAAGTTTTTTTTTAACTAAAGTACTTCGTCAATTTAAATAGGAAAGCAATGTATGTGAATAAAAATATACTTATATAATAAGCCTCTTATCCTGAACTGTATCTTTGACTTTGTAGTTGGCTCCTTTCTTTAAGTTATAAAATATGTCTGAGTTCAGTGTGCCTCTTGGCAAAGGCCTCCTCTAACAATTTCCATAGTACTCTGTCTCTTGCAACCCTTCTCCATTTTGAGCCTGCTGCCAATTTTAGTTCGTCTTTCCATCTCTTGCTTTGTCTTCCTCTGTTCCTTTTCTCATCTCTAGGGTACCAGTCAGTTATGATGTTGCTACACTTTTCTTGTTTATCGCGTATCAAAATATACATATTTAATGTTATTGTTTTTTCGAATTTCGATATTTTCCGTCATACGTAAAATAATAAAAAGTGCCCACTGCTGTACTAAGTCTTTTTTCACATGGAGAAAGTAAAAGCATTAATCGCTACGACTCCTCAAGCACGCACGCTCACACAACTGTGTTTGTTGTGCCAATTTTCATAAAAATCCATTGAGTCCATATCAATCCATATACTATATGTATAAAGTTTCGCGTATATAATATGAGTGGCATTAGTTTATCCGGGTAAGGTCATTCATCCGAAAGTTTCCATTAGACATACCTACATTATAAAGTTGGACCCCATAATTATTTTGTTAAAGTTTTAGATTTAAGTAATTTTGCAAACATAATATTATTATGTAGGTGGGAATAACAATGTACTACGAAGTTTCGTTACGTTGGCCAAGTTAAAGGTTTTCAATCGACATCAAAAGGGAGGCTCTCATTTTGATCTGAATGTTTTATGTCCGTGATTATCTCACTACCATCGGCTGAACTGATTTAGGTACGGCTTTCAGAAAAGCATTTATTTAAATTCCAAATTCGAATCTGATTCTGAGTACACATTTCAACTTTTTGAGTGGGAGAAGTCATTTGATGATTTTCGCTACATCTTTCGGCTGAGATATATCTGAACAGATACGATCTTCAATCTTTCAAGCTCGTACCTTCCTAAAAGGCCGACAACGCGCCTATGACTTCTTTAGTGTTGCGGGTGTCCATGGGCGATGCTCACCACTTATTATCCGTTTGTTCATTTGCCTCCAATTACAATGCAGCCGGATATTCATCATCATCATAATCATCAGCCTATTAGTGCTTACTGCTGAGCAAAGGCTTCTTCTCATACGGAGAAGGTTGGCGATTTCAAACTTATAATTAGCAATTATAAGTTCACGATGTTTACCTTCACCCTTTGTCAGTGGTTTCAAAATAATCATAGAAAGTACATATAACTCTGAAAAAGTCACATTGGTACTTGCCCGGTTTTGAACCCACACCCTCATGCATGAGACCTACAATCGTATCTGAACAGATACGATGGTTAAATCCTTCGTTCGTACCTGCTTTAAAGGCCGACAACGCGCATATGACTTCTTTGGTGTTGCGGGTGTCCATGCTGTCTGTTCTCTTACCTCCAATTACATAAAAAAAACATATTAAACCATGCAGCCTGATAATATCTAATAATAAATCTCTTATTCATTGTAACATTGATTGTTAAGCCTCCAATTATTTATACACTCTATAAATACTTGCAAAAGCACTAAATACACATACAAATCAGATTGTTTGTACATTTACAAGTGCTAGGAATTCCGATGGGACCTAGGGCTTAGTTGTAATAATACAAACAGTCTGGAGCTGTTTACAACGTTGAAATTCATATTGGAATATGATTGAGTGCAAAGTTTAAGTCTTGCATTTAGAACAAGATTTCAAATAATTTTTTTTTTTTTTTTTTTTATTGATTATAGGCTCGCGCTTGACCGCTATCTCACCTGATGGAAAGCGACGATGCGGTCGACGATGGAGCGCGCTTACCTAGAAGTAACCTATTCACTCTTGACTTAAAGATACCCGGATTGTAGCTATCAGGAAACACCGACTCCGGCAAGGAATTCCACTCCTTGGCTGTACGCATGATGAATGTACTCCCAAAACGTTTTGTACGTATATGTGGGACATCCACCATGTACCGGTGGCGCAATGCCGTACGTCTGGTGGTCCGATGATGGAACGGGCTAGGCGGAATTAAATTATGTAATTCCAACGCACATTCCCCGAAATGCAACCGGTAGAAAACCGACAGGCTAGCAACTCGGCGTCGATGCTCAAGACTTTGAAGTCTCGACTCGACAAGTGCATCATCGCCAATGATCCTCTTGGCTCGCCTCTCAATAGATTCAAGCGCATCAAGTTGGTATCGGGCAGATCCGTCCCAAAGATGAGAGCAGTACTCCATAACCGATCGAACTTGCGCCTGATAAAGTTTAAGCAGCTGTTCCGGCGTGAAGTATTGTCTAACCCTTGCGAGGATTCCCAACTTTTTTGCAGCCAGTTGAGCTTTTGCTTCGATGTATGGCCCAAAATTGAGAGTAGACGTCAGCGTTATACCAAGAAGATCAAGATGGTCAGTTATCGGCACGGATACACCCCGGAAAGTTGGAGCAGGGCTAAATTGACTCCTTTTACTGGAAAATAGACACGCCTGAGTTTTAGCTGCATTGAACCTGACCATGTTGGCATCGCCCCATTTAGAGACAGCCTCCAAGGACAAGTTCAAGCGCCCAACCATAGCCTCTCGAAGAGTCTGGATCTGTGACCCACTAGCTCGTGCGCCGGACGTGTAACTCTCAACAACAGTGCTGTCGTCTGCATACCCAAAGGTACCGGGCTTAAGCAGGTCGTTTATGTGCAACAAGAACAATGTTGCCGAGAGCACTGACCCCTGAGGAACCCCAGCATTGATGGTCATTTGACTCGACGAGCATCCATCGATGACCACACGGATGGACCGGTCCCTCAGAAAGTCTGCGATCCAAACACACAATCCAGTGGGTAAACCGAATGAAGGAAGCTTACTAATAAGGCTTTCGTGCCATACCCTATCGAAAGCCTTCGAGATGTCAAGGGAGACGGCAAGCGCTTCCCCGTGTTTCTCGATGGCCTCACTCCAGATGTGGATGGCATACGCTAGAAGATCACCTGTGGACCGATTCCGGCGAAATCCGTATTGTCGGTCACTTAAGATATCATTGGCTTCTAGGTATGCCAGGAGTTTTGTGTTCAGCACACGTTCCATTGTCTTACAGAGAATGGACGTTACTGAGATGGGCCTGTAGTTAGCTGGGTCAGCCCGACTACCCTTTTTGGGCACGGGCTGTACGTTAGCTTGCTTCCATGCATTCGGCACTTTTCCAGCCTCAAATGAAAGCCTAAATAGGCGTGTCAGGATTGGAGTCAATTCTGGCGCACACGTTTTCAGCACGATTGCCGGTATCCCGTCAGGACCGCTAGCCTTGTTCACGTCTAGGTTACGTAGCACCCTACGGACGTCCTTCTGATGGATGCGAATGTCTGACATACTCGTCTCACATCCATCAGGATAAGCAGGGGGCCGCGCGTCACCGGGATCCAGACGCGAAGATTCCGCGAAGAGGGAGGCAAACAGATTTGCTTTCTCCTCAGCGGTGTGGGCCAGCGAACCGTCGGGCCTCAGCAATGGCGGTAGTGAGGGGCGGCAGAAGTTCGATTCAACCGACTTAGCCAAGGACCAAAACGCTTTGCTACCAGCGGGGTATGAAGCAAGTTTGTTCCCGATGCGGCTGATGTGGTCGAATCGAGACCTCCGCATTGCCTTCTTGCAAGACTTGGCAGCACTGTTGAAGGCTCTCTTCTTCTGACTCACGTCACTCGCCTTACGCATGCGAGCGTCGGCCCAGGCCCGGTATGCTTCGTGTTATAAGGAATAAAACGTTGATATATTTATACAACGAACCCTGGTCTAACATCATCATCAGCCTATGTGCTAAGTGCCCACTGCTGAAAGGCCTCATCTCACATGGAGAAGGTTTGAGCATTAATCACCACGCTTGCTCAATGCGGGTTGGCGATTTCAAACTTATAGTTAGAAATTATAAGTCCAGGATTCCTCACGATGTTTACCTTCACCGTATGTCCGTGGTGTCTAAATAATCATAGAACGTACATATTACTCGGAAAATGTCACATTGGTACTTGCCAGGTTTCGAACCCTTATGCATGAGAAGCGGGCGCGTTAACCTGCGGGCCACCACGACATCTCACGAGCGCGTTTGAATATCAGTCCACTCAAATAATATAAATTCCAATCTACCTAAATAATTTTAATAATAAAATTGCACAAAGCAGTGGGTACTTTCGTTATCTCCCTCGCACTGTCAACACGACGTAGCTACAATACAGCCGGGGACAGACTGAATGACACCTCAATGATGGTATTTGATGTGAGAAATTTCACATCTACCCTCATTTATATTTCATGTTATGTTGTCACATTTTTGTTTTTATTTTTAATTATACAGAAGGAATTGCGTTGCTCGACTTTTGGAGTTTGTTAGAACTTTGAGGACAAGATAAGGTGGGGGAAGCGTTGGACCTAAGTAAGATCTACCCAATGTAGGCGTTGTTTCACGCCGGTTTTCTGTGTTGCCATGGTATCACTGCGCTCGATCAGACCCATTCGTGCCGAGGCATAGCTCTCCCACACTTACGTGATATGCTAACATGTTTGTTCCATATATGGTTTGTATTAAAATAAAGCTGTATCTATAAAAAAGGACCTACTATCATCCCGTCGCACTCCAAGCTTCATTATCTTGGTACTTTGGGTAAAAGCTTCCGTTTTTCTTTCCAAGTATAAAAATAGTATTCTAGGAAAACGCTATAAGCAATGTTTGTTTCTATTTGTGAAACTAGTTTGAGTTTTACTTAAAAATATTTTAAGTCGGCTCTTTTTACCACCGTTTCAATCAAACATAAATTTATTACGATTGCATTGCCGACCTTTTGGGGATAAGAGATTAGGAGATTTATGGATTGTGGAGGAATTAGGGGAGAAGAAGAATTAGGCCTCTGATAATCTCAATCACACGTCGAAACACAACGCTTTGGATTTTTCCAATAAAAATTCTCCTGAAGAAAGAAAGAAAATGTAACAGTCTAGTATCTTTCCGGACCCGGGATTCAAACCCAACTAAGTGAATGATTGAGTGACTTTTGCCGCGTGGTTCATTTAATAGTTGGCAAGTCGCTGAAATTGTTAATTTTTATAATTGTATATTTTTCGTACTGGAATGTCCACTATCAATAGTCGTAAGTACCATCCAAGAACTTTACAGACAAACTATTTCACCGCTATTGTCATACAGTACACGATTTTTCATTCCACAAGTAAGTACCGCATACTTCATACTTTGAGCCAGTGCCCAAGATGTAACTGACAGACAGAATACATTTTTGAACTAGCGTGTAGGGGTTTTATTTATTTATATTATGTACTAAATATATTTAAGCAGGTGACGCATGTATTTTACATTAGTTATGACAAACGACACACTATATCTAGCGTGGGACATCTCTAATGGATTCTAACAATTTACGAGGCATTTTTTGCACTGAAACAAAAAGCGTGTGAATGTAAATATATGTAAACTATTTTATTATTGTTAATGGATAATTTGAAATATGTTTTTATTTTAGTGTAGTTAGTTTTGTACTAACAGCTTTGTGTATTTGCATAAACATTTTTTTTTATGTAATAGGTCGGCAAACGAGCAGACGGATTACCGGATGGTAAGCAATCAGCGCCGCCCATGGACACCCGCAACGGAGGAGTTACGAGTGCGTTGCCGACCTTTTAGGGATTAGGGATTTGGAGATTAAGGGATTGAGGAGGGATTGGGGGAGGGGAAGGATTGGGCCTCCGGTAACCTCATTCACACGGCGAAACACAACGCTGTGGTTGTTTTCTGTGAGGCCGTGGTATCACTCCGGTCGAGCCGACCCATTCTGAAACAATGCCATTACAATGAGAGTTGAGTATAAAAAATCCAATTATTCAATAACTCAACCTTATCTCTTCAACGTAATGCACATATTACATTGAAGATTAAAATAAATGCCGGTAACTGACCCGGAGGTTAAGGCAACCGATTCACATGCATAAGAGTTTGAAACCTAGCAAGTCTATGATTGTCAAGACAAACAGTGAAGGAAACCTCTAATAGAAACTAGACCTTATACTTTCTAATTATAAGTTTGAGATCTCGTAAATACTCCGGTCGAGCTACACCATTCGTGCCGAAGTATTTAAAATCAATGAAACAATCCCCGGCGTATGGCAAATATCCACCCTTACGTTGTTGAAACACCTGCGGCCCGGACTAAGCGTTTTGCCTCGTCATTTATACCGCGTACGTCGAGGGATTGGAACAGTTTGCCGGCTGCAGTCTTTCAGTCCAAATACAATTTAGGTCTCTTCAAGGCTAGAGTGAATAGGCTCTTAATAAACTAGTGCGCCTTACCAACAACGATTGCATCACTGCTTACCATCAGGTGGGATCGCAGTCAAGCACTGGTTTATAACAAGTAAAAAAAAATGAAAGTATGTATGTAGGTATGTATATCTGTCTTTCCTGGTTCCTGGCCCACCGAGAGAAGGAGGAATGACATCTCTCGCTCAGGTGACGTGAGAGGGGGTTTCACAGTCTTAATGATTTAAAACCACTCCGTGCTTTCATCTGCTCAAGACTGAGGATAGCCGAAACTTCCGTGGCCGTTCCTAGAATTCCGTCAGGTGGAAGGCAAGAATGATATGGCATCTGTCAAGCCTTTTCTTAAAGAAAGGTTTTACCGCTGCCGTAATAATGTATCGGTACGTAGAGTACAGGCACATCCCCTTCGGAGATTGATTTTTTTGTGAGGGGAAAATCATCAAATGTCTTCTCCCGCCCAGGGCTGGCCGGGAGGGAGTGTCAGACTCTTACTGACTAAAAACCCCGCTGTTCCTTCTCATGCTCTGGGCCGAGGTCGCGGTGCAAGCTAGGCTTTATTTTTCTATGTTAACATTTAGACAGTTTGAAAATAAATTGCTGTAATTTGATTAATAATTAATCTTATCTCATCTTCATATTTATTTCGTAAGTCTACGGAAAGCTTTTTAAATGCTTCTAAGGCTTCTAATGCTTTTAATCATGATGTAAGTAACTTAGTGAAATATTTTAAAAATAAAAGTAAAAAATATAGAGAACATTAAAAAATTCCTATGAAATCCCTGACTTCCGAGTAAGGATCAAGTTCGTAAATCAGTACCAGCGTAAAGTAATAAAGTAATATTAGTATTAGATAGATATATGCGATATATTTTTAAAGTGTGGGAGAGCCATGCTTCGGCACGAATGGATCGGCTCGACCGAGTGATACCACGACCTCACAGAAAACTTTCCCACAGCGTTGTGTTTCACCGTGTGATTGAGGTTACCGGAGGCCCAATCCTTCCCCTCCCCCAATCCCTAAATCACCATATACCTAATCCCTAAATGGTTGGCAACGCACTCGTAACTCCTCCGTTGCGGGTGTTCATGGGCCGACCTATTACATAAAAAAAAAATGTAATAGCAGGTAAACAAGCAGACGGATTACCTGATGCTAAGTAATCTGCGCCGCCAATGGATACCCGCAACAAATCAACAAATTGTGTGAGTATTTACTAAGTTTGATATCGCCAATGCGCTTTGAGCAAGCATGGTGATTAATGCTTAAACCTTCTCCGTAAGTGAGAAGAGGCCTTTGCTCAGCAGTGGGCAATTATAGGGCACTAATGACTTAAGCTCACCAATATATAATATATACAAATGTTCGCGTCACATAAGGATTCCCTAAGCAACCCTTCTTAAAAGCATAAATATCAGTTTAATATACTTCTAAAGACACACTGAACCCAATTTACATATTTAGAACATAAACCTCTCCCCCTCACCCAGATTTAGTCAAATGGTTATTAAAATAATTATTTAAATAGCGTTCAGAGGTTTAAAATATAACCGCGGTATGTTTAATGTTAATAATAATTCCTTGTGTGTGGTTGTCTGTTCATACTAGATAAAGAGTTATTGTCTGTACTAACTACGAGTATAGTGTGAGAGCCGCCATTTTAAATTTTGAATTCATATTATTTGTTTACATAACACGTTTTAGTTGAAATACCACATATATGGGACCCTTCCAGAGCTATTCTTCGGGCCGAATGGGTCGGCTCGCCCGGAGTGATACCACGGCCTCACAGAAAACAGGCGTGAAACAACCACGGCGTTGTGTTTCGCCGTGTGAGTGAGGTAATCGGAGGCCTAATCTTTCCCTATCCCCCAAACCCTCCTGAATTCCTAATCCCCAAAAGGTTTGCAAGGCACTCGTAACCTCTTTTGTTGCAGATTCCATGGGTGGCGCTGATTGATTACCATTAGGTAAGCCGTCTGATTGTTTGCCGACTATCTCATAAAAATACCATTATTGCGGCCTCGTCTAGTAGAATTAAAATATTGACGAATAAAAATGCAATGTTCAAAAATAAACAATAATTATTTAATTTTGAAGATATTTAACATTATTTTACTGCTACCTACACCTTTCGCCTACACACATAGGTTTTTTTTTTTTTTTTGTGAGGAGAAATTCATCATATGACTTCTCCCGCCCAGGGCCGGGCAGGAGGGAGTGTCAGACTGTTACTGACTAAAAACCCCCCTGTTCCTTCTCCTGCTCTGTGCCGAGGTCTCGGTACCTCATTGCGCTTACCCCGCAACCCCGGCTGAACATCAGCCCTGTAGGGCCCCGTCTGTGGTGGTCGAATGGCTCTTTGAGGCGCGCGCGGAACGCTACGCGCCGTACGCTCGGGCCGCAGGCCCGTGCTTACGGTGGCCGGAGATCGTCCCTCGATCCCCGACGCCCGTAGTGTCGCCAGTTGCGGCTGCTGGGGCGTGAGGAGGAGGATTGCTCCCTCACGCGGGCCGCCTCTCTCTTTGCGAGCATGACTGCTTCACAAAAGGAGGAGACGGCGTCCCAGTGCCTCTCACTCCGCACCATGGCCTCGACTAAGGCACACACATAGGTATCATCGAAATCAGAAGCAAGATTTTCCTATCATGTGTAAACGTACCTACGACGCAGGCAAAATCCTAGTTCGGAACATCGTTTTTCAAATAAGTATTATACTAAAAAGATCAAGATAATTTTGAACACAAGTTACGATGAAAAATATTGACAAAAATCTCAAAGCTTCCTGTGATTCGGGATTTGAACCCGTCACTTCCTAGGTACCTACTGAACTTGTTTACCACTACCAAATAAAGCGAACAAGTATTTAATTTTAATCCTGCGTTTTTTATCAGGAATGTCAAAGCCAGTTACCTATAAGTGTGAGAGATCCATGCATTGGCACGAATGCTCCTCCCCTCCCGAAATCCCTAAATTCCCAAAATTCTTATCCACAAAAGGTAGGCAACACATCGTAACTCGTCCGTTGATGCGGGTATCGATGGGCGGCGCTGATTGCTTACCATCAGGTGATCCAAAAGTTAATAAAAAATTAATCCATCAAATCATTAAAGATACTTTTGAACGTCAAACTTTAGACCTAAGTATAGACAACTGCAACAGGGAAGCAGTTACAAATGGTTTGCTGACCTTCTGAAAATGTGTATACCTACTTTTTGTTTCTTGAGCCTTCGAATTACCTACGTTTAAGTCTGACTTGTTTTCATCGGGCTATAAGCTTCTTCACCGCCTGCACACCCACGCAAAAACAGCGTTACATTTTCTCAAGTCTCAAAAGAGGTCTTAAAACAACAAGCATTTTCCTATTGATGGTCGACTTCTGTCTGGTCAGTATCTTAGTAGCTTTAACGCCATCAAGTTACAATTTTGCCATTGCACACGCAAAAAACAGGGGTATTTTGTGAAGTGAAACTTAACGATTGGGCTGACATTTTATATCCACGTTAAGTTTGCATGACATAAGTGTAGGAGAGCCATGCTTCGGCACGAATGGACTAGCTCGAACGGAGTGATACCACTGCCTCATCGAAAATCGGCTTGAAGCAATACTTACGTTGTGTTTCTCCGAGTCAGTGAGGTTATTGGAGTTAATCCATCCTAACCCTTCCCCCAACCTCTATCATCAAATCCCCTATCCGTAAATCCCTAACAATCCCCAAGAGGCCGGCAATGTCCTCGTAGTAACTCTTTTGGTATGACGAGGGTCCATGTGCGGTACCCATTGCTTACCATCAGGTAATCCGTCCGTTCGTTTGCCGACCTATGACTTAAAAAACACTATAAATGCTCTAAATCCATTAAAATGTGTTTGAACTGTTTACACCCACTTTAGATTTCCTTTTTTCCGAGCATCAGAACTTTGGCCTTAGGAATGTAAATAAACTTAGGAAGAAGTCGGACACGTTTTCTTCTAATTTCTAAAAGTCAGTTTCGATCCAAACCTATTTCAATCACAAGTGTAATAAGGTTGTGGGCATGCCCATCATGCCCACAACGGTGGATCCGCCCTTGTGTTGGTCTTAGGATTTATTGACCCACTTTTAAAGTGTTTTTGAATGATTGTATAAATATCGTTTATGTATTAGTTTTGACTGTTAAAGACTGATTGTAAAGTATATTTTGTACTAAGCCTGCCTGTATTATTAATATATGTAATACACTGTTAATTTAGGGTAAAAATAAATAAACAATCGCAGATGCAATTTCTCTATTACTTGTATAATTTGATTTTAAATTGTATAATCATTAACGGTTATATTTAAAACAACTTTACGAAGTCTTACACATATGTTTAATCACTTAATTATAATTTAATCACTATTTGTAGAGCTACGATGCATATGAAAATTATATTTATTTTACAAGTATCGCAATATAAATATTTAAAATGATAAAATGAAATCAATGAGTTATTTTATTAATGAAAATAACAACGAGTGTATTTATTTATAGGTATTTAAAATTCCATATTCATATATTAACATAAATTTAATAAAATAATTACGGCAAAATAAAGCAATCTCGTAATACGATAGGAATATTTTATAGGCATTTAATGATATAATTAGAAATAATTGTTAACCACATAATTATAAGGTAAATTTCGTGAAATTAATTTGCTTGGAAAATGACAGCGTTATTTAAAGCTACGTTGAAACGTAATTACGTTAATATTTTCTTTATAGGAATAATTAACGGAAAAATAAACACTTTTTCAGCTTCATTATTTATTCAACAACATAAATGCGAGTTTAAGCTTACACTATAACATACTTCGCGATCGTAACTCCACATGACTATGATTTACAATGATTTTAATATTTTTCATACATAAATAACTACATTACATGTATAACAATAATATACAAAATAAACACGGTTTATAACCAATAAAATAAATTTTACAAATCAATAAATAAATAATGAATCATAAATCAAAATTAGAACACGAATTTATTTTTTCAAATCACGCTTTCTAATACATTTTCTTTTTTTAATATTCGAAATGCCTAATTTATGTGAATTATGCAGTCAAAAATCTTATAATTATTAATTAACTGTTTTGGTATGGAAACTCGCGTGGAAGTACAAAAATAAATAAAAAATATTACGTATTCAGGTTTCCGTGTGAAAATTGGCTGGATTTTTCACATGAAAACCTTCATAAAGGTTGAGGTAGTCTTTATAAAAAAACAACAATGTCTATAAAAAAGTAACAGTCTATGTTTAAGATAGGAATAAAGAAATAAATAGGTACCTAATTTAAAAAGTGCGTCCCACGCAAATTTCCAATAGGGTTATCTCTTAATCATAAATTAACAAAATTATTTAAACGTCAAAATAATTGTCACTGTCTTCGGCCGAAATGTCATCTGCCGATCGCTTGCCCAGACCGAAACTGAAGCGATGCATATCTCTCTCCCTTTTGCCTAACCCAAAGTTGAATTTGCTGCTCAGCCGTTTGCCTAGACCAAAGTTGTAGCTCCTCGCTCGCTTGCCCAAACCAAAGTTGTACATCGGTAGCCTCTTGCCCAGTCCAAAGTCGTATGCCCTTGCCCGTTTTTCTTCCGAAGTTTCGTCGTCAGCGAAGCGTTTGCCGAGTCCGAAGCTGTAGGGTCGAGCGCGCTTTGCTTCGTAACCTGGGAACAAAATTGGGAACTTAATATGATATTTTAACATACAAATTTTCCCTTAAAACTCAGGCGTAGATCAATATAGTAGTTGAATATGTATAACTCTTCGTCGGCTTATAGTGTTAATACCAATATGAAATATTGATTTGCAATAAAGACTTAGAAGGCGAAACATATTTAAAAAATGGGGGAGAGCCAATACTACGGCAGTAATGGGTCGGCTCGACTGGAGTTATACCATTGCCTCACAGGAAACCGGCGTGAAACTACCACAGCGTTTTCCGGAAGCCCATTCTCTCTCTCTTTCAACCGCATCCCCAATTCCTAAACCCGTTACTTCTCTGTTGTTGTGTGTTTGTCATGGGCAGCGCTGATTGACATTAAAAAAAATAAGACCTTCTTCTTTATTCAGTGATAATCAAGACCCTTATTTATATTTGAAAATATCACAAAATATGCTTTCAGAATTAAAAATAAAGTACTTTTTAACAAAAACCAATTACTGAAGATCTCCCAAACTACTTCGTTTATTTAACTCACCCGCATCATCATACTGATCGAAGAATTCAGCTAAGGCAGCTTGGTCCAGGTCGCTGGTAAGGGGCTGGCTCTCGCTGGACTGGTCCTCATCGACTGAGCGTTTGCCCAAGCCAAAGGAGTAGGGCCTGGATCTAGAAACAAAATAGTTGTGGTAAATAAAATTGCTTATGTATTGTCAGAATTTGTTGTCAATTCTTTGTTACATAATTCTTACGTGTATTTTACTACGATAATACGTTTAAACGTTACGTTGTAACACTCCGGTCGAGCCGACACATTCGTGCCGAAGCATGGCTCTCCCACACATGTGTAATGATTTTTTTTTACTTGTAATGTAGGGCCTCGGCCCAGAGCAGGAGAAGGAACAGGGCGGTTTTCAATCAGTAAGAGTCTGACACTCTCACCTGCCACTTTAATAGTTTTCCCTTCTTAAAAAATGGATGGAGCGACGTGATAGAAAAATATACTGTACCTCTTGCCCAATCCAAAGTTGTAGACAGGAAGTCGTTTATACTCCGACACGTAGCTATAAGCCCGCTTGCCCAAACCGAAGTCGTAGTGAGGAGATCTCTTCTCAAGAGGCGCAACATGGTCACTGTGAGGTTCAGTGCCCTCATGCACTGGAGTGTCGTGAGGGTCTGGGTCGTTTTGCATCCTCTCTGGAGCACAGAGTACTACTCCAATGACGAGGAAGCATACTGGAATCGATGGGTACAGCATTCTGAAACAAAGATTGAGTTTTATATTAGTTTTTTTTAGTTGCTGGGTTTTTTCAATACACTCTTTATACGTAGATATACTTTTTAATTTTTTATACTTTACTAGCATACCCAGCCACGCGTTGCTGTGGCTGAGTCCATCGCGGACAAACACGTGACTCGAAATTTTTATATATAAAGATTATGTTGTATGTAATATAAAGTTTTTTTATTTAGAAAGCAACATTTTATAGTTGTCTATTATTTGGTTAAGTGGTATTGCGAAACTTAATAGAGGAACAATAGGACCACCGGCGCTCGCTTTCGGATTGATTATGATATACCTTTCTATGGATTTATTAACTGGGTACTTTAGAACTGATGAACTTCAATAAAATATTTTGACATACATAAACACTCAAAAAGTAGTTTGTTTAGAACCGCTTACTGATTTTTTTTAAATATTTTAACAGAAAGTATTGTTTATCTTAAAAAATCTAATTTTGTCTGTATTACGTCTTGGTGGTCCGGAGGCTTAGGCGCCCGCTTCTCATTCATGAGGGCGCGGGTTCGAAATCTGGCCAGTACCAATTTGACTTTTTCTGTGTTATTAGTACTTTCCATGATAATTCAGACACTACTGACATACAACGAAGTAAAATATATTGAGGAAACCTGGACTTGAATTTCTAATTATCTAAATCGCCAATCCTCAAACCTTCTACGTGTGAGAAGAGGCCTTTGTTCAGAAGTGGAAGATGATGTAGTCCGATGATAGGTAATGAGGAGAATCTGTATTAAATTTCGAATTTCCTCCAAAGAGTTTTTGTTTAATGGCTTTGATAAAATGAAGTACGTTAGCAAATACTATAATTAGATAATAGTATTTCTACTTCCTCTTTTTTGAACTCAAAACAACAGCATTGGGTAGTTTTCTAGCTCAAAAATAAATTAATTCGCCATTTCTGTACAATAAGTATTGAAAAATAACTAGGTATACTTTTATTCATCGATCGATCGATACACTAATTTCAGGATATTTATTAGCTAATTATTAAGAAATAAGTTAGCTAAAAAAACTCATACGTCATAACACAGTTTTTCATACAAAAGTATCGTTTTTGACATTTGGATAGAGGTATTGAACTTGACTAGTTGGAAACTACCATATTGTGGAAAACAAAATACACAATTCAAAAATAAAGAAAATAAAGACATTTTTCTTTCCAACTACCGCACGTACTTTTCTTTTCCGATTTCCAACGAACTTTTCTCCTTTGCCTCTAATAAAAATAAACTCGAGTCTCACGAAGTTTTGGTAAAACTAACAAAAGTATAAGAAAGCTGTATAAACCAGTTATCTATGACGACTCTGGACATTGGAAGCCGCTGTTATAATGACGAATGTCAGGTATAAGAAATAAGGCCTTTAGAAGTCCAACTAATTGTTTTTTTTTATAGAATAGAAAACCAGCGTGAAATAACCACAGCGTTATGTTTCGCCGTGTGAGTGAGGTTACCGAAGGCCCAATCTTTCCCCACCCCCAATCCCTCCTCAATCCCTAAATCTCTTAATCCCTAATAGGTCGGCAACGCACTCGTAACTCCTCCTTGCGGTGCGGGTGTCCATGGGCGGCGTTGATTGCTTACCATCAGGTAATCCGTCTGATCGTTTGCTGATCTATGATCTGACGATATGATCTGACTGATGATGACTCTTTTATGATCTATTACATAAAAAAATAGTTTTGTCCTTTTTCAACACTACAAAATGCTGACTGCACTGCAGACAGCTGATTACCGATCACTAGTTATAATTATTGTTTTTGTCCATATACAAAAAGAAGTAGAAGAACAAGACTGTATTCTGTAAATGAAACTTCTGACTTCTCTGTATGTTTGTTAATGTGTATAATTCAACTAAATGCGACCCTTACTTGAACATCTTGAGGACCGAGTCCTCCTTCCTCATTTGATCACGTTCTTCCTTTTAATTTTATTTATAGAGGTCTAAGAACAAAATGTAATGAATAAAATATTTGTTAGAGCTATCGTTCTTTTGTTAAAAGTTGGCCTGCACTAGGTATTAACCTACACTAGTGTTTGGGCTTCAAAAATTAAATTTAAGAATAAAGTTTTGTTTTTAAAATTAGGGTTATCGTATTGCACTAATGTTTTTTTTTAATTCATATTGGAAAGCCATGCTTCGGCACGAATGGGTCGTCTCGACCGGAGTGACACCACGGCCTTACAGAAAACCGGCGGGTGAAACAATCACAGCGTTGTGTTTCGCCGTGTGAGCGAGCACTCGTGACTCCTTCATTGTTGCCTTGAGTGTCCTTGGGCGGTGCTGATTGCTTATAAAAATAATTGTTCAATTTGAACCAGTAGTTTTGAAGATTCGTTCAAACAAATAAACTCTTCAGCTTCATAATATTATAATAGTATAGATTTAATTTTTAATTAAAAAAATTTTATCTTTAAAATCACACCTTATTTTTTATCGCGACAAAAAATATCCGACTAAGCTTTACGTTGTTTATAAATATATAAAAACTTTTTTGCTTCGTTAAGCATAATGGGTTTTCATTATAAGTAAACCTAATGCAACAAAAAAGGGGATTCAAACCCACACGACCAAGGGACATGAGTAAGATAATTATTTTTTAATTAAAACCCGAAGGTTTAACTGAAAAACACTTCAAAACTAAGTGTTGACCTTATGAAGCAAATTGAAATCAAAAAACGTTAACAACCTACACGTTTTGTCCTGGAAAAACATTTAAAATGGGGTCGCCATATTTTGTATGGTGAAGGCTTAAAGTCAAAGTCAAAATCATTTATGCCAACGAAACTATACATAGGTATTTTTGAAAAGTCAAAATGGAACATAGATAGGAGCTAGATAGCTAGGTGCTCGTTCTTAATTGTATTATTCGAAAGGAGAAAAACGAATAAAATACAACATCGTCACTCTTTTAAAAAAATATTAGTTTTACAACTAGGTTTTTAACTATACATTACTTAACCATTAAATAGTAGTAAGTCGAGACACAATAGAAGAACAAGAAATGAGCGAATGCTGGCGTTCGCTTGGGGTGTGATGAATTAATAGCACATATGTGAGAACAATGCAGAGAAAAAGTCGTTAAAAGGTTGGATTCCCGCACGGTACAACTATTTGTGTGATCCACAAATTGTTGTTTCGGGTATAAGAGTGATGTGCATGTGAAAAATGTTTAATGTTGTTGAATGTTTGTTTAAAAACCCACGACACAGGAGAAAATCATAGTGTGGGGTAACGGTTTCTTTAAATAACAAAAACAGAACAAACAATGAAATTGATTTCTTAACAAAACGTCAATACGAAATTGCAGTTGAACGGGTAAAAGTATGATTGATTTAGTTGTTAGATCCCAACTCGCAAATATGTATGTATACATACACATATACATTGCAAGTTAATTAAAAGCGTGTTATAGGTATGTTTATAATTCAAATACAACTAATTATACAAGTTTGTACTGAACTCTGTGAGGTCCAAATATTCACCATTATATCTGATAAGGTTTAGGTTCCACATTCAGCGGAGCGGAGCAGAGTTAACGGGTAACTGTAACGGGTAAGCTACCGGAGGCCCAACACTTAGAAAGAAGAAAGAAAGAAAAAGTATTTATTCGCGTCTGGGACGCATAAAAGACACAAAACGAACAAGATAATAAAATAAAGTTAAAATAAAAATACATTGAGCAAGGTAAAAACAATATCACAAAAGTAGACGGTAGGAGAAAAATATGCGTCCAAGCACGCGAAATGGCCCACGCTCAGCATAATGCAGCGACCCCGTACGAGACGGGTTCGCGGCGCTGATTTTCAGCGATGGCCGTCACTAACGCATGACGCCAATCTGCGCAGAAACTTAAGATAAGAAAATAAGTATTTAACTTATTTTCTACTGAAATATGTTTCTTTTTATTTGTTTGAATAATAAACTACTACAGAAAAACAAACCGCTTATGATAAAAAAAATAGAGTAAAAAAAAAAACACAGAAAAATAAAGTACCAAATAATAGACGCCTATGTGACATTTGTCAGTGGCAACACTGAACGAATGAAAGCGACGCTCGCGCTTCCAATCCATTCGATCTGTGCATTCGATCAAAAAGTCTATTCACTATTCTCTGTCCACGTGCCACAAACAATTCATTAAAGTAATTTACAATTTGTATTTGTATTACGTAATGGCGACGCATACCAATAATTATTATGCAATCCGTCATATAAATGTTATGGAGATATAAGTGATTTAAATATGTTGTGTTGTGAGTTAAAATGAATATGAATTGTGTAATGAATGAAGTTGCAAAATGTGACTATGGAGGACTATCGATTTCTACCAGGATGATTCAGGTAAGTGATATTTTACCCATGCACGACACTATTGGATTAATATGGATTTATACATAACCTAAAAATCCGCACCCAAGGCCACCCACTGACCAATTCCTCAGCATTAGTTATAAAATTATGATGAATAGTATTAATTTTGTGTTAATTATTTGATAAGTCGAGGTTTTATCGAGTCATTATAATTCAATATGAAAATTGACTTCAGATTGGTAAAAAAAGAAAATTAAAATAAAATAATAATTGCATAGATGAATTAAACATAGATGTAAATTATATAATTAAGGAATTAAATTGATATTGCAGACAAGAAAATGGGAAAAAACACAGTATCAATGACAATCATGAGGAACAAAGGCTTGAGTGGATGGCAACCCACACTGCAGGAAGTGATCCCCAATCCGGAGCATGCGTGCCAAGACCCCTGAGGTATGAAGCAATGTCACAAGTTGAGGCTCACTTGCTGATGTAGTAGAAACTTTTTAAATTGTGCCTTAAATGCATGTTTTGTTTTCAGGCACCGAAGTGGGGGAGGAAGATCATTCCAGCAGCGCGTAGCCGCAAACTTGAAGCATCCCCTGAATGCCACAGTATGATGCCTAGGAACGGCCAAT